GCCTATATATAATARRAATCTATTTCTTATATCTAGATACTTTATAAGTTYTATTTAATTTAACTATAACCCTTAAAGTTACTTACTAAGATTATTAATTTCTAACTTTACTAGCTTAGTATTCTTTATTACTACTTAACTAACTTAAATAAAATCTAATTTTACTATCTTAGCCTTCTCTACTAAATATTCTTTATTAGGCTTTACTAAGACTAAACTCTCCTTAGAGTCTACTTCCTTAAACTTATATAATAAAGTTTAACTATTTTCTATAATCCTAAGATTAGCTACTCTTTATAATATTATATTTATCTAAAATAATTTCTTAACTACCTCTTTTACTTTAGAATAGACTATAGAATTTAGCTTTTTAATATTAAATCTCTTCTTCTAAAATAGCTCCTCTTGCATAGAAGTAGAAAGACTATAAATAAATATTAGTATATAACTATAGGTATTAAGATATTCTTCCTTCTCTAGTCTTTCTAATATTAGATAAAATTAATAAATAAAACTACCTATATTAGTTTCCTTTCTTTTTATACTTATAAAGTTCTTAAGCTACTAAATATTAAAAATCTTTTAAGCTTTATCTAATCTTATATATTCTTCTCTTAGTAACTACTTTAYAGTACTATAATTATCTTAGTTATATTTAGAAAGGCTTATTACCTATATAGAAATAGTATTATTATAGTAATCTAGTATATATAATAGTTTCTCTTTATCTTTAGAGATAAGATATCTTTAAAAGAGGTTATCTATAACTCTTAAGAAATCTATTATATTATTACTACTAAATTATAGAGCCCTAGCTATCCTAGAAGTAGATATATTAGCTTATAAGAGGTACTTCTAATAAGCTACTTTATTATCTTTTAGGTTAACTATACCTCTAGAAGACTAATCTTATCTAAGATTACCTATAGAGACCCTAGAGCTAGAAGTTATAAAACTCTCTCTAGATAAGGTAAGATCTTCAGGCATCTTCTTTATATTAATAAGTATTATAATAGGGGTTTAAAATATTAATAATAGAAACTATTATTTTTTTAAAGAAATTTAATAACTTTTATAATATTCTTAAAGTTAGTTATAAAGAGCTATAAAAAATAATATTACTCTTTCTTACTCTTTTCTTTTCCTTACTAGATTATTTCTATATTTATCTTTCTTAATAATCTCTTAGTACTAAATTTCTCTATTCTCTATTAATATTCTTATTATTATTACTCTCTCCTCTAATACTCTTATTCTATAGTATAAGGCTAGGTCTACTCCTTTACCTCTCCTCCTTAGACTAATTATATATTTACTTATCTATTTTAATATACTTTTAAACTTTAATATTATTCTACCCTTTCTATCTAGATGCTCCTGCTTCCTCTTCTCCTAATCTAGTTAGCTAACTCTTAGAGTTAAATAAACTTCCTATATTTTATAATACTTAGCTTATAACCTTCTTTTAGATAGCTCTCTACTACTGCTATAAGAACACCCTGTATAGGTTACTAAATATATAAGGGATATTATATAGCACTCTAAAGAGTAGGTCAAGCTTTATTATAATTAGGAGTTATAAATTAGGTTATATCTAGGTTAGATATAAATTTAACTAGATAGAAGAGATATTATAATAGAAAGTAATTCATTCCTTCCTTAATTAGTAATTATAATCTTTACTAAAGAATAACTTAGTTAGAAGAAGATCCCTCCTCCTTTAGTAATAATATTATTATCATCCCAGTTATCTACCTCAAGGGTTAAGCCCTGAAATAGGCATGAGTAATCAGCTAGAACTAACACTATGTTTCTCTGCTACAGTGGCTTTATAAGGATCTTATTATTAGATATTTTATATAGATTAACTATCTTTATTATAAAGTTATAGATTACCTCCTTCTAAAATACTAACTATTATTACTAAGTATAATTTCTTATATATTAAGCTTTAAAGATTTTAATAATATTATAGTATATCTTAAGCTCTTACTTAGGAATATTTAATATAGTATTAATTCTAAAGCTCTTAATATTATCTTATTACTAATATTTCTTCTATATAAAGAAGTTTATTTCTATCTCTAACTTCTAGACTAAGTTACTATTATCCTAGGTTATATATAGGCTATTCTTACTAATTCTAAGTTATTTAATAACTTAGTTACTTAATTAGCCTTATTACTCTCTATAGAAATATTAGAATAGTTTATTATATATATTAGTTTATATCTTACCTCTTTTTTATAACTTTATTTTTAATAATATTAATAAGAAGAGCTCTTTCCTTTTTAGAGATATTCTAAAAGTTCTCTAAGTCTTAGAGTTTTTTAAGAGCTCTCTAGACTATCTAATAATCTATAGTTTTAGCTCTCTCTAGCTATAACTTTATATTAGTTATTTAAGTAAGCCTATTATAGATTTTTTTAATATTAATATTTATAGAGAGTTCTTTATTACTCTTATACTTATAGCTGGTAAGCTAGCTAGGCTTTAGACTATATACTCTCTATATTAAGGCTATTTTATAGATTAGTATATATTACTATATATACTATAAGATATATAATACTTATCTATTTTATATATTATAAAAGTTATAGATAATCTCCTTCTAGTTAGACTACTTTTTAAACCAAAGATATAGTCTTTAATAAGTAGTCTTAGTAAATACTCTTAGGGTAGTAGCTAGTATTAACTTAAGAAAATTAGCTAATATTATAAGAGCTACTATAGACTAAAGAATATATAAAAAAAAATTAAAGAAGACTTAGTTAGAAGAAACTTAGTTATAACTTATAAGACTAGTATAGAATATTAATAATATAAAATAATAAATAAAGTAAGAGAAAGGAAATATATAGAGAATAATAACTATAATAAAATAGTATAATAGTAGATATAATAAAGTAGAGAAGATAAGAGAGTTAAGAAAGATAAGATATAATTTCTTTAAGTAGATTAATATAAGGTAAAAGTAAATATAAGAAATAAGTTAAATATAAAATAAATAAGTACTTTATATATTACTAATTATTAATATATTATTAGTAAATAGCCTTAGCTTTACTAAATTAGGAATTTCTTTATTCTATATTAAAATAAAGAGAATTCTCTCTCTACTTCTCTACTTTATTATACCTACTATTATATTACTCTATTATAATTACTATTCTCTATATATTCTCTTTATCTTACTTTATTTATTATTTTATATTAGAAGCTTACTCTTATAATTATTATTTCTAGTATATTCTCTCTATCTTATATACTTTATTTATTACTTTATATTATAATATTAAAATAGCTAGAACTAGAGCTACTACTAGAAAGAGTACTAATAGAAATTTAATAAACTAAAGAACTAAACTAAAGAATATAGCCTATAAGATATTACTAAGGTAAAAGAATATTATTATATCTAAGATAAAGCTAAAAAAAAATACTATATCTATCTAGAAGGTAAGTACCTAACTACTAGATTATTTTATAGATTATTATATTTAATCTTATATTAGTTACTATATTATAGTAGACTAAGTAATACTAGAGTAATACTAATCTTCTTATATAAAAGTTACTATTCTAGTACCTAATTTAAGAGATCTATTATAATATTATAAATAGGAATAAGAAAATATACTAATAGGTAAGTATCTTAATAGCTCTCTAAAAAGCTATAGAAGTAATACTTATTATAGAGTTTATAAGTATAGAATAAAAGCCTATAAATAAAATAATATATAAACTAATAAAAAGTTAATAGTAGTAAATCTAGCAGCTATATATATAAAGTATATAACTATCTAAGTTAAGGATATATATTTTATCTAATATATCTATAGATATATAATAGGGTCTAGTATACCTAGTAGAGGACACCTTAGTAGCTATAACTAGGGGAGTAAAAGAATAGGAGATAATAGAAGTTAGGGTTTAATAATAAATTATAATATACTAATTATTAAGAATAATAATGAAAAGTTAATAGTGCATAGTTATAGAATTATTTATAGCTATAGGTAATATAAGCAGATGATAGTAAAAAAAAAGTTTTGGCCACTTTATACATTCAGTCTGCTGTAAGGGGTGAGTGACCTGCCTAAGCTTACTTTAAATAAATGCAATACACTCGACCTTTTCGCGTTGCGACCTTTCCACTTTAGCTAGCATCTGCTGACCTATTAATAAAGGACCGGCTTCACCAGAATGGCTATCGATCCTATTGATGTGTTTGTTAAGTGAAGTGATCGATCTTACTAAGGGATCTTATGGAGGCAACGAGGACGTAGAAAGCTGTAGTAGGACCCCTGCTAGCTGCCTTCATAACGTCTCAAGCCTCCGTCGATACCCGGGCCCAAAACCCCACGTTTCTATTTCGGGCAGCCCGGTGTGTTTAGAGTGACGTCGCTCATGAAGCTCCCGATCTATCTCCAATCGTATGTACATACTAGCAGCGATTCCTAAATTTCTTAGTACTAAATTGATTTTGATTCCAATTTTAACCTGTAATTGCTAAGCTTTTGGTGTCTCGGAGCGAAACATCAGCACAAGCAAAATCAAGTATACAAAGGCACGGCCAAGTGAAAACCAGTAATACACTCAGCTTCTGTATCTAGAAATAGGAGAACGCGTTCAGGACTCGGTGATGCTCACTTTGTGTCCTACCAGTCTTCTATATAACGGAGCTGGTTCGAAGAAGACCAATATCGGCCCTTCTAAGTGTTGCTTCGACAAACATAAGCTCACAGAGGGAAGGCAGCGGAACCGAGGCCACGAAGAGAGGGAACGAGCAGTTGATTCTATTAACGGAAGGGAACGGAGGCATATATGCCGTCGACAATGAATCAATGCGTTCTAAACAGGAAGGAGTCGATGCTACAGAGATAGAAAAACATGCTGCAACACCAAATGACGGAAGGCAATGTCTAGGACAAACGGCGACAGACTACCACTGTCTATCTCAACAGACAACTGCATCTGATCTCATGCATCACCCTTTACATGGAGATGAAATCCGCACAGCGCTCAATGCCAAGTTGCCGATATAGGAAATCGTTCACAAACTGGCACTTGGGATCCTGACGCTCTTGGATGGCCAAGAACTTGGGCAACATCGGGAATTTCTCCAAGGTGTAGGTGGCATTAGGAGGGTTCATCTTGTTCCAGTGGGGCCGAACGTTGTAGGCTTCACCAAATTTAGGAAGGAATTCGTACGCCAACTCCTGGTTCTGCCAAAGTGTGGTGAAGTTGTTGTATTCTTGGATCCAATCAATTTCAATGATACCAAAAACGCCGCTGAGGGAGGGATCGAGGTTATAGGTGTTAACAGGGGACATATATGCGTCATCGCCCTTGAGGGAACGGTGTTGCATGACCATCAGGTAGTTGTAGGGAGTGTCCATGCGTGGGGTCTGGGACTGCTGGTAATAGGTATAGTTGGTGGCGGCTTCTGCAAAGTACTCAATAGGAAGGAAGTGCTCGATCTCAGCGTAGAATTCTCGGCTGCAGACACCTTGGGGAGGACAAGAAGCAGCGTCAATGACGTCGTCGTAGCAGAAGTACTCCTTTTTACAATCACCGCAGCCGTTAGCGCAGTAATTAGAAGAACAATTGCGAACACCGTCATAGTCAGTCAGCTCCCAATAAGAGAGGAAGTAGGTAGGCTCAAGGTCCCAACTTTGAGTCTTTGCATTCCAGTCAAAATGAGGACCCCAAACGGTCATACGCTCGTGCTCCTTGTACAGTTGGGCGATTTCATTGTACATAATCGAGAAGTCGGAGGTGGCATTCAAGACTTTGGTGGTCCTCTTCATGAGGAGGGTAGGTTGGACCTTGATAGTCATCTCTGTGATGAGACCAAGGGCACCAAGACTGACACGGAAAGCTTTCAGTTCTTCCGCGTTATGCTTCTCATTGATGATACGGAGGTGACCCTGGGCGTCCAGCACACGAAGCCCAATGATCTGGCTTGCGATATTTCCGATGTTGGATCCAGAGCCGTGGGTACCGGTGGACGCGGCACCGACGAAGTTTTGAACACGCTCAACACCGAGATTGCTGAATGTTAAATTGTTGACCTTCAGCACTTCGGTGAGGTCATAGACATCCCAGCCAGCACCGAAGGTGACTGTCATATCTTTCTTGTTGATTTCGAGGTGCTTCAAGTTGGTGAGGGAAACGATGTAGGAAGACTTGTCGGTGAGAGAATTGTCAACACAGGTCGAGAGGTTGCCGAATCCATGGCCATTTCCGACAACTTTGATGTGGGAGCCCTTGGGGTACTGTTCCTTGAGGAATTCTGCGGCGGCTTCTTCATTCTGAGGAGCAATATAGGCGTCACACTCGCAAGTGACCTCATACTGCCAATTGAACCAGCGGTAGGCGGAGCCAAATGCTGCATGCAGCAGCACTAGCAGCAGTGTCAGCTTAGGAACAAGCATTTTTGGCTATAGAATGCCCGAAGTTAGCCCAGTACCTGGCACAGAACCAATCGAATGAAAACTCACAGGAATGCTTGAATGAACTAGGTTCGCTCTTGAACAAGATCTTTTCAGAAGAGGAATTCCCACAATAGTAATAATTGAGGAAACTGTGCTGGTATTGCAAGGATCAAGAGCTGGGGCAAGCTATTTATATTCAACTCGCTCATCCTTCAGTCATTTCATAGAATTGACCATATGGAGTTCATTTACAAAATCACGCCTCGCTTGATGCCTACAGCACCCTCACGGCCACAATCTTGTACCCTATAAGCAATCGCATTCTGTCGGCGTGCTTCCCTGTCCGCCCACGTTTTTCCTAAATAGCTAGGCACTTGCACCTTGATTGGCAAATCTGAATAGGCCGTATGAAACTTTGTTCAACTGAAACTTGTCACTTTCCACATTTAGCCACGCGCCAAACGCAGTTGAAAATCCACTTTCTATCGCGGCCCGTTCAAGTTTCCACGTAAAGCCCGATAGATCATCGTCTGGGCATGACCAATCACCAGCCTCTGGCCAAAGTTCAAGTAACATTTTTATTATTACCGCACTCCGTTTTGATCCTTAAGCTGACCGCTGTCGATGGCATCAGATTGAACATGCTTTAAGGAGGAGATATGAATCGGTAGAATCTTCTTGACGAGTTACCACTCCAAAAGGTTTTCTAACACCGAAGATGACTACATCTAATCATCTCACGTGTTGGCAAATACAAGATTGAGAATTCGGATTAGGTTAAAAGTGAGATTATAATGGTAAAGGATTTGCGCTGCGAAAAGAGTGATTTTATTAAACTTCGTGTGTCCGATGCCGAAGTATGTTAATCCATGCTGGTAAGTATTCGGTAAGCCGAAACGTGATTCCGACAAATCATTCTGGCACGCCGAACGAGCAGGTCTATTGTGTTGACAGTTTGGACCGACCCAGCTTATTACTGACTGGCTCAGGATGTCTAGAAAACTCACCAAGTGACAAGGTTGGAGATGCGCAATGCACTTGAAGCTTAAGTGTTAGGGACCATACCGTTTGAAGATTAAGTGTGTTGGATGTGTTGCAGATCTGAGCGCTCAGGCCGTGAAAAGCCCGAAGCGGCTCTCCCAATCCCGTCCCTCCAAACTGTCATTCCTCTGGTGATCAACAACAGGCCGAGTCCAATTTACTTTCGTACTCAGCGACTAAGAGCTTGAATCTTCGCCATGCCGTCTCGGCATCATCTAACTTCGGCTTTCCGACCATCCGAAACCTTGTCGCCGGTGACTTATGTTGGTCGCTATTTGGTTTGCTTCCGCGCTTGGGGCCAAGACAAGATGGGCTCCAACCTTGAAGAGATGTGGGCCCTTGGATGGGATCCATAGCAATCACATATACACCCCTTTCGGCTTGACTTCAATAACTGAGAGTCCAGGCCGTGATGATTACAAACTACGCGCCTTCAAGGTTATCTTTGGAGGTCGGTGCATTCTATCAATGTCCTCCGCAACTGCGCGAGACTCCCACAATATCTTGTCAATACTCATAGCAACATGTCGCCATTGACCATTGAGAATGGTCGGACTCTACAGCATACCGATATCTACAGCTTTCCCGATATATGTCCGGCAGCCTTACACTATCAGATATATTATTATCCTCGAATTTTACTATTAAGGTCCTCCCTGAAGTTTCTTGGAACTTTCTCTCTTCCCAGACAGATTATCGGTGTACTCGTAAACCTGACCATGATCGTCGCCAGGAGAGGCTTATGGTGCCTGAATACATGGCACTCTCTCTTTGTCTTTTGCGTTAGCCGCCAGTAGAGAATACAATCTAAAGGTGGGTTACAGCATTAGGGACAGGTACAATATTGATACGTTGCTGCAGATATGACACGATTTTGTACGAGGCCAACTAATATGCTTAATACGGAGGAGTACCCGTCATCAGTGCTAGCCTTTGCCCTAGCACCCTCCAAACTAGGCCACTGCAGTGCCATTAGTCTCCCACGTGTGTAGTACCAGTGCTCATAATCAGCTGAGCACGATTCTCACTCGGACGGTTAGCGGACCAAAGACAGTGGGATCCCGTATAACGTGTGAAGCTAAGGTATTGAGCACGCAGTGCCCCTGTAGAATTATATATATAGCCAGGAACTAAGAATAATGGGAGAGAGGCGCTCACAGCACAGAAAGCACCCAATACATTCATTCACTCCTTCCTTTCATCTTCTACTTCTTTTTACATTGTCCTTCAAGATGAAGGGCGCCATCCTCGCCTCCGCCCTTGCCTCTATGGCTACTGTCCAAGCCTACACTCCCGCCGAACAGATTGATATTCAGTCTAGCCTAATCTCTGACCCTCAAGAGGTCGCCGGAAAAAAGGTGGACTATATCATTGCCGGTGGTGGTTTGACTGGTCTTACTGTTGCCGCCAAGCTGACCGAGGACCCTAATATCCGCGTTCTCGTTATCGAGAAGGGTTTCTACGAGTCTAACGATGACCGTATCATTGAGGACCTTAACGCTTACGGCAACATCTTCGGCAGCACTGTTGACCAAAACTACCTCACCGTTCCAATGGCTATCAACAACCGCACTCTTGACATTAAGTCTGGAAAGGGCCTCGGCGGTTCTACCTTGGTCAACGGCGGCTCCTGGACCAGCCCCGATAAGGTCCAGCTCGACTCCTGGGAGAAGGTCCTAGGCAACCCTGGCTGGAACTGGGAGACCATCTTCGAGTATAAGAAGAAGGTCGAACGTGCCCGTTACCCTACCGCGGAGGAGATTATGGCTGGCCAGCACATCAATGCTACCTGTCACGGCTTTAACGGCACTGTTCACGCCGGTGTCCGTAACACCGGCGAGCCCTATTCCCCTATGATCCGCGCCCTGATGAACACGACCGAAGCTATGGGTGTCCCAACTCAGGTTGACTTCCACTGCGGTCACCCCCGTGGTGTGTCTATGATCCTTAACTCTCTGCACGAGGACCAGACACGTTCCGACGCTGCTCGCGAGTGGCTTCTTCCTAACTACAAACACCCTAACTTACAAGTTCTGACTGGCCAGATCGTCGGAAAGGTCCTCTTCGAGTCGACCGACTATGGTCCGAAGGCTATTGGCGTTAACTACGGTACTAACAAGGCCGTTAACTTCAACGTCTACGCTAAACACGAGGTTCTAGTGGCCGCCGGCTCTGCTGTCTCGCCTCTAATTCTCGAGCACTCTGGTATCGGCCTAAAGTCAGTTCTCGAACCCCTTGGTATCACGCAGCTCGTTGAGCTTCCCGTCGGTCTTAATATGCAGGACCAGACTACTACCACCGTCCAAGCCCGAGCAAAGGCTTCTGGTGCTGGCCAGGGTCAAGCAGTCTACTTCGCCAACTTCACGGAAACCTTTGGTGACCACGCCTCTCACGCTATGAACTTGCTTAACACCAAGCTCGACCAATGGGCTACAGAGACTGTTGCTCGAGGTGGATTCCATAACGTGACGGCTCTTAAGGTCCAGTACGAGAACTATCGTAAATGGCTCCTTGAGGACGACGTTGCCTTCGTCGAGTTCTTCTTCGATAGCAATGGCAAGATGAACTTCGACTTGTGGGACCTTATTCCCTTCACCCGCGGTTCTACCCACATTGCCGATGCCGACCCCTACCTCCAGTCATTCCTCAACAACCCTATGTTCTTCCTGAACGAGTTCGACCTTCTTGGCCAGGCCGCTGCCTCCAAACTTGCCCGTGAGCTCCAGAACATGGGCGATATGAGCGACTACTTCGCCGGCGAGAACATCCCCGGCGCCGAGCTCTTAGCCTATGACGCTTCCCTCGAAGAGTGGGTTGAGTATGTCAAGCAGAACTTCCGTGCCAACTGGCACGCCGTCTCCACCTGCGCCATGATGTCCAAGGAGCTCGGTGGTGTTGTTGACCCTACTGCCAAAGTCTACGGTACCCAGGGCCTTCGTGTTATCGACGGCTCCATCGTCCCCACCCAGATTTCTGCTCATGTCATGACCACTTTTTACGCTATGGCTTTGAAGGTCTCCGATGCTATTTTGGAGGACTACTACAAGCACTGATGTTTGACTATTCAACCCCTCGGTCGGTGTTGATCCTTGATACCGACTACTTTGTGATGGACATCCGATGAAACTACTTGCTTCCACTAGCACTGACCAGATCACCATTTGTCACTATTCCTGTACCTTCTGATCCGTCCGCGACGACATTTGAATTTTTTTTCCGTCTAACGTCACCTTCCTGTTCTAGATATTGCTCTGTTGTTTAGGTTGGAAATTAAATACATTTTTTCCCCGGTTCCTCCAAGAAAGGCACAAATATCGCAAACTACACTCCCAAGGAATACAGTAGGCAGCAGCGCGGTTACCATTGCAGCAGGCGAGAATGCAGAAAGCAAGGTGAGAATCGAAGAGGCTGGCCGGAGGCGAGCAACGGCGTCAGCGATCAGTTTGACACACCGAGCACCTCAGTGTCCTCGGTGGGCCGCTCAGGGTGGGGTGACTAACTATGGGGTGCAATGTACGGTATTTTACCTGCACAAGCATATAAGAGATTGAAAGAGTAGAGCTTATATTCTGACCTTACCTATTGCACCTCTGGCTACTTTTCAAAGGTTTCTCGCGGCAGATACAACTTACCGATTGTGAAGGACTCAGTGTGTAAATTCCGAGTTTACCCGACCTTCAAGGTCAGCTGATTCATCACAGGATCAAAATAAGGCAATGAGGTCTTGTGGTTTGCCACAGCCGGATTTAAAATGGATTCAGATGATTAAGACTCTTCTTCTCGATACTACATCGACCACTTTCACACTGAGTGATAAACTCTGTGGGAGCAAGTGTTTTTGGTGCAAACGGCTCGTCCACCTCAACTTTTTGCTATCCATGGACAATTTCATCAATCAAACTATAAATTTCGGCCGTAACAAACGGCTAAAGAATATTACAACTTATGCGTCAGTATATTGAAGCATAAGACTCCTTTAAGCTTCAGCAAAAATGGCCTGCAAGATGTTAAGATTTACAGGATAACGAGAGACAGATTGAAGAACGACGTTTTGGATGCAAATTTGCTATGTTGAATTGATACAATTCTCTGGAAGCAGGGGGGATCCAGGGGATATTTGACCTGCACTGACGGTGAGCCCTTGACAGTGAGGAATCCCATAGAATCGAGCTGAACAGTCGTTCATCTCGTATTCTGCAGTCCTCCGTGATGCTTCCGAGTCAAAGTAGCTATCATACAAATGTTGTGTTGGCCAACAGGCCAAATCGACATTTCCGAGACAAGGCATATGCTGTTGACCGTCGTTGGCCGTTTGGCTGTCTCGGGCATGCCGACAGGAGGTTTCTATCAGGACATCAACATTTGGATGTCTGGAAGGAAACCTCAACACAAGAAGCGTAGAAATCCTCGGACATTATGCTAATGATATATTTGCAGGTGGGGCTTGACTGGTAACTCAGGGAGGCGGTTTACGAGACCTAAATAGCTAGTGAAGATTCTAGTGAGACGGTACAGGGCCTGCCATAGCAAGCTAGGAATGTATTAGGCCTTCTACAGGAAGGTTGTACATAACAAGCACAGTTGGCACCGGAACGCCCCTAATATGCTCTGGCCTTAGCTCTATATCGGTATATTTATAGAAGCTAGGGAAGAAAGACGAAAAGGTGTTCCGTTTGACCGCAAATAATATTATGTTTCTTGAGCTAGCTAGTCGTTCGAGTAGATATTTTCTAAGAATACATTGTTTTTCTCTAAAAAGGTACTGGCTCTATAATGGTTCATGGTGTTATTAACATTGCCAACGCTCGTTTGGAAACACATGGAAATATCTGCGCAAAGTCATCACCCCTATCATCACTGCGTCCATTTTCTTACGACATCACACAAACAGTGTAGACGCGCCGAGACTTTTGTATTATACTGCTTCTCCTTCGACCTCCACGCTAACACCTGCCACCTAGTACTTCAGAAGGTTACCATGCACCTTGCGGTTTAATTGCGCTCTCCACAGCTTATTCTCGTTGAGGATAAACATGGTACCATTCTGACCAAAGGAGAAGTTCGCAGTTCCATCCTTGACGAGGATCTTGCCGAGCAAGACACCGCCAGCCGTCCAGACGTTGACTCCGTCTTTGCAACCAGCATACACATTGCCGTCCATGTCGACCTTGATGCCATCGGGAGTTCCCCCACCGGGCATAGCAAACACACGTCGATTAGTCAAGAAGGCCTGTCCATGGATGGTCACCAAGTCAAATGCATAGCTAAATAAGACGGTAAGTCAGTCAACCATTCATCCCAGATCGTAACGAAACAATGAGGTCTAACTTACATAGTAGCAGGCTTTAGCAGATCCTCCGACCCGTTCCCATCTGTCTCCGCGGTATCGGTAATGTACACTATTTTCTCATCTGGAGAGAATGTGATTCCGTTCGGGCGGCCGAAGTCATCAGCCATAACGCGCACATTATTCGTGGCAGGATCGTAGCGATACACCTGGTTCGGCAACTTAGGCTTAGGACGAAACCCCTGGCGCCACGCATAGATAGGATCGGTAAACCAGTAAGAACCATCGCTATGTACGACCACATCGTTGACGGAGTTGAATTCGCGTCCGTAGAAGTTGCCAATCACGAGCTCGGACTCGTACGGCGGTTGAGCGGACATCTGGTAAAGACCAGCAGACCTATTGAAAGTACCTTGGCCACACCAGAGGATGCCGTCACCGTTGTTCACGCCTCCATTCGCCATAGGAATCGTAGAATTGATGATCTCGGCTGTGGCGGGGTTCGCACTCACGCTCACTTTGGAGACCTTGATCGTTTCCTTCTTGGTAACTGGGTCGGTGAAGATATTGCTCGACACAAAAAGCGACTCCGTGGACGGAATGTACACGCTCGCCTCGTGCGCGAAAGGGAAGGCATTGTTTTCGAGAAGAAGCTCGAGTTTCGGGGACGAGCCGAGAATGTCGTAGAATTTATTATCATAGACACTGAATGCGGATGGAATTGCAGACGCACTAGCCTTAGCGGCCGAGTGGGTGATCGAGGCAGCCATGAGCGGTAAGGTAGTTTCTGCTGGTAGCCTCCAGTGGAAGAAAAATAACTTATATGCAGGAAAGCCTGGGGTGTTTTTGGCCGGAGTTAGACTGGCTTACCCACCCCACAAATCCACACCCAACCCACCCAATCCACTGTTTGGGTGGATAAGGGCTGGCCCTAATCCAACCCATGTGGATATGGGTTGAACCTGCTGTATCCACATGGATATGGGTTAAACCATTGGGTATATGTGATCTAGGGTCTCTTAAACTAATAAGCTTATCTAACTAGATCTAGGCCTAGATAGAGGGATATTTTTATATATATAGATAGAGAATAATCCTATCTATCTATATATAAAATAAATATTAGATCTACTAAGAAAGGCTAGAGTTATAGTAGTCTTTAGATTTTAGAGGATAGTAGTTAGGATAGTAAGGGTAAGATATATATATCTCTGCACCACCTTTCAACCTAAGCTTAGGGGGGACCCCTACTCCCCTATATAAGCCTATTTTAGCTTATATAATAGGTAATATATAATATTTATACTAATCTATTCTTATATTACTTATTAAATATATAGATATCCTAGTGATGTGGCTAGAATACTAAAAAAATAGGGGGTAATCTAAATACTAGAGGTCACCTGACTAGATAGTATGGATATCCATGGTATCCATAGTTGAGCCCCTGTGGATATAAGGGGTGGGTGAGATACCTGGTGGTTTACCTATAATCCACATGGGTTGGATCAGACATGCTGTGGGTCAACCCATATCCACCCCACAGCCAGTCTAGCCGGAGTAATCCTAGGAAGTGGATAAGATCCACTTAGATTACCCCATTTGGCGTGGGAGAGTCTGCAATCGCCGTACCTGATGCAACCAGTTCCACACAGTGCTTACTATATTGCATGTCCCGACCGGGTCTTACCTCTGCCAATTGCAGCCCACACCGTCGTTGCAGCTCCCTGCTCTGGCGACTTCATCATGTTATACAGCTTTTCATCTTTTTTTAATGCTTCCACCATTGCAGGGTCCATATGCTGCATAAGTGCCGTTGAAATCATTCCAGGATGGACGCTGGTAGCATGGAGTCCTCGCGAACTGTAGCGCCGCTCGATCTCGTTGGCCATATAGATATTGGCGGTCTTTGATTGTCCGTATGAAACCCAGTCGTTGTATTCAGTCTTCTCAAAATTGTAGTTGCCTGATTCATTGATCGAGGCTACATGATGGGCAGAAGAAGAGACGTTGACGACTCGAGATGAGAATTCAGGGCTAGCGCTGGCAAGGAGAGCTGGCTTCAAGAGCTCAAAGAGTAGGAAATGGGCGAGGTGGTTGACTCCAAACTGCATTTCAAAGCCGTCTTTGGTGTACTCCAACTTGGGCAGGGCCATGATGCCGGCGTTATTAACTAAGATGTTGACTTGACCGTTCGACTTCTGGAGAATGGCTTTCGCGGCAGCACGCACGCTGCTCAAGGAAGTATTGTCCATCTCGACAAGTTCAACGCGATCTCGTTCGAGGATTCCGTCCAGAGCAGACTTGGCTTTATCCAGATCTCGTGCTGTCAGGAATAGCCTTGCTCCAGTTAAAGAGAGAGCGCGAGCTGTCTCAATCCCTATTCCAGACGAAGTGCCTGTGATGACGATCACCTTCCCGACTAGCTTGCCCTCCACTGCTTCATCCTTGATGATCTGGAGAGCTGTTGGACGAGCATCACCAGGGCCAGCAGGGTTTAAATGAGCTTCTGCGTAGCGGGACATTATGATTGAATAGAAAACTTTGGCAGTTTAAAACTTGGTAATGATTTGAATAGAAATGGCTTTGATGAGTTTAGGATTCAGCTTTTAAGAGCATCAGTGAACTATTTATCTTTTTTTTTGGCTTTCAACTTCTAGCCCTGGGTTCACAGAATCTTGCTTTGCATTTCAAAGCACCTGGGTTTGTATTTCAAAGCACTGGACTTCTGAAGATTATTGAGGCCTAGTTTCCTTCACCTTTCTATTATCAGACCCACAACCTAGTATGATGACTTTTTTCCCATTTCCAGCCTAGCCTTCTGACTCTCTGAGCTAAATACACCCTGCCTGCCTCCTGGAGTTGTAGACGCCAGAGATTTTGTCGTAGGGTCACGTGACCTCTACTAGCTGAGTCAGCCCTCTGCCCCTATCTTCACCGCTGGTTCGGCTTCCTAGCTAGGGAATCCAACCATCCCCGCGCCACGCCTACGTCAGGTTTGATGACACTTTCTCCTCTTTTGGCCTGGCTCGCGGGACTAGCTGGGCTCGACAAAATGGTTCGGACTTAGCACCAAGGATTCTATGGTCGCCCATGAGGCATTTATATTAAACAGGCAGGACTTGGAAAGTCTAATCTCTGTAGACTTGCAGCAGATTTGTGCACTATGCGCTTAAAGCCTCATACAAACTGTTTTCCACATCATCAATTACAAACTCAGCCCGGTAACTCACCGCCGTCACCGGTGTCGCCACCTATGACCCATCACTCCCAAAACACTATATGAAATGCGATGTTTAACAACTTCCTGCCTCAACAACCATAAAAGCCGAAGGTGTAGTTCTAAAGTGAGGGCCTCATGCTTCTTATGCCACACTATCCTCCCCAATGAAATCACGCTACCGCTAAAAGCTTGGACCTATTTTATTTATTTGCAGAGTGTATTTCTCAAGTTCCGCCATATGACGTTAAAAATAAGGTAGATGTTGTTGTTCAAAACTTTCCCTCTCTGTCTTCTCTACATTCAACCCTGCAAACAAGATAGGCAAGGACCCAGACTGTGCTGCAAGGCGGAAGACGTTTTCTCCCCGCACCTTTGAATGAACTGTTGACGCTGGGAAACTATGTAGAGACAGACCGATTAGTTTTGAGCGATCTGATGAGTGGAAACCGAAGGGTATGAAGGCAGGCACCACAGCTCCAGCACTTTTCGCTTCTCTCTCCTCTCCCGTCTCAGTCCCTCAGTATTCGTCGCGGAACGCACTCTTTCCCCCAAAGTCTAGACTCTTGTCGCAGACTGTATCAGGTTGTAACTTGTTAAGCCGTGTGTGGATCCGGAATCCGGTGAACCATGATTATGAATGCGGACCCGAGAGGCAGGTGTTCGTGTTGGGTTTCCCTTCAGGTTTAGTACCTGATGTCCCCAGTAAAACCTAGGCTCATTTATACTACATCTAATTTGTTCGGCGAATTGGATCACCCAATCTAAAACGGGTTTCCGCGGCTTGTTAATACTAAGGGGGTGGATTTTGGTCTAATAACCACCTGATGGCTCCTGTAAAAGGATAAAGTAGAAGATATAAAGGATGTAGTAAATATCCCAGCCTTTAGTTAACTTAGTCGGAACCTAGCCTTGGATCAGCCAGTTGGCAAAGTCAAGGAAACCTGTGGCTGAGATGATGCTGTACTTATCCAGCTCAGGGATATCCCATTTATAAGTGTTTTTAATGGTCTGCTTGCGGTCATTTACCTCCTAGAGCAGCTGGTCGCAGAGCTCCTTGATGATTGGGCTGTAATCTGGCATAACTGTTTAATGCTTTGGATATGGATAAAGGAGTGGAAAATAAGCTAATTAGTATAAACTAGGAGAATTAATTCAGCCATGAGAGGATTATTTGTTATTCTATTTATACCCTTCATTATTCATCATGACACAGTGGCAGAAACTCATGATATACAAGACTACATAAGAGACGTCCACTAGTTCCACCAGCTGGACTTGACAAATCCTCGGGGATAGCTATTATCCCAGATTCTATGGTATGTAACAATATACGTGCAACCTGGGAGTTCTGCTGTGCTACAACGTCGCAAGTCCTACCATGTACCTAGAAAGTAAATACGCATAGACGCAATACGCGCTGGAGAGAATGGTGTCATAAAGGAGCTGAAAGGTATAAAATCGCGGTATTTCCATTGTCCTCTCTATCCATCATCATCATCATCATTCTTCCTCCCTCTCCTAATCCAGTATAAGCCTGTTTTATCATCTCCGGTCAACTTGCATCACAGTCCTAAGCATCATGAAGTACTCTGCAGCCACACTCCTCCTTCTGGCAAGCAGTGCCTTGGCCATTCTAATGAGTAATGTGAGCACTCTTTTCCTTGTGGTACAGAACATACTGGCATCGTTCAAGCTAACCACTAGGATGTGTTCTTGTTTTAGGCAAACATGGTCCCTGGAAAGCGTGATATATCTGCTACTGAAATCCAGAGCAGCCAGGATGATGCGTCTGTCGACCAGAAGTTCTATCTTGATCCTATCGTTGGCTGGCTTTATGGACCCGACAAGCCCGATCGCTTCATGACCGAGAACATGGACGACTAATATGAGTTGGTTTCTAACCCAGTCATGGTACAGCCCAGGAGCACATCAGGCAATGTGTGCCATAGAGAATTAGTTAAAATATAGGATTCGTTTATTTGATGTTTGGGTTCTTGGAATGAGTCTCAAGTTCAACACTTGGAGCGAATCAATCAGGTTCTATAGGAATGTATCTGAGCTTTCATGTCACTCTCTCTCAGCTTGAAGCTATTGATAATTCAGTTCAGTATACTGCTTATTCCATGGTTAAAATAGTCTAAGTCTAGTATTCAGGGCTGTGTGTAGTAAAATCCCAACATCTCAATGTAAACAACATCTCCAAAATGTTCTCAAAATTATACATCCGGACGGTGCATTCCTAAGAATGGAAGAAATAATCTGTACAGGTCTACAGGATGCTGACCATATTTATTCGCCACCATGGCACTTGGTTCTCAAGACACCCTTTTAGCTTACTGAAATACGGATGACATGATTACTCCAACCAAGTACACATAACACTAAGGTAGTAATAATTTATCTGAATGACTTCTGTTTCCTGAGAGCTGCGGTTGTTGCTGTATCTCATCTTTTCCGACAGATATGGCTGCACACGGATATCCAATATCGGAGAAGCAGTTAAACACTCTGAATATACATGATATATCAACATGTATATATTGACAGCACTTCATATAACCAATATCAACTCCTTGGCATCCCCGCATTCCTTTTGTCAGACCCTGGGATCCGTCTCTGCGGTTCTCTGCTAGTCAACTACTTTAGGAATGAGGTGATATAGTCCCTAGACTATATCTAATACTTACCTAAGGCCTACTGCCCAGATTGGGAAGCCCTGTTCTCCACACCCTATGGTCGTATGTAGAAGATTGGGCTTTAAACTCAATCATGTACATATTCATTAAGTTCATTCAAGCTACAAAGTCGATGGTCAAGTGTGCAGTGCCAGGTCAGACGGTTCCTATCTCAGGTAAACTTCAGTTGACTTTCAGCTTTCGATCTCTAGGACGATGGCAGAGCTACTTTCCAAATATGAATGGAGTGATGTAGGTTTAAATGTGTAATCACCTAAGTAAAGATAACGCTAGAGTCTACAGCGAAGTCGCAGCAAAAATTTAGTATGTAAGGTTTCCATTCCATTAATCTAATAAATCCTTAAAAACCATAACTAATGGTTTTAACTAAACTCAAATTAGTTTCACCCTAGGGAAACTGAAACCGGTGCAATTCCCTAGGCTAGGCACCAAACCCTCACTGCTGCGGGTTCGGTGAGGGTTGGATTCGATTTTAGCAGTTCGGTTATGCAACTCTAATAGTTAACATTATCCTTCCAAACCTATCCTTAGGTAAGTTTAAGATTAGGTTAGGGGGGAGGAGTGCTGGATGTCTAAATTTAAGGTTATAGGGCTAGAAGCCTAGAACACTATACCAGCCTGGCTACTAAGCCTATTTATGCATAGGCGCGGAGAGAGACTCTGGCACACATGCATAAAGGATTATTTCACTACGACCGCGACTACCTTGAGAGCTCCCTTATGAACCAGTCTTATGTTCTCGGTCCCGTGTTCGCTGGTAGCGGCTTGTACCGCACGGGGACCCGGCGGGATCGTCCAACCGAAGAGTTCATTCTTGACTGGGCGTTGATTGAATTTCCGGAAGTCGACTCGGTGTCAATGTTGTCGTTGCATTGCTGAGCGCAGCACGTGTCCCTCTGAATCAAATTGTCTTCATTTGACCAGAATAGGGGGGTCGGAGGCTGTCGACTGATGCGCCGCGAAGATATCGTAAAATATCACATCACTTTGGGCCGAAGACAGGTTGAAACAAAGAGATTGTGGTCTGTATTAGTTGGACCTGCAGCCAGAATGGCCAATCACTTCCGTCAAGGCCATCAAAAGCATCAAGATATAGCAAAAACAAAAACAAAAACATACAACAGCCGGGATTCACTGGTGGTCACCCACCCAACTACTAACCGGCCGGCGAGTGGCTTAAGTATGGCTGAGCGGACGGGAAGCCCTGTTTTCCACACCCTATGGTCGTATGTGCTAGGATTCCAAGAATCCAATATGATAAAGAGCATGTCGGGGATGCACCTATAACTCCGGAAGCTGGTCATGACTTCCTTTTACCTCACTCACGGATCGTCAATATAGATTTTGGACGCTGGGTAGTTCAGGGGCTGCTGAATTCAGGTGATTACCTATTGCTTTATCCTAAACATATTCCCAACACAAGTCCTGGTATAGTGGTGGCAGATTGTCCGATCTGGAGGGGATGACATTTCGCTCTTTTGAATGCTGGGGATCGATTCTCAGTATGAACGGTTAGCCCGCTGGGAAGGATGCCAATGTTGGCTAGCATTTGCTGCAGGCCATTGTAGTAATCCGGACTCCGGAGATGCAAGCTCTTGGCTTCGTCTTGTTGACATTGGCTGTTCAGGGAAGATAGACGTCCGTAGGCTCTTAATTGTAGTCTCTGGTCCATATATGTACTCCAGAGTTTACAAAGAAAGAATCTTACATTTTGCAATCCCATAGTAGGTGTCGCCAAAGCAGCTGTGAAGTCTGTAGAGAAGCTGCAGGAGGCTATATAGGGGCCAGCTTGAAGGCAAGAGCATGTAGAATATTTACGGGAAGTATTGAACTTTGAGTGTGGGAGAGAGATATGCTAATGTCTGATAGGTCTTCGATGCTCTGCCCTGGAATAATTATCTGAGCAAAAGCCCCATCCTGAAAATAAAGTGAGAACAGTATGAGGATCAATAAGTGAAGATATCTTTTGATCATCGCCGTGGCGTAGAGTAATCAAGTAGAGCTTATATTAGACTGCAGCTCTAATGGATTGGACCCGAACATGGAGTCAGGACTTATCAAAACGAAGCCAGGTTGCATCCAATCTGACGATGTGGATATTCACTACCTCAACCATGTCAATAAAGCACAATAGCCACTATGGCCTCACTGACTACTACTAATTCAGGATGGACAATGTTCGTACACTACTCCGTCCCTCCTCCTCCTCTTCCTGTTTTCATTTTACTCAATTTGCATATTGACTCGCTCCTTCCCCAGCTGAAGCACCATCAACCCGCCTCACCTTCAAATTTCAGATCTAATCAAGGGCGTACTTTTATTGCGTTGCACTGTTGATCGGCTGTCACATCATCACCTCGACGTATCACCTCGCACGCCTCATCTGAGCACTCTCGCCCGTCATGTCTCACTGGGCACTATTTTCCGCCTTCGTCCTAGCTGCCGTTCTTCTCGCTTGTTGGATTGCGCGGGTTATCCGACCGGAGTAAGCTCCTCCTCATCCTCCTCCTCTCCCGGTACAGGACTGATGTGTCTGTTGAAACCTAGACTCGACAGGATACTTGATCGCTTGTTCCCGGAATACCGCCCGAAGACGCTGAGAGAATATTTCTTCGCTCTCAAGCTTGTTCGAAAACGACGTAAGACGCGACGGTCATACTGCATATCCATGGAGGAATCTAACGAGGATTCTACAAATAGGTCGGTGGACCTGGCCTTCACGATGGCGACGAATGTCACGGGTCGGACAGGATGACCTGGAGGCGCGAATACAAGCTGCGAGACTGGAGTAGTATCACCTTGAGTCTGAGGAAGTTCTGATCTCAGTGTATCTATGATCAGCAGGTCGTCTCTGGCCGTTCGCAGCTCTGCCAGTCGTACGGTGTCTGGCTAGATGCTACGGGAACAATGGATATGCGTGAAGAATCAACTCAGCCACGTTTGTCTACAATAAAATATTTGCTAAATTATTCTGCGAGCGAACCGATAGTAAATTGAAGCCTTTCCCATTTCAGAACGACATGAAGCAGTAAATGAATCCACAAGCGTATATTTCGGGTTCCTGAACGAGGGACGAAGTATCTTTGCCACCCGTCACTGCACTGCTCCAGACTATTCTTTGTGGACCAGGACCACTCCGCAGTCACCAGAAGTCTTCGTCGTAGCCTCGTCAATCGCCCTTTCGTAATCCTTGAAATCAAATTCAATGTTGTGGAATCTGGACAACGACAGGTTCCCCATCTCGATGAGCCGGATCAACTTCGCAGGAGCAGTTCCGTCGAACATAAAGTTCCCTTCACCGTGATATTACGCGTCATGAGCTCAGAATAAGACAAGGTGACCGAATCCGAAGCTCCACCCATAAGAACCGCGCGACCGTTGGCCTTCAACGCCGATATAGCAGAAGGGACGTGTATCCATTTCTGCCCCTCTGCAGCAGATGCTGGAGTGAGATCAAGGAACAGATCCGCACCAAGTCCGCGCGGTGTCGCTTTCCTCAGCGCATCTTTCAAGGAAGTCTCATCGACACTTTCCGTCGCAACGCCGACTACCTTTCCCTTTGGATAGCCATCCTGGATCTTCTCCAGGGAACTCATCCGTCGTCCTACAGCAACAACCCTCCCCGCCCCCATGGCAAGCGCCACATCAATTGCAGCACCACCGAAATGCCCCGTCGCAAAACACACAATCACGGTCTCGCCCGGCTGCAGTGCCCCGGAGAGCAGTCCGCCATACGGAACAAGGAGGGTGTTGATCCAGGTCAGGCGGGCCGGGGAATAGCCCATCTGCTGGAGCAGAAGCGACTCATCGAGAACATGCACGTTCTCCAGCGGGACGATCTGTTTCTCTGCCCACGAGCCATGGCGCCAGTCGTTTTCGGATAGGATGCGCGCTTGGGGCGTTATGCCGCCGAAGAGACCTTGCAGGATGGCGGTGCCTTGTTCTTTGAGAGGGTCATCGCGGGCGCGTACGTTAAGGTCGACGTAGACTAGTTGGCCGGGTTTGAGGGTCGTTGTGTCGGATCCGAGGACCTCGATGCGGCCGATTGGGGATGCGCCGGGGGTGAAGGGGAAGGGGAGTGGGTAGGGGAGCTTGCCAGTGAGTATTGCGCGGTAATATGCGAGGATAGGGCTGGCGAGGACCTTGATGAGGACTTGGCCGGATTGAGGGGTGGGTGTTGGGACTGTGGCCAGGGTGAGTGGTGAGTTGATTTCAGAGAGGATGATGGCTTGGTGAGTGGTCATTTTGAAAGTAATGGAATGCTAGGAGAGATGTCTTTGTGATGGATTGTGAGGTGTATATCTGGCACAAGAATGCATCTTATAAGCTACTCAGATGGGGTTATCGGACTTTGGCTGGTTCAGTCGAAGTGAGACCGCTTATCTTCAAAGGGCGTGGACTAACGCCATGAATCGTGTTCGGAGCAGACATGATATCTCCTTTTGACTTTCAAACGAATATGTGTGCTCGTATTCAATATATCCTCGTGCATTTACTGACCGGATTATCAAAGGCTTATCTACGGTTGGCATCTCCGTTTGTACGCCAAGGCAGTCGATTCGCCGCCCTAAGTCCGACCTGGCCTCAAGGTGTTTATCACCGGCGTTAATGAGCATAATACGAGACGTGGCTCACGCACAAGGACGCTATATTGAACACGAGCTTGCGGGCAATGGCCAATGATCGGGTATTTTTACAATCAATCAAGCTGGTAGGTTGTGCTTCCTGGCAGCACCTCGTATGTAGAACGGTGGCGCATGCCACAATTTTGGACTTGCTGATGAGGGGCAGATTTCTAAATGAAATGTTGCAAGTACGAAAAGGATTCATGCCTGCTTTCCCCCTTCGACCGACTCCTCGAAACTATGCCGCGATACGGGCCAAACCAGACATGGATTGTTGAACAAGGCGAGGAGGGTTACACTATACAGAACAAATAAAATTGGGCTTATGACAAATTTGCGATCAAGATCCCAAACAAAAACCTGGCTTGGACTGCAAAAGGAGAAATGAATGAGCTATATCTGGAAGAGGAAAATGGGTCAGAGGTGCAGAGGTTCAAGATTGTGTGGATGCCCGAAGATTGAATGTTTATTTGCCACTGTGCTTGGCACACCATTCAAAAGGATAACGGGGGGGTCTACGTTTATAACCTTGGCACCCATAGTATTATCAAGACATGATCAGGATATGTCCGTACTCCGTACTAAACAGACTTGCCTTGTTGGGAGATGTCCTTAAGCGGGATAGCGTCATCTGCCCCTCATCCTCCCAGACTGCGGGGTAATTCCACATAGATCTTGAGACAGTATTTAACAGGGTATGTAGATAGAGGGCATGGTCTCTCGAATTGTTGCCAGATTGATCATATAGTGGACCTAGGGCTCGTCAGGCACGATCCCTACCCATCATGCCATCTCACCATCCACGGATTGACCGTCGTACGACGCCATGGACAGGGTTCCCCGATTCGGACCAACAACAGAGTACAGGGTAAGCTCGACGAATGAATACCGGAACATTCGTGAAACCATGCAGCCCAATGAACCCGAAGGCCCGAAAGACAACAGACAACGACGTATGACGACTTACCAAGTCGGGAACAATGGTCACCTTACTTGAAATCCTGCCGGATTTTTGCATCTATAGTGACCAGTGAAAGCCCCCCACGTCGCGGCACAAAGATGCGGGTCTGCGAAGAAACGTGATTTATGTTGTCATCGCTTTCCACTCTACGTGCCTTTTTTCCTACTCCTAACTTATCTGACGACAAAGTGATGGTCACTTATGAGCAGACGATAACACTGCGTTGTCGAGATGACGGAAGAAAAGGTCATACCAGGCAAGTTGGAAGTCGCGCTCTTTCTCGCCGCAAGCAAGGGCTACGATACGATCGTCAAACTCCTCCTCAGCACTCCAGGTGTGCGTCTCGACTTCAAGGACGAAGATGGTCGGAATGCAGTCTCCCTAGCCGCGGAAGGTGGACATGAGAGCGTTCTCCAAATTTTGCTCGAGACTGAGGCAGTAGATGTGAATGCGGTGGATGCTAAAACAGGCCAATCGCCGCTGTGTTGGGCAGTCAAAAATGGACACGCAGGCGTTGTGGGGAAATTACTCGCCCTTGAAAATGTCGACCCGAATATTCCCGATGCCAGAGGAGAGACACCCTTGTACGCGGCTGTGAAGAGCGGAAACCAGGGTATTATCGAACAATTACTCGCCCGCGCGGATCTCAATGCGAACACGCCAGACGCTGCTGGGCAAACGCCGCTATACTGGGCTGTCAAGAATGGAAACGAGGCGGTTGCGGGGGCTTTACTCGGACGCGCTGAAGTCGACCCGAACGCCGCTGGTGCCGATGGACAAACGCCGTTGTACTTGGCTGTGAAGAATGGGCACGAAGGGATTATGAATCGTCTACTCGCGCGCGGTGAGATCGATCCCGACATCCCCGACGTCAATGGCCAGACTCCCTTCTATTGGGCTGTGGAACAGGGGAACCAGCCGTTTGTGGTGCAGCTTCTCAAAGTGAATGCCGATCCCGATGTCAAGGATAATCATGGGCGGACGCCGTTGCTGTGGGCTGCGGAGAAAGGACACGAAGAGGTGGTTCGATTACTGATCGGGTCGAGAAGAGTCAATATCAATGCTGCCGATGCGGTCGGGAGGACGCCGTTGTGGTGGGCTGCGCACAATGGTCACCTTCCGGTGGTCCGACTGCTTGTGCGCCATGGCGCTGACAGAGAGGCACAACCTTCCCCCAATGACGAAAAGGGGCCACGCGGCACACCGCTGTACCAGGCCGGCAGAAGGGGGCATGCAGACATAGTGAAATACTTGATCAAGAAGGGCGCCGACATCGATTCACCGTGCGGAGAGTCCGGTCTCCCGCTTCTGTTGGCGTTGGTAGTATACGATCGCACGAAGCGCGGGATGAAAATGCTCAATGTGCTGCTTGAGAAAGGTGCCAATGTCAACGCGAGAGATACCAAAGGGAGGACTACACTACACATATTAGCGAAGGATGGCGATGTGGATCTGACTGCCCTGTTCCTGCAGAGAGGTGCACAGGTAAATGCTGCAGCCAAAGATGGTACAACACCGCTGCATCTAGCCGTGCTTCACGAACACGACCAGATAGTCGAGATGCTCCTGGCCAATGGTGCAGACCCCGAAGCAGCGGACAGCACAGGAGATACACCCCTTCATCTCGCAGTGTTAGGAGGGCACAGACGACTCGTCGGGTTGCTACTAGAAAAAGACTCAGATATCAACGTGACCAACCACTGCGGAGAAACACCGCTGCACAAGGCAGTAGATCGCGGACATCGCAAGATGGTGGAGTTTCTTTTGAAGAACGGGGCGGAACTCGAGATGGAGGACGACTACAAGAGGACTCCGCTGCATCGCGCAGTCAAAGCGAAGAACCATGTCATGAGGTTGCTGGTGAACAAGGGCGCCAACATCCACGCAGTAGATATGTACGGTCAGACCGCTCTGCACATCGCTGCCCAAGCCGGATTACGTGACGATGTGCACTTTCTCCTGGGGCACGGCGCAGAAGCTGAATTGAAAGACCACAAGGGTCGGACACCACTGGATCTGGCAGTCAAGGCCGGCGAGGTCGAGGTCGAGGAACTCCTTCATGAAATGAGTCTTGTCGTCGTCGACGGATCGTCGGGAAGCGAAGAGTCGGGGGCTGACAACGGGTAGTTGACAAGGTGGCTGTCTGGAGATTAAGAGTCTATGACATGATTGGATTGGCTAACTGTATTTTTATGTCATCATTCTAGATCTGCATGAAGCGTAGTCTGCGTCTCATCCGTCATTTTACGACACCCCCGTGGTGAACTCACATAACAATAGAAATAGACATGTAGGTCAACGTCGCTACCGGACAATCTCATGATTCTTACACCTCCGCTGTCCCATGCTGCTCCCTCACACCCAACGGCGTATGCCTCCCACTACTCATCGACCGACCCATATCCTCCGACGGCATGGACGAATGCGCCACAGACCCCTGCCAATACGACTGCCCCGACAACGACGGCACGCTCTCCAGCTGTGACCTCCTCTCGTCGCAGAACATGATCGACTCACGATCCACCTTCAACTGGCTCGCTGATTTTCCGTTCTCGGGGGTCAGGGCCAACATGGAGAGAGAAGATTCCTTGCCGAGTTGCTTCCTCGCCTCGATGCGCCGTTTCTTGGTGCGATTGCGGAAGCATCGGGCGATGCAGGCGCCTACGAAGAAGGAGCCCAGGATGCTGCAGGTGACGATGGCGGCGATGGTCCCACGGTGGTTCCATTCTTTTAATTCTGCCGATTCTGTGGGGGTTGGTGTGGTGGTTGAGGTCGTCGTTGTTGTTGCTGTGGTTGTTGTGGATGAGGATGATGTGGTGGTGGTGCTGGAGGTACTGGATGTTGTAGTTGAGGTTGTCGTAGCTGCTGTAGTTGTTGTTGTGAATGATGAAGACGCTGTTGAGGTGCTCGAGGCAGTCGTGGATTCTGAGGTCGCCGTCGCATCGGAACGGCTGGTCGTTGTCACGGAGGTCACACTCTCGGCAGCGGAGGTTGATGTAACTGCATCCGTGATTGTCGTGGTATCGCGCTTTAGTATCCATTCTCCAAATCGTCCTTCCAGCCTCGAGTTACGGCTGTCATCGGGATTTGAGTCTTGTGAAGGCGTGATCCTTGTTGCCAGTGATAGGTTTTGTTCTCCGGCTCCTTTGAAATTGGATTGACAGACCACCAGCTGGATCGCTATCAACGACGCAAATATAACGGTCACTCGCATATTGACTGATTGATAACTTTGTCAATAATCTCTATTTGGTTTCAGGTACAATAATGGTGGGAAAACAACCACTTAAATTGGTCCCAATCAAAGTGGATTCTGCCTTTTGCCACATGTTCGTCCGCAGTCTACTCTTCTTGCGATTCTACATGGACTATTTTTGTCGATACTGCCAGTCATCCAAGGCTTCAAAAGGCTCAATATCCACTGAGTTCGTCCAGAGTTGACAAATGTAGCCTGAGTGAACATACGTATCCGCCACGCGGCAACGACCCACAGGGCTGGTTGCTTATCTGGATTTTTCTACATGACGACGACCGTAGTCAAGCCACATGTGCCGGCAATTGATTCAGACAAATTTCTTGAATTTCCTATTCTCTAGCGGACTTGGACAAAGATATAAATATCCTCCAGGGCAAGTTGGAGCGAATCAGTATAAATACGTCAAGAATCAAAGAACCGTCAATTCCCACACTGCCACATTGTGGGGGCATGAAACAAATTCGAAAATGAGATATGATACTGCTGAATGTCCTACATCGCAACAGCAGCAGGACTTCAACATGGGACTGTGTGTGCTGGGTAAAGTGAAGGACTAGCAGTCAAACGCAGATGTCCCGTCCATGTACCGCCGTGGTTTATGGTGCAGCAGCCCGAATCGCACCCTGGGCATTCAGCTTGTTGGCACACTTCTCCACTACCGCAAGGATAGTCTTCTTCTCCGCCGTCGTGTCGCAGTTCTCACCACTCGTCGTAGCCTCGTAAGCATACCCTTCCACATAAGTGCCGTCAGAGTCGGTGCCATACACCAGGGAGCATGAGTTCTGATTCGTTTTGCTCTTGATGATGGCGACAATGTCCTCGTATATCTCAAGACCTGCGTTCGCCGCGAGGATAACACTTGAAAATCGAATTCACGATAGTTGCTGCCGCGACAACGGCCGTGATTCCGGTACGCTTCTCCAGGGTGTTGTTGGTGTAAAGGGAGAGATAGTCGTCGCTCACAATATCAAAGGTCACAGTCAGGTTGGTTCCAGACTAGCCCATTCCTCTGTAATGGGTGTGTAGCTCACTGTTGTAACATTGTCGTTCGAACAGCATCGGTCAATAAGACCAAATGCGAGCAAGCAAGAGACAATCTTGCGTGCGGTGACCATTCCTCTGACCCCAGCCAAATGATAATGGCGCTAATGTCCGAGATGAGAACAAAAAACAGGATCCAAGACTCCATTGAAGATGTTAGAAAGATAGAGGACCTAGAGGCAAGGAAGCAATAAGTGAAAAAGTGACTCTCAATTCAACAATAGAGGAGATTTTCCTTTTATACGCCAAATACTCTGCTCGCCGGGCTGGCAAACAAGGCGCCTGCGCGGTCTTTCGCATTGCTCGAGTCATGATTGTAAGGTGGATGGAGGCTGTAAGGAAACGGTCCTTGATAGTGAGAGCGTTAGTAGACCTCGACTGGAGTAATGACTCTAACGAGGGTAAAGTGTAAGTTAGCAGATTGGAAAATTGGATGTTAGCACTATCTGATATACTACTAGTTCACAAGTGACAACACACAATGGGGCTAGCAAGACAGCTAAGCACAGGGTAAGCTCCAAGATCTCCACTGCCAAGGAAAGGATACGTACGCATTTTTTGGGAGATGGTGAGGTTTTGAGATGGGGACATATCTAGATAAGTGAACAGTGCAATGCTTCTGTCATTCTATCACTTGAGCTCCAGCTAGTACCGTTTTATGTTAGTGTCGAAGTCTGTACCCGCTTGAAACGGAGCATATTCTATGTTTTACACCGCAATTGAGCACCTGAGGCTATCGGCTCACACCATACCGTACTTGTTGCCTACTGACTACTCCCACCTTCCAGCAAGGCTGTGTGGTGTGTGGACCGAGCGGATAGCTTCCGTGTCTACCAATCGGCGCCGACTGACTAGATGGCACTGGTGATTTCAGTGTATAATAAAGCTCCTCACCCCCGGTCAGGTGAGAAAGCGCATCCTCGACGAGCTGAAGACTGTCAAGATCTGTTGACTCTTTGATCTCGGTTATCATGGTTGTACGTGTATTTTCCTCCACGTCCGGAAAATGCAGTGTCAGGATGTTGTTAAAGTCATGCAAATCATTAACAAAGCGCTCAAACTTCTTCTTGTCTTTAATCGCCCACCGTGCTGCGGCATTTGCTTCTGAATACGCGATGCCGACGCCTGTAGACAGGCACATGTCTTCTTAAATGTCATCTTAACTGGATTCTCGATGGTAAGAACCGCAAGATCATCAGAAGCCAGTACTTGTAGCCCGTACTTCGTCACCAGGGATCCACTATCTTCAAAGAGGCGCCGCATGCGATTCAGAATATCTCCAACTGCACTGGCAATGCGCGGATCGACAAGTCGAGAATCTAGCACATCGTAGTATTCGGCGATGCCATCTCCCTGAGAGTCTTCATCTTTTGGCAAGTCATAAAGCCCTACCAAGCTTCCCCATAGTTCTAAGCGAACACGTTCAACCCCAACCTTTGTGACAAGTATCTTGTAGTCTGTGCCGAGATTTCTACCGAATTCGATAGCATCATACAAATCCAAGCAACTCTTGAAAAGAGTGACGAGGGACGCGGCTCCGAGAACAAGTCCTGTTGGGATCATAGTGTCGCATGTATGCCTGAGATATGGATAAACAAGCCAAAACCACGTCGGGGAGGACCTAATCGTGTTCAGCGGCCCCCATGTCGCCAGACTCCATCCACACGTTTATTTTATTTGACTTTGGGTTCATCTCGTATTCAACAGAACTAGTCTACAGAAGGATACAACCAAAACAAGATGATTGGTTTGATATCGCCATCCCGCTCTGGAGGGAGCACTGCCCCTCATGAACACACCAGCCCCGTTGAATTAGAAATAAGGCAGATTCGGATGCAAACAAGCTGTGGAACCCCCGCTGGAAATGACTGCTCGAATAAGTATCAGTTTTAACATATTGATGACAGTCCTCATATACGGAGTATAGTGTTAGTGAAAGACTCACAGTCATATAACCAATCTCACACGATCCCATTCAAATGAATGTCTCGCTTCCGTTGGCTCTGCACCTTCGCAGCCCCATAACATTCGATTGGGACACGAAACAGCGGTTGAAGCCTGGCACGGTATATTCCACTTCTGACCGTACTCGTATAATTTGTCGTCCAGAAGCTGAGATATGGCAATAGCGATTCAAAGAAGGCTTCTCGCTAAATGAGTTCTTCTTTATCAACGAACGTTCCGCTCGGGATGAGTCAACTGTGCTCTTTGCAAACATCCTCCGCCCCATCTTCGATCACCAAGATTGGTCACAGCTATATGTTTTCTTTACCAAACGCTATTCTGAGGAAGAGGGATCGCTCGATGCTGAGATTCGTACCGTGAATTCACCCGACAAGGGCTCAACTTTGAAGGAACCAGCCATTATCTGCATCAAGACGGATCCTAGCTCCGTCGGCCTGCCTAAGGACTTTATAAGCCTCCTTAGAACAGCAAACATCACTTGTCGCTCAGGGATGGTGGGAGCTGATACACAGCCCTGCGCTATCGGTCCCGCTATCAGTTTTGCCTGTGGCCCAGGGACATACATGGACCTTACCTATGCCGGTCAGCGACCTGGAGAGTATTCAAAGTACCGATACGTCGACAGCAAGCTGAAAGGAACTGTAAATTCCGAATACCAAGTCGTGGCTGAGCCCATCGAGACAACGAAGAAAGGCGGCCGAGGACGCTATTGGGCTGAATGGGCTCGTTTGTGGACTACCATTGCGGAATGGGTGTGGGAGTACGAGAGTGAGGTACGCGCATTGGATGATTGGCCTGAGCACTCCTTTAAATGGGACCTCAGTGCTGAAGAAAAGCGCTCTTTCGATATATGTGGAAAGGTCCCGCGCGAATACCTCGATACCGATGCTATCAATGCTGCCGATGCCATCCGCGATGTCTTTGTTCAACTAGCGCATGAACCTCGGCGCTTCCAGGGAATCGAATGGGACTTTCTTGATATAGCGGTGCTTCAAGAGGTGCAAGACGCGTTTCATGCACGCTTCGGTATGAAAAACCCGAACCCGGCGGTTAATCGGGGCGACTTGCTGCGCCAGGTTGCGCGCAGTGGCTCTGTAGCGTATGATGGATACTCGCAAGCATATGATGAGGTGAGTCCGATGGCGATCAAGCATTGCCCAGAGAGCTTCTTGGGGAAGAGCTGGGAGACATGGCTATTAGCGATTCAGGGTGGAGATGTTGTCGTCGTGAAGACGATCTTCCAGGTGAGTGGATGGTCCATTACTTCGCCATTCTGTTCAGGCTGCCGTACTGACCTTTACTGCAAGGCGCTCTGGGCTGTTTTGCTGTTATCCCACATTCCGGTGCATATCAAGATAATCAAGCCCGGTGAAAAGTTTCCGAAGTATCGAGATTCGGAGACTGTTTATATTTAGTGCAATCACCTGATGTATGCATTTCATTTCATTCATCAAACTAATACAGTTATTGAATGATTAAGCATCAACATTAAACCAAGACATACACCCCTGGATTAGCTATCGCGTGCAGAGTTTCACTAAAAATAAAGATAATAGTGAATCCACACTATCTAAGTTCTGCACTGATAATGTACCAGCGCTCCCTGCTACATACTAGATCAGGTTGGTCGGATTTTTATCCGGTCAGGGGCCCCATTTGCTCCCTTACTTCTCTACTGCCCCAACCTTTAGGGATAAGTTAGCTGCATGTGAAGTGATTCACAGTTGATCTTTGGAGTATATACTCCGTAGAGCCATGAGATATCTTGAAACCATTCTGTATACTAAATTTATGGAGGAGATGAAACCCCAAAGACAAACACCTAATATAGGCATTCTTTCCAATACTCCATACAATGAGTATGAACCTAAAGATTATATAGCTAAATCCCCCGGGCTCTCGCGGAAGGCATCTTGGAAACTACTTTTTGACATTGACCGCTTCTCAGTCCTCAAATTACTGTCTAGTGTTTGGAAGCTAGTGTATGATGTAATGTATAACCAATTTCCGATCTACCTCTGTAGTCGGTCAGTAATCAGATCAGGATGCTCCGGTCAGGCTCAGTGAGTGGATCAGTTTGATTATGCAATGATCACTGACCAGCTCAGGTTCATCAGTTCTACTCAGTGAGCAAAATCGGCGAGAGGGAGGCGGAGCACTAGAACGGAAGGAGAACGCCAAGGGTTGCCAGACATAATTCGGTATATATGTCCTATGTCTTCACAGTAGTACAGTCAATATATGCGATTAATCACCCTCAGAATCTTGCATTATCATAGTTGCAATGTCGAGGTCTCATGCCATTATCATAGGAATGACTACAAGGTGAACAGAACCTCTAGAGCCCAATGGGAATAGTCAACATCCAAGGTTCACGGTCATCTGTCCTCCTCATTCACTCACCTGAAAGAATATGACCATAAAAGCATAGTTATCTGTGTCATCTTCCTCCTATTAGCCCATAGCAATTTCAACAATTTTCATACAGACACGACGGCTCCAAGACCAAAGCTACCATTCGACCGCGAGCCGGAATCCCTCCTTCCAAACTATGATGAGTTAATCCGACGTGGACAGACGCCAGTCAGAGTCAATCACATACTACTTCCGGGCGTCACTCATAAAGAGCACACTTTCCTCGGCCCTGGACAAAACACGTTGATCCTCTCGATCTTCCCGCAAAGAGAGAGAGTCTGCCAGGCTCTGTACCACAGAGATGACCAACCATCTACAACATCCATGGTGGAGGCATGATTTTGGGCAATCGCTTCTGCACCTTAAGCGGCCTGCTCGAATTATTCCGCGACTATGACGCCATTTGCACCACGATCTAATACAGAGTTGCGCCTAAACATCTCTACCCTTCACCGAGCGAAGATTGCTACGCCGGCCTGGTCTGGGCACAAGAGCACGTAGAAGGAACACGGAATGGACTCGGCTCGCATTGTCATCAACGGACTTTCAGCAGGAGATGGTCTGGCAGCCGGTGTGGCGCTGCTATGTCGCGACCGGAAAGGCCCTTTGTTGATCGGCCAATCGCTCTTCTAGCCTATGATTGATGATCGTAGTGACTCGCTTTCTGCGCACGAGTTCACTGGCGTCGACATCTGGAAAATATGGCAGATTGGAATGCGTATCTAGGTGATCGCAGAGGACGTGACAATATCAGCGTGTATGCAGCCCCTATCAGAGCAAAGAATGTTGCTGGGCTTCCGCCGGCGTGTATTGACGTCGGATCAACGGAGACATTTCTCGATGAAGATGACCAGTATGTGCAGAGTATGTGGCGTGACAGAACGCAGTGTGAGCTACATGCATGGGCTGGCGCATGTCATGATCGAGGATCTGGGCCGCGGAGCGCAGTTGTCTATCATGGCGAGGAAGGCGAGGTCGCATTCGCTGCGGCGGATTCTGTTCTGTTGATGGGATGCTCCCTAGGTACTTGTACACTATTCAGGAAGGTGGTCAGTTTGGTTAAATTAGTCATCGCTGTGGACATCACCGGAAGAAAAAACTCGAAACAATACCAGATTCAGCTAGTCTATCTCCTATTTTTCCAACGATAGCGTGAACGGTTGTCAACCATGTTCCGCTGAGATAAAAATATGTCATGATAACCAACCGCACAAAGACTGCTGTCAAACAACGGATAACCGGTAAGGGTCCGCAGTTGAGTCCTCAATCAATTGTTATATATTAAATAATGTTATGCTATCGGAGAGCTAATTGATGGGTTGGTAATAAGACATAGCGCAAAGAAGGAATTATCATCGAGATCAATTGATCGGAATAGAGGCATATACATCATGCGGGCATACGGTCACGTGAGTCCTCAATATGGGATCATGACAAGTAATAATGTTTATCTATATCGTAGGCCAATGTATCGGCGAGTGCTTCACCTCCCCTGGAAACTTTCCCATACACGATTTGGTGCAAGACTCCTTGGCTTCTGATAGTGATAACAACTCAATGTACAGGAGGCAACAGTCATCACTATGTGCCATCCAACGAAACTTCTGAGGGATTCAAGATTAACATCATATTGTACGATAAAGTGCGGAAATCAAGCCTGCTATATCTGTTGTGGACCTGTCAAGACTCAAAGACGTAGCCCGAGGTTGGGTTGGAATCACGTGGTGAGCTATGTTAGCGCTTTTAGGCTCCAGTTTTGGACGGAACACATTCGTACTCCTTTCCAATCTTCCTCTAACAACCCACTTCAACGACCGAAAAAAAGTTTCCTATTCTGCCGCTTCTTTCTCGTTTATATATATAATATCATCTGAACGCAGTATAGTAACCAGGCCAAAAATATCTCATTATTCTCTCTCCTCCACCCCCCGAAACCATGGCACCGGAACCAGACCAAGAGCCGCTGATCGACAGTAACCCACAGCTACAGTCTTACTATCAATCCCTTGAATCGAGAATCGGGTATCGGCTACTTTTGGGTGGGACCCGCCATTTTGGATTCTACGAGAATGACACTTGGTGGCCATTTCCGATAAGCAAGGCTCTCCGCGCTATGGAAGACAAGTTGGCGGCATCGCTAAATCTCTCACCTGGCGCCTATGTCCTTGACGCCGGGTGTGGCGTCGGCCACGTTGCTATTACTCTAGCAACTAAGTACGGGTTCAGAATTCAAGGCATTGACATCATTCAGCACCATCTGGACAAGGCAAGACGGAATATCGCTCGATCAGGTCTTTCAGAAGGTCAGGTTGCTGTTCGGAAAATGGACTATCACCATCTAGAAAAGTTCGGAGATCAAACATTCGATGGTATTTACACAATGGAAACGTTCGTTCATGCTACAGACCCAGAGGCCGTCCTAGCTGAGTTCTTCCGTGTGCTGCGCCCCGGTGGCCATTTGTCCTTGTTTGAGTACGACCATGTGCTGGGAGACGACTCCCCTGAGGAAATGGCACGTTTCATGCGCAAAATAAACGAAATTGCCGCTATGCCGACAAATAGCCGGTCTCATCCAGGCGTATTTCAGCAGATGATTGAAGACGCCGGATTCACAAATGTCGTCGTCCGGGACTACTCGGACAATATAAGACCGATGACACGGTTATTCTACCTGCTTGCCTATATCCCTTTTCTTCTGGTTACACTCCTTGGCCTGGAACATTTTTTCATCAATACCGTCGCGGGTGTTCAGTCCTATCGCGGCCGTAATCACTGGAGGTATTTAGCCATCTCAGCTACGAAACCAGGCGGCTCCATTGAGGCAGTGAAAGACCGGTGATTTTATGGTATTTAACGACAAATATTCTGTGTCAAGCGATCGTGTATCCATTCTCTTCTGTGCCACCGCTCATGTTCTATGTATTTTTGGTTTAGGGGCCGAAAGTATATAGCTTTTTCTATAAGCTTTTGTCTATGGAGGGACTCCAACGGGCTCAGTATTTGTTGGCGCACCGAAGGTTTCGACGATCAGTGGGTGGCCACCACCCCTAACTAGAACTGTTTAGTTAACTGCTTCTCCTTTGTAAAAGGCTGTATACGCAGGGGCGAATAAAAATTAAACAAAATATCCATGTGATGGACTCGGGGGAAGAATTTGTTAAAAATGCAGCTTCCATCTTGCTCCAGAAAGGACTACAAAAAAACCACACAGCTTTTGGGCTTCGCTAACCATAGGTCGCTCAAGGTATCAAGTCCTTCCAGCAATGTGTAATAAATCAAAAGCAGATCTCTGATATGCAGGCTAGTGTGATAAGCTTAGCAACAATCTCATCTCCATGCCATATGATTGTCAATTCCCCAGGAAGGGTATGAACTTGTTGACACCAATGTACACGCCTGATGGTTGCGATCGAAGGGAAATGAAATCCTCAATATAGATATACCCTCGAGCAAAAACATAAATAATGCACAATATACTGACGGGGACATTAACACGAAGAGGAAGTTCCATTTCCGGGTCATGATCTGCAGAAATATTTCTGCACCGGCGCAAAGCTTCGCGAAGACCTCTTGGAGGTTTGATATTGGGAGCTTCGGAATGTTGGGACTCCAGAAGAGAATTAGAGGCCTGAATATGTTGATGACTGCGCGAGGATTGACGTCTACTTTGAATCATCTCAATCACAAAGTAGACGCCTCCATAGATTGAGAAAATTGCATGGTACACACTGCATACCCTCCAAAGAACCTTTTCAGTATTTGTTGGAAAATGGAAGTTCCACGCTACTAGGAACAAACCACTGAACCCTAGTAGGATTATGAATGCAACAGGCGCGTATATAAATTCCGGGCACAGCCAAGTATCAGACGGAAACCTGTCCCAGGGTCGAGATTTGACTGGCCGGGAAAAGATACGGATATGGATAATCTGAGCAAGTCTTGTATAGTAGCTCCAGTGAACGTCAATTCCAAAGCGATCATGGCCAATAAATTCGAGCGGCGTCCGATACCAATGGCCGGGGAGCATTGGGTGAGTCTGTGAACAGTATCTATTAGTCCCAAAACAAGCTAGGTTCGGATCAAATACTGACAAGCTCTTGCATAGAATTTCTTATATCCTGCACAGTTTTATTATTCTTGGTGGGGATGAATCGGGGCCGTGTTATAGAAGGCTTGAAATACCAAACGGTAGACGTGGCGAACATCACCATTGAAAACGAAATAGCAGTCAATTCAAGCGTGGTCATGGGCAGGCCTTGGCGAGCCCTTTGAATTTCACCGACTAAAAACCAAAGTGTTTGAAATACAACTATCAATCTAGAATAATCAGAAGGTGTTTCTACCCCCAGGGAACTTCACCTACCGTGACAGAGTATCCGCTGAATTTCTTTCAAAAATATCCATATTCTCCATATCCGGAAGATCAATATGATCGTGAGTGATTAAATAATGCAGCTGCTGGGCGTTGATCGGGAATCCCTGGACAAAATCCGGACTTGTCAGGTGTATTCCGCCCATGTCGACGAAGAAAGCATGGGTGTAGGTCCATTTAAAGTTGTGTTCAAATTCTTTATCTTCCTTGAAAAGCTATCCATAGTCAAAATACGTTAGAAACTGCCTTGCTTCTGAGACTGTGACGAATTACGTACCTTCACACTTCTTCTTGCGCTGGAGAACTGGCCGAAGGCAATTCCGAACAGAAAGTCGGGGCCCAAGAGACCAATGCAGAAGAGGTTGAACTTATCAATGAACGGGTGATACCATTTATCTGTCGGCGAGCCGACATTCGGATATACAGATACCCAACAGCAAAGGATAATGATTATACAACAAGACCACAAAATGTCAATGCTGCCTCTGTCGGAGGATGACGCGACCCAGCCATGAATCGTAACGTTCGTAGTATTACTCATTTGAATATACTGTAGAATTCCAGAGGCGAGGTTGAGAGTGTAAGGAACCAATTATGGGATGTAGACTTCAAGGACAGCAGACAAAGACCGATATGATGTATAAGAACTACCAGGAGAAGATGGTCAAATTTACCGCACTTGGTCCATGGATTCGGACTATTTTGAAACCACAATGCCTCTCGCAGTACATATTTGCCAAGGGGGTAGAGCAGACACGATGATAGTGGCCTGGAATAAACCAACTCGTCGGCAAGGATGCCAGCATCCTAGCGAATAATCTGTGTTCGTTTGCCGCCGACGGGATCGCTGTGTTCAGCGTCGGTCGACCAACCAACGCATGAGAGCGCCACAAGAACAAAACTTGCAAAGATCCCGGCCATTTCAGGGGTTGGTTGCAATCCTATACGACACTAGGACAGACCAGACAACCCTGGAGCCGTGCCAACACCAACGATCACGCTGCTCAACCTGCTGACCGTTTTAACCACAATTGCGGAATGTATCGCCAACGTCCACTTCCAACGCGCCAAACTAGGGCCAGAGCGGTGTCAATGGGAGTGATACAATCCTGATCACTTGATAATAGATGTCATAGCCACTACTACCAAAGAGCGAACTGTACAACGCTCATACAAGATTATGAATCATGTCTTGAATCACTGACTGCCTCTGTACTCAACAAATGGGCTTGTGGTTTAGTGGTATAATACAAGAATACGTCCGTGGAACAGCTCGTGAAAAGTAGGTATTGATCGCGAGTCTATCTCGCTGAAGGGCTTGTCGACGGTGCCCTGTAATCCCCATGGATAGATCGCTGGATCGTTATGTTTAACCTTGCCCTCCCGCATGGCTGTAGTGAAAGCGTGCCTGGCTTCCATTGATGGCTGAACAGATTTGCCTGAATTTCAATAGCTGTACTGATGTTGAACTCGTTACAATAGTTGATTGCCTTATAAGGCGTCTTGGGGCGGCCAGTCTTGCGGATCCAGAGGCCGTATCGTTCCAGGATCCATGTGTGGTATGCGTGGCGTCCGGTTCCCACTGGTTTGGGAAATCCGGTTTCAGTCCAAGAGATTTCCTTTAGGTTGGGTGTTTCGTCCTCACTCTCCGAGGGCAACACCGGCTCGTAGTCAATAATGATTTTCTGGTGTTTCGCTGCCGTTGTTCTTGCCCTATTCCGCCGCGTTGCTTCAAGTTCAGCCTGGCGCTTTTGGAAATATGGTTTCAGTCCAAGAGATTCCCTTTGGTTTGGGTGCAAGATCTTCGTAGGCTCTGACTGCTAGTAGTGGATGATGCAAACCCCTGGTGGCATCTGAAGATCCTGCCTTCAGGACATTTCCCTTTTCAGCCCGGCAACTTCCTTCTACTGAGGACCACATTTGAATCGTCGTATGTGATGCCTTGGAAACTGGACCTGTGGATAGGAACATGTTCATTTAGTCGTGAAACCGCTAAGGTAATGTTCAAGGAATTGGCGAGCCATTTGGAAGAGATGCAGCTCGAAACGTGTGTTACAGTCTGGATAGAAGCCTGTCTTTATTTTAAGAAGGAAAAAGGCCAGACAGACAAGAGGAAAGAACGAGAAGCAAAGTAACAAAGCAGCGAGGACAGGATCGGCATATCGAAGAGAAGAAACAGTCAGAAGATGAATTTGCTGGAATCGTATTGCATGACTTGACCGGCGGAGAAGGTACATGATCTAGGTCGTTGAGCCAGAGAACAACCAGTGTCCGCTAAAAGTGCACATTCGAGCTGTCTGACAACTTCATCGTCCGAGAAGAGGCAGTATCCAGCTTGCTCGATATTCCAGCAAGGAAGCGGAGGCACAGCCTCTTCAAGCGAGGATTTCCAGGCGACCTCGAAACAAAGGCTTGACGCATTCTTGGTCGGAGAGAGCCACATTTGAGCAAGTGTTGGAATTGGCCGTCCCTTAGAGGCATCCGTACAAAGGGCTAGATGTTGCCTTTCTTGATGTGCTTTTAAAGTTGAAGTTTAGCTTGTATTCACTTACAGTGAATCTGTCACTTGGCAAAGACGTCAGAACCAATGAAGATGGGAATAGATCTGAAACTATGAATTTTAAAAACACCAGTCAAGGCTCTTTTCTGAGACCGATTACTGACACTATTGCCAGCTCCGGTATCGTCCCGGAAGATCAACAGGAAGGAACAAAATTTGTATCTGGATATGTGTGATGGACAGGGAGTCAGGGGTGAGAATGCAGATTGTAAAGAGTTCTAGGGAACCGAGGAAGTGAATATGCCAATTCTGGATCATTCTGATATTCACTGTCAGTAGCAAGTATCCTTTATAACATCATCCTCTCCTCTGTGACATTATCATATTATTCAGAAGTTACACTACATGGTTAAAGGTGAATAGCTTTGCTGTCCCTGCCTCTTTCCATGTTCGACATATAATAACAAGTCTGCAAGGGATATTGTACAAACATGTAGGCTAATACTCTAGACAGGTATCAAAAACTGCATCCCAGAACACCGAGTCTTCTCCCACGCAGTCATCATATTCTGACATAATCTTTCTCAAAGCAGCTAAAACAAACAGGCGCATAACATTGTACTTTCAGATGCCACGCGGCTCAAATTCGATGGCATTTTGCCCATCCGAGCCAGACTCACCTCCGCTGTCCCCAATAGTACCAGAAGCGAAGGCACCGAATCTGCAATGTAACCCCTGTCGGCATCTTCACCAGAAGCACCCTGGTCAAAGTGGAGGACCATTCCATTCTCAGCATCAAGCATTGCCACCGCATCATCGAGATGGCCAATAAAACAACAGAAGTTGACAGGCGGAGAATCGTCATCCGCCCGGCGGCGGCCGAAGATCAAATCCGCGTCCCAGGGGAACAGAGGGCTGCATTCATCGTTCTCAAAGTCCTTAAAATACCATTTGGTAACTGGACAGAAGACAGAAGGGATTCCAGTGGTTGTGAGAAATTCCCGTGTCCTTTTGTGCACCAGAAACTTAGGTACCTGTGATTCTGTAGGTTTCCAAAATCCGTCTGAACCAAAGTGCGCTTTGAGCCAGGAGGTATCTGGGTTCTTGGGTAGTGGTAGGTTATTCTAGGAGAGTCACTGGGTTTACTCATAGTTTCCTCAGATAGAGTTGAACATATATCAATGACTATAGACGTCAGAATCCGTTCCTGTTTTCGCGGGTCATTGAACAAATGATACAATGTCTTGCAGCACTGTGACAGGCGACCCGCGTCTTTCATACTTGCTAGGCTCCCATAGATGATCAGAAGGACCCCGACAGGGAGGTCTAAAAGACGACTCATTGTGTGTTGTAGGCGTCACGGATCTACTAAACGGCCTCTGCTTGGTCAGGAAAATGAAGGTTGTACTTGTGGGTGCATTCAGGGGCCTTGGTGGAACCTATTCGGGTTATTTCTTGGCGGCTGTTGCCTGAGGCAGACGGCACAACTATTGATCTGCGGGGCAGCCAAGGTAGCTGTCAGGGACTGATAGAGTATGATAGGTAGTCGTACGTTAAATGATCTGAGAGATGGATTCAGTAGTGCATAGGCAACAATCATTCTGTTATCAACTACCAGTGAGGAATATAAACGGACCACTCCACCGTCTGAAATGCCGACTCAGATAGATCCCGCAGCCCAACCAAGTCCTCAACTAGTATACACACCTTCGAAATACAATACAAAGCGCACAGCAGGGTCACAGGAATGAGCGCTAAGAGCGGAATCTCCAGCCTTGGGTGCCTCGAAGGATGAATATTTCTCACCTTCGCAGCGAGATGCTGCATCCGCATTCGCGGAATAGTCGCTTCCACATCTCCAGCCCTTCGTTTCTCAACATGCCGTGGAAGAAGAACCTTATAGCAGAATTGTACGTATGGGCCGCCAACGATGGAGAATAACAGTGTATAGCAGGACGCAATGCGCCACAGGATTCACTCGAGGGAAGAGGGAAAGTCAAAGCTCCAAGCGAACATGAACACGCTGCCAAAGAGGAGAACGATCGGACAAGCGAGGGCATCAGCTAGCGTATCTAAATGCGGAAAATCGTTGCTTGGGATGCGGTTGTAGGGTTTGCTGGTGACGGGACGGGAGAAGACGGGACAGTGCATTCCTAATTGTCAGTGATGGAATATATATGTGCTGACCATTTATGATGATTATCAGATCTGACGCGTTCCTTGAGCCTGCAAGGTGTCCGATCGGCGTGATTCTGATAAGACCACCATCCAGGAAGCAACTGTAGGAGTTGCTGCGGACGTCAAGACGCTACAACAGCTCGGTTCTTCCGGGAGAGCGGCGCGGCGAAAGCGGGATGAGAATCTAGTCAAGCAAAATTTCAGGGCTGTGAGCGACGCTGTCGAACGACATCTAAGGGAAGACGGTGAAGGTGAAAGACGAGACAATGCGGGTTAGTAGGATGCATATGTGGCAGTACCAACTGGTAGCCGCGGCCTTGTGGCACCACCTCAAGAGATAGAGAATTCTGGGTATGAGTTCTCACTAGGATTGACCTTGCACACGGTTAAACATCTCATGAACCCAATACTGTCCCCATCAATCCTCCTCGAAAGCCCGCTGCAAATCAGAATCATACTTCTTCTTATCGGAGACCTTTCTTGCAACAAACTTTCCCACATCTCGTACCCAGTAAAAGGGCATAATCTCACCAATTTCCTCCGAGCAATGCTCGGATAACAGTGGCTGGATATGCTCATAAAATATTCGGAAGAGACCCGTCGGACTGGAGAGAGCCAATGTATACCAGAACGTACCTCTCGTCCAAGCCTCTTCCATGACTTCTGACAGTCGGGGTACTGTGTGGTCAGTATCCGGTGAGGTAACGGAACTGAGTAGTTTCGTCTCCTCCGACGCCAAGATGCTCATCAGTTCTCTGCGAAGCGTATCGTAGTCTTTGGGATCGATCTCATCCACACCTTTGTTTGTTAGCCAGTAAGGGGGCTCAACCATTTCGATTGGGCGCGAGCATGCCCATTCCAGATCAACGAGGCATGTTATATGCCAGTTCTCATCGACGAAGATATTGCTTTGATGCAAATCAGTTAGTGTGAAGACAAACGGCCCGCAAGAATAACGGGGATGTGGTTCGTATTGCCGCCAGAGCCGACATTTGATAGGCGCAGTCCTCTAAGTTATTGACAGCGTTGGGTTGGTCACGGAGTCGACTGTCATGGACTCTTAAAATATCCGCCACGTAAGAGTCAACGGTGGAATACGTGTAGTGACGGGGCATGTCTGTTGTGATTTGCTCGTTTTCTAAGTCCACGATCTCAATTGAAAGAGGGCGGTTGCTCAGACGCAAGAATCCTTTAGAGTCTATGACGAAGGAGCCAATCTGCGGGAAAGGTATGCTGCTAATACTCAGCAAGATCCGCGAAAGGTCTCGAAAGAAGTTCTGCCGCAGTTTTGTATCATGCCGTTTCAGCGACCATGTGTTAGACAGCATAGTGCCTCGAGGCTCCTCGATTTTCTCTATCAGTAGATATCCCGCGCCGGTCACACCCTCAAACGAAGCCAAAGTTCTGTTCGAATGGCGGACATAGCATGAGGGCACAGGGAGACCAAACCAGGATAATAATCGCCGACGCAAGTGCTGGAAGTAACGACTCAGAAAAGGCAGATTCTCAACGTGAGTGAACTGATTCAGCAGTCAGCAGATGCCTGAGATACGAAGGGTATTTGGCTCAGTACAGTTTCACCCGTTGACGTGGCAAAGCCGTATAGTTGAGGAATAGGGACGCCTGGACAATTTGCTTGAAGCCATGCGTAGGCACCGGCCTCACATTGAATCTTTTCGTCTCCAGCTTCGCCGACACGGTGCGGAAGCGGGAACCGGAGAAGGACGCTGTGACCTTGCTGTTGCCTTCTTTTCCAGTCCTGAATTGTGACTGGGACGGAAACATTGAAGCTCCCACAGAGCCAATCTTTCGTTTCTGCCACTTGACACACCTCCGTTGACCGTAGACCCAGATGATGGACAACCACAGCTTTCATCCAGGCATGTTTACTATTGAGATGAGAGAAGAAGCGCGTCTGTTTATCATGGTAATCCAACTGATGAAGAATATTAACCTCTCGCTCCTTCGCGACGGAGAAAGTGATTTCGTCATTGAGGAGACGACGCGTTCTCGGCATGGCGCATAATGCCCAGGAAGGACCCAGATAGTATGTTCAAGTGTTCGATGTTATGCCCCTTTCAAGCAACGGAGTGCTAGCTCCTTTGTGGGTCACCGACTCTTAAAATACCACCAAGTGGGCCTTACAAAGAAGTTCGAATCTGAAGCTGTGACCGCCTTCCGATTCTAGTCGACGCTCGCTGGGCAAGTATCAATTGTGATTGGCTAAAGCTAGCAAATCAAATACAGCAACCAATACAAACAAGGCAAAAGGTATTAGCCAGTAACATGAGTTCTTCGTTAGTACCTTATTGTTCGTCCCGTCATCATTTCCCTGAGCCAAGTGGCTGACTTAGCTGGAAGGAAGCCGGTAGAAATAAAAGCAGTCATTTCCCAATTCTGCTTGGGGGAAAACAGAAGAGTCCTTGCACGGTGATCTCCATCCAATACCGTGCAAGGGATTCGTTGATGGCGCCATTGAGCGTGGTAAATATGCTGTGCGGGAGCAGACTCAGCAAACCAAGGTGGTTAGGAGATGGAATTACGTGTGGCTCGACCACTTATGTAGAGAGTTTGTTCCCAAGGCTACCTGCTCTTCAGTAGGTAGACTCCAAGATTTGGTACTGTATGTCAGCACAGAGTAATGCAGGGATCTCAGACCTGGAACCCATGGAGCGAGACTCCTGACCCTTATGGAAGCCCGCTGCCCGATTAGACCTCCGACGTCTCAATTTTTATGCTCAATTCATTTATGTACAGCCCGACAGCGGTCAGTTGAATAAAATAGTCCAGTCTCTCTATATCTAAAACACGCCGACTTTGCGGAATCTACGTCCGCCGAGACATGTCAAAGTCGAGACGATGCAACCGATGCGCTTTGGTTCGGAACTCGACAACGACAAAGACAACGAGAGCGAGGTTCTGGATGATTTCCTCGGGGCTACGGTCATTTCTCCAAGCAGCTGGTGGCGGAAAAGAAGCACATGGCATGTTGGACGAGATGACAGACTCGAGATGCCTAGGTCTCTCGGTGAGTGCTTTTCCTGAGCTGTAACAGGACTCCTGGTCGCTAACGAACACCAGAAATGCTCCTAGATGATTATAACCTCGCACTAGGCGTCGAGTCCCCAAATGCTAAGCTCATCCGCCCGAGACTGGATTCCATCCTAATCCAAATCCTATCCGGGGTGAAAGAAGCGCGACAAAGGTCTGAGAATACGAGTCTGAGAGGTGTATCCCAATCCAGTAGATTCGGAATGTCTGCCATTCTGGACGCAGTGTCCTGGGGATCCCGAAACAGACTCTGCATAGCGCACGACTTTGAGGGTTGTAGTTACATCGTTGGCTGCACGGTGGACTACGCTCTATGGTACGGGAGCCGACAAGACCTCGAAACCAACTTTATTGTTGTCCAAAGCGACGTGCTAATGGAGGATGAGTGCTGGATGCCTCTTGCAGCTATGTGTAAGTTCCATATTGCTCTTCAGAGCATGTCCCCTTAGCGTATCTTCCTACTAACACGTACTGCCCAGCCATCATTCACTACGCTCGAAAGAAAGCCGGGAGGAACGCGGAAATATATGGTATCTGTACAGATAGTTACAAATGGACGTTCTTGCATCTAAACAGCAAGAGTGAGGTATGTGTTTGCCTACGGTCTAGATGATAGGGAGCTGACGGACGATATGCAAAGTACTCGTCGCTCCACCTGGACTGGACACAAGGTCAACAAGAAGAGATCGTCAGCCAGATTGGCAAGATTATAAAACAGGCAATTGAGATTGCAATATCAGAAGCTCGAATGGACCGACGGAAAATGACCGTGAGCCAGATGACTGGCTGTATGGTTTTGGAGTAATTGGTCAAGCACTTTAGAGACTTCTTGCATGTAGGAGATAGAGATAGTCGAATTGTATAACGGATATACTCAAAAGGTTCCAAATACTATTGCAGCATTCTGAGCCCGATTATGTACGGTAGATAGCAGGAGGGCTTCTGCGTTGACATCACATCTGCGTCGTCGACTTCATTACCCTGTCCTGACCCCGACATTTACGAACTTTATCCATTACCGCACTCTACAAAGCTACCTTCTGACTGAAATAATGGACTATTTCGAAAGATTGAAGACTCAAATACGCAAGAGCTCAGCATCATCTTCGCCCATGCGGAGCAAAGCTGACATCGACAAAGCGCCGGTAGTGTCTAGGGCTGTTGCCGAGCAAGGGAAAAAGCCTGTCACTTCAGAAAAGCACGACCTCCCACATATCACCATTGCCGACATAAAACCGCAAGATGTCCGTGGGTTCCTACGCCTCCAGCCAGATCTGACTTTTAGTTCTTGCTGGCAGTTGACAGCGCAAGACAAGGTCCAAGGGCCTGACTACTTAGGTAGGTACTCGTATTTACTGCTCCATAAACCCAGAAGGTCAACTTCAGGCCTCACACTAGTATAGGGTCGATATTGTCGGGCTATTGGCGTGCTGCAGGTAGAGATAGCGAGAACAAAGCGCTTATGAGATCCCGTCTTGAGACAATTCTCGTCGCAGCCCTTGCAAGCAAGAAGCGCGAGTCCGCCTCAGCGTACGGATCCCTGCATCTTCAATTCGAGAAGAATTTGAGTCTGCCGTGGTCCTATCAGAATAGAGCTTATGTGTTAGAGGGCAGGACAGACTACTCCCTTTGGTACGGGGGACAAAAGAAGGAGACGAACCTGCTTTTTTTTTGTGCATCGCGTCGAGGGAACATTGGCCGATATCAGGCATTGTCTTCTATGGGTATGTGGCACTGACTCAACGAAAGAATTTACTGATTAAAGTATGATAGCGATGCTGCACCATGCAAGGAAGAGAGCTGGACGCAACGATACTGTAGTATATGGAATCGTTACTGATACTGACGAGTGGCGCTTCTTGTGCATCGACAAGCAATCTCGGGTGAGCCGTTTGACCAACTGCTGAAACTACTGAAACTTCTTGCGAAATACTGACTTGGGTAGTACTCGGGCTGTATCATGACCTGGGACAAAGGACAGCAGGTGGATATTATATCGACAATTTACAAGATCCTCAACCACGCTGCAGCGCTGGCGCAAGCTCTCGAAGCACCCAGTCTAACAGAGTACAGAAGTGTCGAAGATTCCAGTGGTCTCGAATGGTCAGACTGAAGGGATGCGAGCCTGCGAAACGGTTTCTACAGGGAAGGCTTTGCCAGGCATGCATGTGTAGAGCCAGACCTTTACTTTGCTCGTGGGGTGTGATTGTGTTAGGGAACCCAACATCATCATCATCATCTGTAGCTCACCTAGAGGGAAATGGCTGAGGAATTTGCTACAAGAGGCAATGACAAAATATAATAATGTATATTTAGCACGCTTTGTGACATGACACTCTAGTGACTGCATTGTCTCATTTTCCACCCATGGTTTTAGAAGCCATTTATTAAACTTACCTTGGCAGCACATTCAGTTTCCAGCGCACTATGTCATGACTCGCCCTGTTATGTCTAGTTCTAACATCATCCAGAAAATTGATTTCCTTCACTTCCCAGATGCAACATTGAACATTCACTGCCCTGGCTTTGGTCCATAACTTGTATTTACAAAACTTGTTCTTCACATTCTAACAGTGAATAGAACCATAAGAATAATGGTAAGTGCTGAGACTTAGCATAAATACTGTCGATCATCTTCCTTCATACCATCCTTTCTGCTTTACATATTTGAGATTGTTGATTATGGCGTCCGCTTTCAGCAAGACTGAAGGCAGCGCATCAGCAATCATGGAGTCTTCGAATATCATGTCCGGACTGCCGGACGACTACATCACCCATCCATTTACCAGTCTCAGTAAACTGAATATCGAGGCGGAGAGGGTACTTGAGAGACTGAACCAGAATGACGATGCAGGAAATCAGTATATCCTTGTGCTTAATCTACCTCGAGCCATTCGCACTCACCTAGATGAAGACAAGAATGTCTTGCAGGGCATTAACTTTCGGTTGATGTTTGACGGAACCACTGCGCTGATCAAGATCGTCCCGTCCCATCCCCATGAATATGCGACCTCTCGGCTCCGCGACAACATAACCTTCTCCGCCGTTTTGGCTGGGATGTCGATGGATGACATCTTATGGAGCGGGAAGACGACCCACAGGCCAAGCGTGGCTGCAAACAAGGGAAAGGAAGCGGATGATTGTTTCATACCACCAACCCGACAGGCCGGACGAAATCAGCCGCCAGGTTGGCCTTCGCTGGTGATTGAGACCGGCGTCTCCGAGTCCTTGACCAGGCTCCGCCAAGACGCGCGGTGGTGGTTTGAGAACTCCGAAGGGGCCGTTCGCACCGTGATTCTGCTCAGCATTAAACGGACCTGTGGGACCATTCTGTTGGAGAAGTGGCAGCTCAGTCCTCCCGGTCAGCCTGTTACTCCAGCGCAGGCTCATGGACATCCAGCAGATGACCATACCGCCAATGCCGCCTCTCGGACTGGAACAGACCGCCAACCAACATCCGTTCATAGCGCAGACAACTACCATTACACCAACCAACGCTACCGGAAGTCTCCCCATTCATATTCATTACCAGGCACTACTTGATCGAGCTCCGGGCCCTGGTCAACCCGACATTCGCCTCGACGCAGCCGCACTGATGAGGATTGCTGTGGGTTTGCGATAGGCGTTCTTCAAATGGAGGCGACGGAATCTTCTTACGATCATGAGATCAGTATTTACACAAGAATGCGTTGGGGGGCATTGCTTTTCGGTTTACTCTAGAAGGTAGCACTTGCCTTCACAGGATTCCCCCGCCCGACGCCACAGTGTCAACATATTGATAGACCTTTGGCCGGAGTATCAAGGGGCGACATGCAATGCCCGGACTACAACTTACAGACCAATTGTGGCGGCAACTACCGGCAAACAAACAGATACTGCTTTCTCCAGTTGCAGGGACATTCCACGGTCAAACAGAAGGTTGAATGACTAGCCCACCGTCATTCCCGACGAAGGGCCAATCCATCCCGTCGCGTCCGTCACACATCTGAAGCTCTATCCACACCCTGATCCTTTCCAAAACAAACACATTACCCTCCAAGGACTTAATCCTGCCATTCTAGTCTGCCACGGCATAAGAGCCTTTGCTCCGAAGATTTGCAACAATTGCAAATGCACAAAAGGTAAATGGACGTGGAAGCCAGAAACTCTCTATGGGCGACAGAGCCCAAAACCGAGTTAACCGTCTCAACGAGCCAGGCAATGTTCACATGGCCTGCTGCTCTACGGAAGAAGGTTTGAATCGAGACCTGAATACCGTGGTCTGTCAACCTTGTGGTCGATCGGTCAAGAGGACTGGGCAATTACCAGTCGCCTTCAACCAGGTCAAAGACTTGGAGATGAGGTGTGAGTACTGTGGAACTCTGTATGCCAACAGATGAACGATCCAAAAGGACGGTGATGTGCACCATCTCAGCTGTCGTCGCTGTGCCCAAACATACACCCCGAACCTAGATCAAGGGACGGCATGGTATGGGCTGGGAACACAACTTGCAGACGAACTGTGGCTGGTCACATGATTTCGAGGATGTTCAATCCTACTGCTATCAGCTTGATCAACAGCCCCGAGATAGACAGACCAGTCAACGCGTTATCAATGACCCACGGCCTTCATCGCTTCTTCGGCAATTTTAAAATTGCGTTCGAACAAATTGGTCCTCCTGGATCACGGAAACAGCAGCAAAGAGGCACACAACTAGTTTATCCCACCATCCTAACAGGGCAGAGGTCAGCCCAAGGGTGGCCTTTGCTCGTTATTGAGACCGGCGTCTCAGAGTCCATGATCAGGCTCCGCCGAGATGCGAGGTGGTGGTTCGAGAATTCGGCGGTTCAGTTCGCACAGTAATCGTGTTCACTGCCAAGGCTCCCTGGCCACGTTCATCAATGTCGCAGCTTCTTTCTCTCATCAAAACAGATCCAAATCTTGACCATACAGCAGTGGATGAGACGACAGTGAATGTGTATGTCCTGCTGATACAGGAACTGATTTCCGTGGTGGAACATCTTCCACTGAGTGCGTTATTGATAGCAATTATATGGATGAGCGATCCTCCTTGTGTGGAATGCCGACTGAGTCCTCCAGGTCAGCTTATTACCCCCATCAGACGGTCGGAGCATCACGCAGCCAGCAAACCAGCACCCGTTCATAGCGCAGACAGCTGGGTACCGTTACTCCAAACAATGCCACCGGAATCGTCTCCATTTATCTTCATCGGGAGGCATTATTTGATCAAGCTTCAGGCCCAGGCCAACACGACATTCGCCTCGATGAGGTCTCATTGAGGAGGCTTGCTGTGGGTTTGCAATAAGTGTTCTTGGAGCAGAAGGACGACACAATATGAAATAGCATCTTCTTCAAATCACGAGATCATGATGTATTTAAGTTGGGTGATACTGGTTCTTCAATACTAATACTAAGTACATCAGCATCAATCCTATCCTGCAAATCTAGTCCGCGTGTAGTTCATGAAGGTCCTTATATTTGACCTTATAGTTTACCAGCAGAATCCAGAACTTCACACGGATGCTGGCAGACTGCTAATCTTCGGGCTCCTCCTGCCAGCATTCTGCGCCCGGCGGTATCTCCATCACTGCTTCCTTGCACCAAATATGCACAGCTTTCGACATCATTTCCCGCGTCAGAGCCTCCAAGCAGCCACCTTTCACGCTTAGGGTATCTTCTCCATGAGTGCGATGTATGAGTCGTGATCCACATGACAGGCAAAATAAACATTCCAGCTCTCTACCTTTCAAGGTTCGCCGAGTATAGGTACCGATTCTCGCAGTGCCGTCTGGATGGACCATTGGTATTTCGAACCATGGGAAGACGGCTGTTATGCCACAGTAAGATGAAGACTGGTGACGGCATTCAGTACAGTGGCAGGCGTATATCTTGTAAGGTGCTGGAAGTGGTGTAGTGAATCGGATGGCTCCACATTGACAACGACCCTCCATGATGAACTTTGAGTGCCCGGATTGGAAGAGAGGAAGCTGGACGAATTTGCAGGGTCCAGGGAATAGATAATCTTAGTTTTCTCCAGGCATCGTGTGGAGAGAGAGCCTCGGCCACCCACGACGCATATAACGACGACGGATCTACCCCGCCTCGCCAGATGCTTGATCCTAAACTACATTTGGGTTAGTAGAAGACCTCACTTTCTAAGAATAGATGAGATAGACTTTGATATGACCCGCAATCTCACCCATCTTGGCACCAGTTTGGGGATACTATCACCTTAGATGTATGATGTATCTGTCTTGCTCAATGAACTAGATTATTTATCTAACCCTATTCTTCTATTCCGAGCGGTGGGCTAAAATACAATGTCTGATATATCCCCTTCTTCTCGGAGTATAGGAAAGATGCGTCGCAATGGACCGGCGTCTGGCGGCCATGATTTACTGGCCCACTGGAGAATTAACAGTTAGTAAACGTGCGAGCCTTCTAGCATTATGGTAGGGAAGCATGGAACGCTAGGGCAGCAAAGAAGGGGCAGTCACATACAAAGCACTCTCGAAAACCTTCTTGTATCTCCCGTCCATGCCCCACTCGTGGCCGCACTTCCGGAAGACTTCCTCGTAGTTTTGCACGATTGCCTCATCGCTCCGTGCATAGTTCCAAGTTGGCAAGTAGGTCTTGACTTCTGGAAACTCCCTGCCAGGCCTCATCTCGAAGCTGAAATACAACCTCTGGCAGAGCATAGAGCCGTCGTTTAGGGGCTTGTTGTAATCATCGCCAACGATGCCTTCGGGCTCTTGAAGCAGGAGGTGCCAAATGTCGCGCAAGACCGCTAGGCCCTTCAGCGTGGTCGCATCCTGCAGACGACCGCCCAGGGTCACGTAATCCCGCACCGTGTTGAAGGAGTTGCTCATGGAATGAACGTAGAGTTTGACTCGTGCGTCTGACAGACTGGCTTCGTCGACGCAGTCGATTCCCACCAGCTCAATGGTAGAAGGAACTGAGCGTTCGGTGAGGAATCTGTTCCAGAAAGGGCAGTGAGTACTGGTGTCTGATATTTGAGGAAAGATACAGACGAAAGCAATGGATCACGGCCATTTAGAACATCGGACTTACTGCGCAAGGACGTCGATTGATGCCGGGTTGATACAAGGTACCAAATTGCGAAGGACATTCCAGGTCATCTCGGTCGCCGGCGTCCCAGTCGCGATTTCCTTGGCCTTGGGGTTGAAATATGCCTTGATAGACGTCTTAGGGCCTTTCAAGTCAAAGGCAACAAAGGCAAAAGGAAGTCGCTTTATAGGCGGCACTTCTGATGCCGCCGACGTGAAGCTTTCCAGCCATTTCGGGAGCTTGGCCTGGGTGACTTTCGCTTCTTCGGGCGTTGGAGCGAATGCCGATATAAAGGCGTCGGTCCATCGCGTGCAAAAGCCAAAGGCCGTGGAAAGAGAAGGCAGTATCTCTCGTGCTGCCTCCACGGCAAACGGGTCGCTGTCGCTGCCGCCGCAGTGACCTAACAGCTCCCAACAATAGCGTACTTGAGGCTTGCCGGAGCTGAGGTTGATCGAGGGCTGGAAAGGGGAGCCACTCTGTGTCAAAAAGGACCTGGTATGGGCCACGGATGGCCGCGGACCAAGGTTCGGGAGAACATGTTCATACAGGACACGTAGTTGAGCATCCTGGTCGGCGGGCAAGTAGGACTCAGCAGACCTCAGGAGGGAGCTGAGAACAGGGACGCAGTGATGTGTCCAGTAGTCCAAGTCTTCTGCATTAGACCTGCTATCGTGGTCTAGGGGGTTTAATACCTCAATAGCCATTGCAGTGTGATATAGAGTGAATAAGGGGGGCTGCGGTGTATTATCAAGTAAATAAAGAGGGATGAGAAAGCATAAACCATGGAGACTTAACCAGTAGACTCCCTTAAATATAGCCAGACTGTGACCTATTATCAGACATGCATGATGTCACTTACAGCGCACCTCACTCAGGTTATCGGGCAAGGTACAGTAGGTGAGTACGGCTACAGAAATATGTTTATGCCTAATGACACAATCTGAGTGCACTTTATGGTAAGCCTATGAACTGATAGTCGGGATGTAGTAAACTTACGGCGCATTTGCTAACTGCCGTGTAATAAATTAAACTGACTGTGGCCCGGTCTTAAATGGGTAGTCTTGATCGGAGTCTTGCAGCGCAGCCACTGGCATAGGTCTTGCAGACCACAGCATAAGCGCGTTCCAGAGCCCAGAGAAGTCACTGTTAGGTATGTATGCATATGCAGAGTTGCACATTGCGCTGCAGTTCTGGTGCTATACAACAACACCTAGCGCTAGACATACACAGCTAGTGCTAAACATGCAGACCTGGAACTACAGATGCAAATTCGGCACTACACATACGTACCCGGCGTCAAACATACCTATCTCCTGGCACGGCATATTCTGTTGGGCTAACAGAAGTCAGAATAAGATAAAAAGATGCAGGCAGTTGCTTCAATCACATTGCACACCGCTACTTGGTCAACACTGCTCTTTAGTCAAAGATTAACTCTATATAGTGTAAATAGCAGAGAAACTTTAACTTTATATAATTCAGCTGATTTTTATTAATTATAATAGTTTCTATTTTGAAAATTACTAGCCGGTCCAATATTATAAAGTAATATTAATTCGTTAGTCTAATATGACCCTGCATTGTGGGCAGCCCAGCCTCTGATTGCATGAATAAACAGTTGGTCACTTTCCGCTGCTTCGCTTTTCCATCAGTCACCAGTTCTCCAACCATCGACATTGACTTCCTGAGTGCAGCTGCATTTCTTATTAGAAGGTAGCTGACGGAGCCTACACTAAGTGCCGCGGCGACGGAAGAGGACAATTACGTCCCGGTTAGGAAGGATCTTGTCGCCTTGAATGATATTTGGCGGACGGGAAGTGTTGGGACCGCATTGAAGTTTGAAGTCATATTCGAGCAGGATTCGACTTGTGATCGCTTTGATCACGTACTACCAATAGAGCCGCTGGGTCAGCAAGCGGACGTAATAAGGATCAAGGCAAATGAGACATATGTACAAAGGAGAACACTGAAAAATAAAATTACATACCGAGGCGAAGAAGCGTCCCGGACAGGCATATCGCCCTAGCCCAAAGTGCAAGTTAGTTGAGCTACTGTGTGCGAATGACGCGGATGCCTGCTTTTGATGCGTCCATCGAGATGGATAGAAGAATTCAGCATCACTTATGATGGCGTCATCCATGTTGATATTCTTCGCTGGCAGAGCAATCTGTTGCCCCGGTTGCAGCTGGTAACCATCTGACAATGAAATTGGTTTCCTGACAACGCGCCTGAAGGTGACTATAATGATGGTTAGTTTCGTGTGTCAATGCAAGGGATGGACAACACTCACATTCGCCCACTGGATTGAAGCGCTGCGACTCTCTCATTAGACTATCCAGAAGGCTCATATCAAGCATAGCCTTCTGACTGATTCCCGCCCAACCCGTTGTTAAGACCTCTTCCTGCTCTCTTCTGACAGACTCTCGCAGCTCGGGGTTGGCCATCAGGTCGAGAAGCATGTGAGTGGTAGCCATGGCAGTTGTGTGGACGACAGCCATGCTCAAAATCCCGAGCGTGCGGTGTGCTAAGGCTTCTGGCTTCGCTTCTTCCTTGTTCCGTGCCAAATCCATGCACCATTGGAGAAAGTCGTCGTGTTTCTCGTCAGGGCACGCTCGCCTTCTCTCTACCTCTGAGCCGAGAAGCTGCTGGACGTACAACAGCTGCTCACGCGCATGCCTGACGCTGGGAACCAAGGCTCCAAACATGGAACCAATGGTCTTGCCGAGATTGCGGAAGGTGGCAATTGTGTCGAACGTATTTCGGCTGAAAGAGGCGGAGGTTTCGAGGAAAATTTCATCTCGGCAAATGGGCTCTCCAACGAAGACCCTGGCTGCAGCGCGAGTCGAGAGATCAAGTACCATGTCGTACGGGCTGACCGGAACCCATGCGCCTATATATCCCAGATGTCAGTGAGTGGACCGAAGAAATCTCGTCTCTCAATACGCACGTACCCTCGCACTGGGGCAATAATTGGTCGAACGCATGTCCAAGCTCGTCCACAATCACCGGAATTATTCGCGCTAAGAGTCGTCAGGAGCCATGCTCGTCATGGTTTGCCGTCTTGGGACTTACGAAGTCCTGGTGTCAAGCACCGGTGTATGACATCTGAATGGAGTTCGCTCCCGAGCAATATGCCGGTGAGATTGCCAGCATTGTCGTCGAAGCTTGCTGTCAGGGGGTCCAGCTTGTCGCTTGTGATGGAGCGTAGTTCTGAAGCATATTTCAAGGGAATGACAATCAGGTCCATGTCCATTTTCAGAAGCCTAAACGGTCGGTCCTTGTGCTACACACTGGTTATGTAGAGCTCTAATTGTACCTAAAAAGGCACGAGTAAAATGACCTACCTTCCGATACCCCTCCTTCACAAGCTGCGCGGCATTGTCATTGTAGCTCAGTCGGTCTAGGAATTCCGGGAACAGCGCTGGCCACCGTCTGACGGTAGGTATAGTCCCTTTCTTGCGGTTGCGGTCGATGATAAAGAGTATTAGCAACCAGGCGGATATGACTGTCACTTGGAACAGCAAGAAGCTCGACATCATGATGTTGTATATTGAGTGAAAGAAGCGCAAAGCTGATTTAGTTGTTGAGATACACTAAACTCGTCGGATGTCAGTGTGTTTCAATCCGAGATTCACGTGGAATACTTGTGGTATGCGTAGCTCGTGTTATCTCGAACACTGCAATTGGATTCAGGCCAATGAGTCTCTTTGACCTTGGACGCAAATGCTGTCAACTCGCCGAACTGAACTCATAGCGGCGGGCTGCCGGCTGGGCTCCATAACTTAAGTTTAGACCAGTGTGGCACTCATGCATCGGGTGTCGCAAATGTACGCAGGCCTCATGTACTGGTTCTGCCTGCATCGGGGCATCGATTACGCGGTATGTATCGGGTTGGACGTGGAAGTATTACGCATACGTATAGTAACGCCCCTACTCGGTCCACAGCGCTACTTGGTCCAAGATTAACTCTCTATAGTTGAAAAGCATTAAAATTTTAACTTTACAGGACTTAGCTAATTTTTATTGATTACAGCAATTTCTAGTTTAAAATGTAATAGGTAATTAAACTGAGACGCTAGGACCTTTCACTTTTATATTATATTGTTCCACCAAGTGCAACCTCCATACCGTTGATGCCCACCTGAGCATTTCGCCAGTCATCACCATGTTGACCGACCGACTTGCCAGCTCTGTGTCAGTATGGCCTACGGTCACAGTCGCTGGGGCTATCGTGTTTGCTATCATACTGATCCGATATTTTGACTACGACAAAAAAGTTCGATACTCTTTCTTGCCTAAGGGATGAACGCAAAAAGCTGATCAGTGTATTCAAGGTCAACTTACCTGTTGTTGGCCCAGGGGTCCGCTTCACGAAATGGCTCGCCGCTATACGCAATGTGTGGTCTGCACGAGAGTCTATCCATGAGGGTTATGCAAAGGCAAGATAACCTGCCGAGTGCCGACCATGGATGCACATAACTAACGAAAGGTCAAATAGCATGGCAAATTTGCATTTCAGATACCTACCATGACACGAATGGACATCTTCCTTTGCGATCGAGCGATGACGAGGGAATACTACTCCCTTGATGAGGATCACATGTCCTTCCGGGCCGTCATGTCCGAAGTACCTACTCCTAATGGCATCTCGCGGGAAGGAAGACCTAGCTGACAGGACTGCAGGAGTTTCAATTCAAATGGCTGCTACCTGCACAACAACATGACGTTCGCAGGATACCAAACTCCGTCATAGCGAAAGCCTTGAGTTGGCAGAGAACTCGGGCCAGCAACACTAATGACCCTTTCTTCAAGGAATTTTCCACCGAATTCCTGCACGGGTTTCAGAAAGAGATACAGGCACTTAGTAGACGCCAAAAGTCATCTTACCAACCATTTTTCTCTCACGCTGCTGATTCCATGACCGGTAACTCAGGATGGATGGCAGTTCCTTGCTTTCCTCTGGCGTTAAAGGTGATTGCTCGACTCACAACCAAGTCCCTCTTCGGGGAGCCACTATGCAGAAACCCCGAGTTTCTTGACATGTGCTGTCAGTTTGGGGACGCATTACCTCGGGACGCCCTCATTCTGCGTTGTTTGCCTGCATTTATAAGGCCGTGAGTGTTAATTCTCTCGCATGAGGCCTCAGCTAAAGTTTTCCAGTCTCCTTGCGGGGTTCTTGGCGACTCCACGAGATGTCACAAAGTTACAGACGGTTATATATAACGAGATCGGATCAAGAAGAGACTCACGGGATAAGAACCCCATGCGAGTGAGTACCACAGCGGCTTTCTGCACGTGCTAGAAGCTCAAAGAACACCAGGATCTTCTCGACTTCTCAATTAACTGGGTCGACGAACACAGCACAGCTGGATGGGATGATTGGCACATCACTGATATGATGACGAACACAATTTTTGCCGCCTTACACACATCCAGTCAGGTATGCCCTTGCTCACTTGGCCAAGTCAGAGGGAGACTGACGCAGATAATAGTTGGTAGCTCATACGATCTTCGAGCTCGCTACCCGTCCTGAATACGTCGCACCGCTCCGGGCGGAAGTAAAGCAATGCTTCGCGATGCATGGAGAGGGCACCAAAGACGCCATCGACGCCATGCATAAGATGGACAGCTTCATCAAGGAGACTCAGAGGTGTAATCCTCTCGATGCATGTACGTAACCCCTCAGCACCTCATCGCACCAACGGAGTTCTTTACAACAATTTGTTCACATGCCATTAGCTGCCCTTGCAAGGCTTGTTCTGAAGCCCTACACCTTCTGCAACGGTCTACACGTTCCCAGGGGCAGCTTCATATTTACGCCCAATTCCCCGTTGTTCGAGGACGAGCAATTTTACAAGGACCCGAAACGCTTCGATGGCTTCCGTTTCGCCCGGATGCGAGAAGACCCACAGCTCAAGGCTTCGTGCCCCTTAACGGCAACCAGCGAATACACCATGCACTTTGGCATGGGGCGTCACGCTTGCCCTGGCAGATTCATGGTTTCTGACGAGGTCAAACTGGTGATGGTGCATCTCCTCTTGAATTTCGATTTTGCCATACAGAACTTTGGTCCTCGGCCGCGAAACGTGGCGTTTGGCAAATTCATGCTCCCCGATATGAAAGCGAAGGTGTGGTTGAGAAAATCAAAGCAGTTTCGTGAAATGGATAAGTAGCTCTGGGCACTTTTAATTTTGCAACACATTCATGAAGGGCAGCCGGACACTGCCAGCACAAGTACTGGATTATCTTCGTCATAGTCGGGGCTTATTGTTATGACCCGAAAATGTAGAAGCAGGTGATGATAGGGAACCGCACGCTTCGTTCCAGCAACAACGGCTCAACCTTCATCTGGCCAGACTTTGCTTTAACATGGGGCTAAATTTACTCTTAATTTCAATGTGATCCAGTGTGAGACAAGACTATTGCTCTGCATGTAGGTTGCTCGAGCATATTCGTCAAATGCAGCGTGCACTATGAGAAAATCTCATCACTGTCTGCTAAACCCTAATGACTTGTTAAAAATACGTGTACGGTCGAGAGTAAAATCGGGACTGCATTGAATTCATTCTATTAGATAACAGGAGTACCGTGCATATGGCTGCATCATTCTGCAGGAGCCCATCACATATAATGCAGGCCAATATCGAATTCTGAAAACTCTAAAAAAAGCTAATATTTGAATTGTATTTCAACCAAAAAAATATTAAGTTTTAAATATTAAATTGATCTAAAGAAGTGTATCTTGATTTCAATGAGATGTGGCGGTGATTAGAGTTTCGACTGCATTATATGTGATTGACTCCTGTCACTCTGCATGATTTCTCAATTACTTTTCATTTGGAAATCCACACCAAAGTCTGATCCTGTCTACCTCGTCCCGCAAAACCAAACAAGTCTACCTAAGTCTGCCTGGCGGCCAATGTGCTGTCCAACAAGGCGTACAAAGCGCTGTTTGGGTCATTCAGCAACTTCACACGACTATCCATAGAATTTAGGATATCATTTGCAAGAGGACATGTAAGTCTTCATACAAAGTGCGTAATGGATTCCGTACAGCCCCCAATATCCGAAGTTAAATTCAATACACATTCTATTAACGACGTACGAAACACGGTGGTCAGCATGAGTGCCTGAAAGTGACCTGTGATCTTCAAAGCCTTCCAATAAAGGTAGAAGCTCAGCTTCCATATTAGTACATTGGGTGAACTACAGCATGAACAAAGAAAACAAATTGACTTGTCTCCACCACGTTATCTCATTCTCTTACAAGGTAGAAGGTGCCTATGTTACTGCCTATTACAAGCTGGAGCTGAACACGTTGGTCCATCTCGAGTCTTGGTCGTCTGAGATTCATAAATAAGACAAAGTGTTACTTCAGGAGTCTTCCAGTAACCTGGAAAAGCTCTGTCGCTTCTCATAAGATCTGAGGGGGTTTTATTTTGTGTCTTGACCATCCAGCAGGACAGTACAGTGTATTTGCTTGCATAAGTTTCCTAGCTTGTTCTAACACCTAGCTGGGCAAGGGATCCGATATAATTAGCTGAACAGTAGAAAGGTTGCCCTTTTACCAATCAAGGCACTATCACAAAGTTTTAACTGGAAACTATATGTCGTTCGGCCATCCAAGTGCCCCAACCATTGACGGCTTTCGGACCCTGTGCCCTGCTCCTCTCTCCTTTCCCAATCAGCTTTAATTCTCTTGTGTTAATGCAATATGATAACGTAGAGTCGATGTCTCTCTGAACATTCAGCCCCTGGGGGTGATGTTTGGCGCCTTGCAGATTCGCGTTCGGTTACTGCCATACACACGCGATGGTTAGTTTCTTTCCTTTTTGCTTTTTGAGCGTGAGTCGAGGCAATTTCATAGTTGAAAGTTGTCCTTATCTTTGCCATGCTGCTCATCTGTGCTCCAACAAAAGTGGCCTCATGGTCAGGGCTAGCACAGACTTCGGTGGGCAACAAAAGAAAAAAAGGCCCAAAGTGGATCGGCCTCGATCTTTCCATATGCATACAGACGCACTTGAAGGGAAACAATCATGCTTCGGCGGCGCAGCAATCCCTCCAAGGCAGTTAGCACCATTAACAAGCCGCGGCTGATCGCTGTGCTTGAAAGGTTCACACACTATATGCATTCAGCTTGAAATCGGTTCCAAAGCCCTTTAACCAATGCCGCCGGACTTGAGATAATGACGGATTGCCTGTATTCCATGGTTACGTTACTGGCAAAACCAGGATTAAGGTGTCTCATGCGAGGATCTACAGGATCGGCCCTCCTACTACCGAATCCTGGCAAAGGTTGGGCTTATGATTTTCCCACATTGTAAAGCTACTAGATCTATATCTTGATACGCTTGTGATCTGTCACATATGACAAGTAGCTTAGAAGTGATCATTTAGGCAGTTCTGATATTTTTTTTCTACGCGAGGAAATGATCATCCAAGTTGTATAATCAGCCCCTTTCGTCATCAGGCTGCTGGTCCAGAACGATCGAAATATGTACATATTCTACTCTTTACGTTTGCCCCATCGGTAGATAATCACATAGGATCGCAATTCGGTTGCAAATACCGAAATCGTCGTATTTTTAGTTTGGATTCCATGACCTGTACACCCACGGTTGAGTGTATAGTATCATCATATTAGATCCAGCAAAAAAAGGAAAATACAATCGTAGGGTTCCTATGACACATTCAGTAAGTTTACCCTATTCAAGGGAGCACTTCCGGAAGTCCATCCGCGTAACTCGCGAGGTATTGCCTTCGAATTTGAGCCAAGCTGCAATGGACGTCGGAGTGTTGTCTAAAGTGGTGAAAAACTCCACAAAGTCGATTTTCTTGTTTCTATCCCCTCAGGATATGATATCCTAATGATATGAGAAAACACTGCCCGCAAGAAAATGACGAAAGCTGTACAGCTTGCTCTCCTTTCCCTTTCTATTCTCGCACTCTACACAAAATATTACTTATCCTTTCAGAATGGCTTCATTGACCTATTATCGGACATGGCAGCTCGAAACTCAGTTACGGGCCTTGAAGGAGGGTTAAGAACGTACTATACAGGATTACCTTTACTCGATCAATTTCTGGCGGCATGTGTTATATTTTACTGGCCTATATTTCACCCAACTATGCCTTCTTTACCACTGTATGCTCTCACCTTCGCTGGCAGCGTGGTGCCTATGTGGGCTATTATCATCCTTCAAAAATGCCGGAGGAAGTGTTTTAGAAAAGCCATGATTGAGTATGTCATGAAGTGGATTTTGCTGAGCTGTACCATGAATTGCTAATTACTTTCCACTAGGAGTTCTTTAAGTGGGCTTCTGGTCCAGGCCATCGGCCCAGGGTCAATAATACCCATTTTCCTTGCCATAGATACCACACCAGCCAGGCCAACTGGGCTCTCTGGGGGATCCAAAGACGCCTTAAGACCTGTTAGCATCCCATTGTCTATGGCTATAGGCTACATATCTTTGCTGCTTCTAGCCTCTTTGCCCGCCCCGGGGATCGTTTCTTACGATTTCAAACAGCAAATTATCGCGCTGTGGCAGGGGTGGCCGGTTTATGTTTCCTTGCTCATTTCCTTATTGCGGGGTCCGATTCATAAACATCAACAGGGAAAGACAGAATCTACTGGGGCAATGCTAAAGTATACTTACGCATTCGCATTTGGATGTTCTGCCCTCTGTCACATAGTTGTGGTCGGAATATCAGCGCTATCCCCCTCGCAACTGCCTCTGCCTGAGGGTCTTCACTCGACTGATCTATATCCAGGAGCACTCCTTTTCCCATGTCCCCCGTGGGGTGAGCAAAGAGTTAGATCTTTGGAGAAAGGTATACTACGTTTCCTTCATTGGGATTATACCCTATCTGCCCTGGCAACCTTGATGTGGTGTTCGGCTGTGTACTATCGACATGGAGAGAGAAGAATCAACTGGATAACCCTTAGTCTTTGTGTCGCGACTCTAGCTGTTTTTTGTGGTCCGTGTAGCGTTGCAATTGGACTGTGCTGGATAAATGACCGTCATCTACTCCAACACTTGGAAAGCAAAAAGAAGGACGGCTAGACCTAATTTCGATAGGCTACATATCAACCGACGCATCAGACTATCTATGTATTTCCAGGCTATTGGTATAGGTGGGTGTACTTTGAATGTTCAACCTCAACCTTTGAATCTTTCTATGATATGTACCGTAAGATAGAATCCTGATATGTTTCCAATACCTAGCTAGATAAAGCAGGGCTCACAATGACCCCATCTCCGTCTCATGGACGGAGAGGAGCGCATCTCGAAGTGCAACATAAAGTTTGGTCAAAAATATCCGAATTCAGGCCTTTTTGCTGGACTTGATATCAAGTTTCTCCTTTCTTCCCCAGAGTTCCAACCAGTCTTGAACCGATGAGCCTGAGTTCCTGAGCTCGGCCATGCACATTCCACGGACAGTGTCACTCTGGATAACTCGAAGTGCATTTCGAACATTCCGTGGTGATGGAGACTGCAGAGCCTTCGCAACCCAATGGCCATCAGGCGCATCCAGAGCCAGAACGATGGGGAATGACAGCTCGCTGTTACGCAGATCCTCAGCCACCGAACCCTTACTCTTGGCATACTCTGAAGAATAAATATTTTTGCAGTCATTTTGTAGTTGAGAGAACCAGCTAGCCGGATCAGTTAGCGGGATAAGGGATGCATAGATTGTCTTGCCGGACCGGAGGGGCAAAGCACGTACGCAATAAGGGTCATGGTCTCATCCATTGAATGATCCTCCAGAACAAGCTGTCCTAACAACCTGAATAATGCTCCTGTTTTCAGCGAAGCCATCCTCCGGTAAGCCGCAACTCTCTCATCTGGCTTGGTTGGGAAGCTACTGAGTCCATCCCTGCGCCATATGAGGGAAAGATCCTGCCCTTGAAGAATCTCCTCGAGATTCTGCATTAGCCATGGTGCCAGGTGGGGGAATTCGATTGTGGTCTTATTGAGTATCTGGGTAACTCGATAGTATGCTCTGTTTGCGGTCTCTGACGGACCATAGATTTTATGGGCAGCAGGACGTCCCCTCCGGTAATCACTGCCATCCGATATCTAGAGACAATCATTTTCCGTTCATCAAAATCCATTACTACCTAGTATTAGGTCAATCTACTCACATCGTCAACGAGCATCAGACAGAGATGGATCGCGTCCATAATCTCAAGCACCATTTTACACTTGGCAGGGTCCTCATTCTTCAGGGTGGGAGATAGCTTATCAACAAAAGGTGTCCAGTGGTAATGGCCATAAATTTGACGAATGTAGCTGTAAGGGCATTCTAGGGACGTGATATTGGCCGGCTCCTTCCGACCTTTCAAATAGGTCTTTTTTGACCAGAATCTGATCTCGGGAAGACGATCGATAATGGCAGCCGTGAGCGAGAGAAAGATAGAAAGCGAAAGCATGAGAGTGAGTAGAAAACGAGGGAGATCTAGCAATGGAGAAACGCCGTTCATCGTCATTGTCTAGAGCATCCGTGTATATTGATATTTAGTAGATGTGAGTAAGGAATGTTGGATTCTTCGTCTTTTGCCAGATAGGACGATATCTACACGAGTCTCATACATCATTTATTCTAAGCGCTAGTGCCGCAAGTGCTTTCAGTTCTGAGATATTACAATCCCTACTTTTTGGTGCTAAGGTGCATCAGCTCATGTACAAACGTCAAAAAGCAAAGCTTTGAACAATACGCTATGATCCAAACGACTTTACATGCTACTATTGCACTTGAAGGTCTGCGCTTCTATGATTTGTGATATGCTGATCCGTTCGGTTGGACTGTCTTGTGGGTCGAGCTCCACCATTGTATGGCGTTCTCGGCCCCCAGGAATAGAAAAGGAGACAGGAAGGGGGTCTCTTCTCAAAGATACTTCACATGAACGATGGTATTTTTTTATGGCAGGCGGTGCTCCTGCTCCTACCGTGCATGTCATGCGTGTGACTTGATGATCGGCTGACCCCTCGCTTGCAGAGACTGACCAGGTCAGGGATACTATAACTTTCTGGATATTGCATATTCTCCACTGAGACAATGACAAGCATGAAGCAGAATTTTCTCAAGAAGGCAATGTATCTAGCAGACTCGAACATGCATTGCTCATGTTAGTAAAGGCTAGTAATTTCAAGCAGCTACTATATATTTCAACCATTGTATTCTCATAACTGAGGACCGCATCGCCCAGCTGTCTGGTTCTTCAGCAATCTGACATCAGCCCTGGTTCTTTGTCGATCAACACTCCATTTCATGTCTCAATGCCCAAAAAACCTAGTTTAGGGTAGCATGTCACGTCAGAACACCCGATCAGTCCACTTTGCGAAGCTGCTTCAGCCATAACTACGACGCCCCCAACCTGAGCAGAAGTACCCATTCTCGAGATCACCAGTGGCTTTCTACTTTGCATTGGATCAAGAAACAAAGCGTCAAAAATGGACGGCTTCGATGTTACCAAGGCTCCTCCTGAGTACCGAGCTGTTGAGCCCATTGCCAACCTCTTCGTCCTGGGCATGGGTGTCGGCTGGCTGATCAATTATGTGGGCATGGTTTACAAGTCATTCAAAGATGAGACCTATGGAATGGCCATCATGCCCTTGTGCTGCAATATCGCCTGGGAAGTTGTGTACGGCATAATCTATCCCTCCAAGAGCTGGGTGGAGCAAAGTGTTTTCCTTGCGGGACTTAGCATCAATTTTGGTGTTATGTACGCTGCTGTTAGATTTGCACCAAACGAGTGGACCCAGGCCCCTCTGGTGATGCGCAACCTTCCACTTATCTTTGCTCTAGGAACGTTCGGTTTCTTGACTGGCCATTTGGCCCTGGCAGCAGAAATCGGCCACTCGCTTGCTTACTCGTGGGGGGCCGTGGTGTGCCAGTTACTCCTCAGCATCGGAGGACTTTGTCAATTGCTTTGCAGGGGGAGCACACGTGGCGCTTCTTACACCCTATGGTAAATGCTCTGTACCTTGGTTCCTTGCTACAGCTAACATCGGTAGGCTCTCTCGTTTTTTGGGATCGTCGTGCACGGTGATATTCGCATCCCTGAGATGGAAATACTGGCCTGAGTCGTTTGCTTGGCTGAACAGTCCCCTTATTCTGTGGAGCTTGGCTGTTTTTCTCCTTGTGGACGTCTCTTACGGTGTCTGCTACTGGTATGTGAGACAGTACGAGAAGTCTCTTGAGGAAAGAATAAATAAGGTTAAAGGATCAGCCAGGTAAGGGGGGGCTTCGCGAAAGGCGAGGCGCACGGCTCAGTCCGCCGATCACTTCGTTTATGGCACAGGTTGCTCCTCACTCAACCCTCCGTGTTGCGACAGTATTATGGCTATTATTGGGGTGAAAAGGTGCCTAGACTTGCAGAAAAGGTTAAAATATTTGTTTTGAATGCTATTTTGCCCTCCATTGTTACAATTCCCCAGAAGTACACCCCGTGGTTGGTCCAATATACATGAGTCTCTCGCAGAGCTGCTGGCAGTCTCCCAGTATGAACAGCCTATTCTGTAATCAATTGGCGACAGTGGGGCACAGCGTAATTCAATATAGATAATCATTACTTGTAGTACCCTGTATATGCGACGAAATTGCTCTGAAATGGAAGAACAAAGATGTATCTGCAAATGTCTTTGATTTGCGATCCGCCCGTAATATATACAGTACGCTACGTAAAATACTTCTACCCTGGAAAAGAGACAAAGGTAGTTTTTTAGCTGGTAACACAAGGTAACTTATATCCCTTACAGATAGCCTACCTGTCCCGCGAGTGCGAGGTCTTGCAGTGACGCAGTCCTTGATTTCCGATTGATCGATTAGTGAGGGAGGGGCTTAGAATCATCTTTCTTGACGTATGTCTGCCAATGCCCCATATTGAATATAGGCATCCATTCAACCTACAGGAGGTCGTTCTGAAAGGCCGGACAACTGTGTTGTGCCATCGTTTGCTGTATAGACTTCTCACCTGTCTTCGAATACAATGACAAAAGCACACCCCCCTCGTCCGTCTTACTCAAATCAAGAAACTGTTCAATCTGGCTGCTTGGCCATTGATCGGCCTGGGTTCAAGGTTATCATTGTTGGTGGATCGATTGCGGGTTTGACATTGGCCCACTGTTTAGACCGAGCAGGAATTGATCATATCGTTCTCGAGAAAGCGAAAGACATAGCGCCGCAGGTTGGTAGCACCATTGGCATCTCGCCAAATGGGGCTCGGATTCTTGACCAGCTTGAAGTCTACGACGAAATCGAAGAGTGTATTGAACCACTGAACGTTGCAACGGTGAGCTATCCGGATGGCTTCAATTTCAGCAGCAGCTATCCAAAACGCATCGCCGAGAGGTCTGTCACAGCTTAGCCTCTCTAAAGACTTGTTTTGGGACATTAGGATTTACGTTGGGTATAAAACAGGTTCGGCTTTCCGATAGCTTTCCTGGATCGACAGAAATTGCTCGGAATCCTCTACAACAAATACCCAAAGAAGCACAATATATGTCTCAACAAAAATGTGGTCAGCATCCAAACGTTAGGAGACGACCTGAACGTGACCACCGAAGATGGAAGCATTTATACAGGGCAGCTGGTCGTCGGGGCAGATGGTGTTCATAGTCGAGTGCGGTCAGAGATGTGGAAAGCAGGAGAGAAACAGAGTGCTGGTCTGGTCAGCGAGCGCGAACGAACAAGTAAGTACTTACCTCAACATACCTGATTCAAATTGCATTTTGCAGTTCCTTGTCTTCGCAGTAAAATAAACATTTCTGTAATTTGCCCTACCAGGTATGACCGTTGAATACAGCTGCATCTTCGGCATTTCTTCACCTATCAAAGGACTAGAGGTGGGAGATCAAGTCAACGCATTCTTTGATCACCTCACCATTATCACCATTCATGGAAAAGACGGTCGTGTTTTCTGGTTTGTGATCCATAAGCTTGATAAGAAATACACTTACCCTAATACTCCTCGCTTCACTGCTGCTGATGCCGCGGCTACGGCTGAAAAGTTGAAAGATGTACGATTTTACAAAGATATCACCTTTGGACAGGTATGGACGAACAAGGAAGTTGCTTCAATGACAGCATTGGAAGAGAATATCTTTCAAACATGGCACCATGGGCGTATGACTCTCCTGGGTGATAGTGTCCACAAGGTAAGAGAAGTAAAATCTTCCTTAATGTTTCCTTTTCTTGTCTCTTCTCTCTCGTCCCCTTACTAACATCGCTTTCTCGCTACTGATGACACCAAACATCGGGCAAGGAGCAAACTGTGCTATAGAAGATGCCGCTACTCTGGCCACCCTATTGAATAACCTCGTGGATGTGGCCAACGCAAAACTACCTTCAGACGCACAAATTGAGGCACTGCTTCAACGCTACAGGAAAGTACGATACGGCCGTGTCAATTCAATTTATCAAACCTCCCGATTCCTTGTTCGGCTTCAAGCTCGTGACGGATTCCTAAAGGCTATGTTTGGCCGTTACTTTGTGCCGTATGCGGGAGATCTGCCGGCTGAGCTAGGCTCCAAGGCGATTGCTGATGGTGAGGTTGTTGGATTTTTACCTCTTCCATCACGATCCGGACGGGGTTGGGTCGAGTACAGCAGTAAGGGCAGGGTTTGGGCACAAAGACTTCAATTCTCGCTCGCCATCATTCTACTGGCATTGATCTTGAAGTGGACTGGAAATATAACACCCTCTCTCTTCTCATGGTCGGACTCAAATGGACGCCAAGATTCATTGATTAGTTACGGTGTCAAGTGGTTTAGCAATGATGTTGTGTAGTGAGGATAGAAAGGAAGGTCATTGCATCTTTGTCATGCAGGTCATAATGCAGTCTACAGACTCTTTTTCACCAGACCCTAGAATGAAGAGTATATGCCCCTCCAAGGATGTATCCCATTACCTTGAATGTTAATTCTGTCGTATTAGCCTACCAGGAGGTACTTGAATTCACTCAATGGCAGAGATGACACCAAGATATGGATTATGAGCGGTGAACTAAGAGAAAGGTGAGAGTGATCCCGTGTCGACATATCAGAGGCAATCGCGAAGGAGCGATGATACTGTGACCATCTTTATACTGTATATAAAATGGCTATGTCCAATGTGGAGAAGATGACCTATGGTAGTCATAGTATGCCATGCTGTGGAACTTTGGGTGGGCAGAAGGGACTCCCACTATTATAATTAATAATAATGGAGAAGATAATGATGGTCTCATGTTTAAGGGTAAGTGATTTGCAGTGACTCTTCCTATAAAGCCAAGCACAAATATTAGGATTAAAGGACATGAATAGCAACAAGAAGCTTAATGAATCAGGTACAGGACTCCATAACAGTCCTTTGAGGAGACAGAAAGTAGAATAAAACAGGGCAGTAAAGTTCACAATAAGGCATAAAACTAGCCTGAGAACTTCATGGTAAAAATCTGCCCCATACACTTGAGTATCTGCGGAAAGCCAGCAGAGTACATTGTTTGAAAAATATGAAATAGTAATATTGGAAAGAAGAGTCATGTAACATAGAGAATGTATAACACATGTTGCATTTGTAATTAAGGTACGGCCAATAGTAAAGGTAAGTTCACTAGATACACAATGTGTATAAAATTGGTACAGGTAGGCTTTGCTTTATCTTTGCCCATACATTAGCGGTCTGGCTGTAGGGCTACCTGAATTCCATGATGCAGCAGGATTCCTATCTCAAGTCCTTGCAAGTAAGAGTAGCACAACATATCTCTCCACTTCCCCTCAGCGTAACTTTCTTTGCAGCTCCCATTTATGTAATATTGTGGGCCTATGCGCCATGAGCACTTTAACTTCAGACTGAACCTCCAGCCTGCAGCAGTAGCTGCCAACTCGCCACGTCCGTACCTCTATCATCACTAAGGTCTGTTCATTTTGCCGAACAATCGTCTTGCAGTATTACGGACTTGTGGCTGATTGCTAAGGCTCCCCCACTGGTGATGATCCTGAGCCTTCTGAGCAGTAGATCTCTAAAAGTAATTCCATAGCTAATGGCTCTTAAGGAAAAAATGAAAGTTAAAAAATAAATAAATAATTTAAGAAAATGTAGGTGCGTTTGCAGCATATTGGCCTTTGATTTGTAACCTCAGCATGTCTTGGCATGAAGGAAACTTGGATTCGACAGTCTCCAGATTACGGGGCTTTTCCTCAAAATCACTTCTTCTGTGGGATATTGGCCAATTTGGCCTGGAGTGTGGATAAAGGAGCTCCAAAAAAGGGAAATGCATGTTGTGATACGTCGTTCCCAAGATACCAGATGGTGATAACAAGGATGATGATATCCCGTATAGCGCAGATCATTTATAAAATGGCTCATTCCCAATCTTGTAAGTGTTCAGTTGTCCAAAATCAAACATATCCAACTTGAAGTAAGTTAAAGAAAAATACCTGTCATTTTCATACACACGATCTTTGCACTTGCTGGAGCTGTTTAATCCAAAAATTATGGTGTCGTCCCAATCTCATGAGAATCCCCCATGTGCAATGTACACAGTGAGAGTGGTGTCCTTTCATCTCCAACATTGAGGTCTTCCTCTGAAGAGTCGGTGAAACCCTTTGCTCAATAGTCATAATTGTGAATCTTATATCTCATTATTATTTCCGGACAGCTACATCATTAAAAAGTCATCAGGTTCTGTTGACCAGAGTACATGAAAACCACCATTCCGTAAGATTGTCTTCCTTTTTTCTATAATTGAATACCCTCGCTGTTATTGAAAATCACTATAGAGTAGTACGTCTTTACACGATCACTATAACAAAAGGTATTGCTGTCTAGTTAATAATATCTGAACAGTTCTGCTGTAGTTCTGCATCAACCAACTATTTACATCCACCAGATGGATTCATATTTTTTTTATCTCGCTGTGGGTTTTCGTCAGGATCGGTGAATCGACGAATTCCCATTGCATCTAGAGCTGTGTATGCCTACTTACAATATGGGTGCAGACATGGTCTTATACACTTTCGGTCCTTGAATTGAAAAAGAGGGCCTTGCTTGAGCTGCATTGATCATAGCCCCTGTATTTTCAATGTGAATCCTAAACTACCAACAAAGAAATAAACATCAAATATAAGTCATTTCAGACTATTTCAGGCATATTTCTTTCTTCGACTGTCACGAAAAAGGGTCGGTCAGGAATGCTTATGGCTGACATGGGGATATGTGATAACTCAGCAACTGGCTTAGTTGCTGACAGCTGAAAACAGGTATTAGTATTCCATTAATTGTGCCGCAAATGGGGTCAAATTATGAAGGAACTACCTACCTTGAAGCGTAGTAACAACGCTGCCAGAAGCTTATATATAATAAGCCTCACAATATTCTGGCCGACGCAATTATGGGCACCATATCCGAAGGTAAGGATAGAGCGTTCCATGACTAGTCGTTCCTCATCGGTACACTCAAGCCACCTTTCAGGTCTGAACGTATGGACATCATATCCAAAGGTGCTATTGTGGTGAATAACATGCTGCAGGCAGCCCACCATGGTACCGGGTGGGATGTCCTGTCCACATAGTTGTATGCCGTGTGGTCCAACCTCACGCTCAATGACGAACCTTGACAGGCTTCTATAACGCATAGCTTCTTTTATGGCGGCGTCCAAATATCGAAGGTTCCGTATATCTTTCCACTTCGGTGGATAGGACAGCCCTCCATGGGCAACAGCAGCATCAAGTTCATCCTGAACCTTAGAGAGAGAAGCAGGATGCTTGAGCAAATCATAAAACATAAAGATAAGTGTAGAGGACGTATTGTGCACACCACCAAGCAGGGCTGTGTAGGTCAAATCAATCACACCATCCACATTGTATAGGCCGGGATGCTTCCGGGACGCCTCAAGGAAATAGCCAAGAAGGTCACTTGGATCAGACTTCTGGGCGGTGTGGTATCGAGCATGAGCTAATGACACCACACGACGGACAAGGCCATTCCTTGGATTTATAAAGAAGCTGGCAATGTAGTTCAAAGCTCTTCCGAACGTTGGAACGGTAATAATAAAACTGTAATAGCGGAAGGCAAATCTTATCAATGTAAAGACGCCGTCGACGTCCCTACCTTGCTTCATTATGTTCGCACTGTTGGAGAAGCCGATCTGGTTTATGGTGTCCAAGGCAAAAAGAGGGATCCATTTGGTCATATCAACATCTCTCATGCGGCTCAAGTGTGTCTCGAACTCGCTGATAGTCTCTTCGAGCCGCGGTTCAAACCCGAGGACTGATTCAAGTCGGTAATAAGGTGCCACTGGTCGTCTCAGAGCCGAGTGTAACTTTTCGTCAAGGATACCTTCCCATCCCATTATTCTCTTCCCATTAACATAAGCAATGAGCATTTGATACAAATTTCCCTATCAGAATGGTCAGTCTTCTCGAAAGTAAACCAGTTGGAAGCATACCTTTGGCAAACGGTAGATGTTCTTAATCTCTGCAGGATCCGCAACGCTGACATGGTTTGGACCGACGCGCACCAATGGTCCATGTCTTTTGTGGAGCTCTAGGACAACCTCCGGTAGGTCACCTTTCACTATATGAATGGCTTGCCAAAGGTTTGTAAAGCGAGCAATCCAAGGGCCATTCAGTTGTCGAAGAGTGAGCCAACGTTGCAGGAGCAAAGTGAATAGTACTAGGAATGCTATGAATGTATACATTGTGTAGCTAGAGCTTGCACAAAATAATGGGCTATTTCAGAGAAGGATGTGAAGCATAGGTTAATACAAGTTGGACATACCAAGCCTACGCACATTAAGAGCAGAATTTTTTTTAGATGTAGGGGAGCTTTAATGTTATCTAGGGCCATGTTGGAAAAGACCATAGCATTTAGCGAATATAAGTTAAAATCGGCGATCCATGTTTAATCCTGATATTTGATACTTCATACAAACTTTATGTCCTCTGCAGGTAGGGCCCCCCCCGCCCAACTTCCTGCCCAAGATTGAGCACAGTGTGGCTATTTTTCTATCAACAAACACAGCTCCTCCCTTGCATATGTACGAAACCCAACTGATCAGGCAATTACCTAAGGTACCTGTTATCATGTAAAAATACCACAAGGCTACCCGTGACTCATTACATGACCTTAGTCCAACATAAACAGTCCACAGGATGGACTGTGATATGGTATACAAGGAGGAATATATAAGATGTTTCATTACCTCATATACTTAGTTTTAGCTGTTTAATGGGTCTAAATCTTTGGTTTCGCACCTAAGAATGCTACTGTCCCAACAATTTCTTTCCTCTCTTCATCTTTCAGCTTAATTCTAAACACCGTCTCTAGGGCATTCATCCTCTCCTCTTCGGATTTGAATCTCATTCGCCACACGAATTTGCCTCTTTGGAACCAACTCATAGCGTTATTCCAAATCATCATCCACCCAACTGGCCTCCTGTCTTTCAGGACGATCTGAAATGCAATCACTCGGTACATAAACCAAGCGCGTTTGTTACCCCGAACCGCACGTTCTACAGCTTGATAATCACTCTCCAGCCACTCGCTCTCCGTGAAGGCATAAATATCCATCCAATCCGGACTGCTGTCAAACAGGAACTGCAGCCGCCAGTACTTGAGATGCCTGGCACGACCTTGGTCGATCGGGGCATGAACAATTCTGCCCCGCCGTCCAAGGTTCCCATCACCGTCGCGAAACTCGAGTCCATCTCGAAGCAGGACAGGGTCAACTGGGCCATTGGGGCCGAATCCTGCGTCCACGAGGTAGTCATTCCCATCTAGCCGGACGATGAGGATCATATGTTGCCTTTACCGTCAGCATGCATAAACCGACAACGATACCGCCGAGAGAACGGAAAGAATACCAATCTCCAAATTTCGCGCGGCCAAGATCCTTGTCTTGCGCTGCCACGCTGGCCGATTTGTTCGTTCGTGCCCCGCTCATATACAGCTCATATCCCAGGGCCAGCAACACTACGCCGAATAGTCGAGTGATCTGGAAACAGGTCCCGCCTTGGCGTCGCTGAACGATCTTCTCATATAATAATGACGGGCTAAGAACTAGGAGGCGGTCGGCGGTATAGTGAAGAGCTGAATTTTCGAAGGGGACAGCGGCCAGATGGTGATGGAGAAGACAGGTCAGCGCCTCTAGGCGGTTGCTACCCGCTAATAAGGCGTCGCGGATGTCGTTAGGTAGGTTAAGACGGTCGAAGTAGCCGGTTAGCTCAGCTTGCGTATAAGCCATGACGCATAACGACTACCGTCTTAAGCCTTGTTATCAGGTGAGAGGCCAGAGTGTTGAGTATTTCCACGGGAGCAAGGTGCACGAGGAATGAAATATCTCAACCCTGGAGCAAGGCTTTGACGTACTTAGCGACGTTACATCGTTTGCTCTGTAGACTATGAGTGGTAAATCTACCATGGCTTGTAGGCCTATGGTAGCCGTTCTCGTTGATGATGGGCCTCGTATTCGACCTCACCATTAGCAAACAGAATTCACGGATTTAGGCAAGCGGGGATCAAAGAGCAAATCAGAAAGGGTCCAGGACTAACAAGTGCCGCCAAGACTCAACCCATTCTTCCTCTTAAAGGGAACCTCATCCAAATACAAACGGACTGCTGGATCCGACAACATGGATATCAGACCATGCGCGGCCAGGGCTTGCTCATATCAGAGGTGGCGGAAGTCCTCGGCTATTCGGAATGGAGGGCGCTGATAAACGAAGCAGCGAGGCGTCTACAGAGCGAGCTTGGCCTTGTTGTGGATCGAGCATTCGTCGAAGTAGCCTCTAGTCCTGCTTTCTTGATCAAGGCAAAAAGCTTGATCGCGCATGGGCTCTCAGGCAGCTCAGATACACCTTCAACAAGCGAAATATCGATAAAAAAGTCACAAACAGCAACAATGTCATGTCCGACCTACATTCCAAGCTGGAAATTGGCGTCATGAAGCGCAGGAGGGAAACGCGTTTTACCGGGTCATTCACTCGCGTTTTGTTGATCCCTCTGCGCAGTTGTCTTTGCATGGAATGCATCCGGGAATTGCTCTTCTCATTCAGGCCCACAAGAGTCAGCCTCATGGCACCTCCAGCTCGACCCGGAATGAATTTCTCCAGAGCCCGTTCAATATCAACCGGATACCAATGACGACTGGATGGGTCGGATAGGCATGTGGATGGGAATGCTCGGGCCACGACTGTGAGCATGAAATGACTTGTACAGCTGTCCTTTCTGAGACATGGACGAGTTATTCAATTGGCCATTGTCAGAAAGTGACGGGACGTATCATAACTAAGAGGAAGTTATGTTTTAACAGATTCATATGCAGCTTAGATTTGCAGAAATAGCCTCACTAGCTGCAGAGTGATGATTTGACTCCACAAACCTTGGGTGAGTCAAGACGACTTACGCCATGAAACAAGAACCGGAGACCCTTTGGACAGACTTTCTACCATCTCAAGGTCTACTAATCCCCAAGTAGACCAGACAAGCTTCTTCCGCGCGTTGAAGGCTAAAGGCTGGGATTCCATCGCCTCATTTGTGCTTGGACGGTGCATTTTGCCTCGTGCTCTGGGTACCCATGCTCTCCTTGGTAGCCAAGCTGTCTCGTGCTCTCGATTCAGATCTCATCAGACTAGTTAATACCAAAAACGACCGCCTAGCTCGAGGTAAGTGACAGATTATATTGCACATGAAAGTGAGACATGCAGCGCGCTAGCCGAGGCTGTCGTGTACAATTACCGCGTCAACGTAGGGGTAATGAGTCATTTGTCCTCCATTGCATATATGACCACGTCTAAGCCCTCGTAAGGGCCAAGAAGCAAAGGAGTTAGAATCTTGATACCCTGGTGACTTGTAAGACGGCAGAGTGTTAAGGTTCAAAGATGACTTCTATTATGGAACACCAATGGATAGCCTCTAACGGATATAGTCCCGAACAAGGTTCAGATCTCGAGTCTCTAGACAGTCGGCGTCAGACGATTGTGCAATTGGCTGGAATAATGTCAACCAGCCTTGGCAATGGTGTTCACAGCCTATAATCAGGCAGACTCATCTTAGTATCACGCTGGTTCGGCCAAGGCTCCGTTAGCGGAATCCAAAAGCCAATAGCCGCTTCAAAGTTAGCTGTCATTTTATCAGAATGTGACTGACAAGGTACGGCATACTGTAGCAAAGGTCTAAGCCACAGCCATGTCGTCCATGCGCAGTGCGGACACAAAACCCCTGACATCCCCAGCAGAAGAACGTAAGGTTATTCCAGGATGCCTCAATCACGAGTCCCACAAGTCCCGGCGTTCATCCACCTGGCCATCAGGCTGGGTGGACTAGCGCTCAGTAGCATATTTCTATTACCTCTTATATCTTGCAACTCACTGGGGCGAGGGGCACACATTCTATTTCGCCATCTTCTCAGTAAGCGACCGACACATCATTTATGGATGTATCTGACCCTGCAGATATCCGCCGCGATAGTCGTCGACCTGATCGAAGTATGCGGTCTTCTGGACGCCTCATTCACTCTCAAGCGGCTGCACGTGGGCTGGCTGATTTTCGGTAACGTGGTATCGATGATTCTGGGAGTTATTGGATGCATCCAGGTGGCTTTTAGCGACTGGAGTCTGGGCGATGCCCCGTCTGATTATCCGCGTCCGTGGAGGGACACATTGGATCTGACGTTCATGTTGATGATTGCGTTTCCGTATGTTTCTGCACTGGTTTAGGGATTTGGCTGACGATGTAGCGTGTCTCGTTTGTTGTTTTCGATACTCGAGTGCATTATCTGTGGCAGGATGCGTCGAAGGCACAGGGAGGAGCGTGGAAAAGAGGGAGAAGGGACTGCGTTGGCTTCGATGTCCTCAGACACTGTGGGTGCTAAGGAGACGCCAACTAATACTTGATCAAGTTCAGATGTCTATGTTCTCATTAATTCTGTATGCTGAACGGGTATGACATCAGTTACCAGCTATCCAATGGCATCAATTATCAAAGGCACAGTAACATCATTGGTGGAGAAACCGAATTGCTGATATATCTTTGGACTGTGCTTGGCTCATCAGGAACATAACAAACTTCACAAAACGGCCCACCAACAAAGCAGGATAACAATATCCATTGTGATGTAATGTGGGTCACAAATCTGTTGGAAGTGTTGATAGGTTACCCAATTGGATCGGCACGCCAGGAGAATCAACGATATTGAATGTTAATTGACTGATCTGCTGCCGAGGACCCAGATAAGATCCACTCATTACGCCATGAGCCCACAATTCAACGCCAACCAAGAGACGGGCTTGATCTCTCGCTTTTGAGGTATCCAGTAGCCGGTAATCAATGGGATTGCGCAAGTTGCCTGTCATCCGGTGCTGTGTTTGTTAACCGAGGTTTCAGTGGGTGGAAAAGTCAATTCCTCTCTCAGGGGATATTTGTGTTGTCTGTTGACAACCTGTTCAGTATATCAACCAATACTCAGATTGGCGTGACTGGAACGATTGAAGAGTAAAACAATATGGACGAAAGACCTCCCAGACGCCCTCGGGCGAAAGTACGTAAAAATATAGGACTCTCGTAGAAGCACATTGCAGATGCTGACAGCAGATAGTCTGAAGCGCCAAGACGACTGCGAGATCCAGCAGAAGCAGCCTCATCACCCACCAGGAGCACTCCCGCAGCGCGTCGCGCGGAATTCATCTCACCTACAAGACGAGCCTCTGCCCTGGAAGGCCCGGAAGCATCAGGGCCAGCCAATTCTGGCATCCGGCGTCGAAGCACAGCCGCGTCTCGACGCAGCGGAGTACCCAGCCTCACATCTCGCACGACGCTGGCAGAGCGAACACAAGGGAAATTCACTCTGGCCGGTCCAGAGGAAACACCTCAGCTTAGACTCGCTCACGAGCCCTTCGTGCATCCAGGATACACAGAACTCAACCCTGCCTACGAGCAGCCCGCCAACGCAAAGCCAGTATGGAGTTTAGCGAAGCCCCTGCCGCGTGTGGTGCGGCCGGGCATGGTTCCCACCAAGGAGGAGTTACTGGAGGCGCGTGCGAACGCCCAGTTGCCGGCGGAGAACTCGCAGAAGATGGGGCTGGAGGTTGATCCTAATGATCTCGAGGCTGGTCAGATTGAGAAGACCGCGGATCCGCGCAAGATGGCCGCGCAGGTGGAGGATGCGCGGGTGCAGCGGGAGAACAACTTCGTCAATAAGATACTGACCGGGGAGACCATGTCAACCCGGCGGTTATCGCGTACTTCGTCCGCTCGTATGCGGCGTCCCTCATACGTGGAGGGAGCGGTGGACCAGTTATCGACCTTAGAGGAAGGTGAGCATCCGGCGGAGACACAGCCTGAAGTCCCCGGCCAGCCACAGTCTCCCCAGGCGCAGCAGGAGCTCACTGCTGAACCTCTGCAGCCTGTGCCAGAGGAGATCGACCCACATCTAGTCGAACACGAACAGGAGGACGAACACGAGGACGAGCACGAGGACAAGGATGACATGAGCGTCTTTCCTACGCTTGACCATGCGGCGTACCCGGAAGACCTGCACCCGCTCGTCCAGGAGCTTGTTGAGGAAGAAGTGCACAATAACCACACGACCTGGGCCGTCATCCGTACGCACCACCGCGAGGAGCTTGCCGAGGCACTGGCGGTCTTCGTCCAGCTAACCGTCGGCCTGTCTGCGGATCTGTCCGTGACACTGGCCGGCGCAGGGAATCCCAACACCACTGCCTGGGCGTGGGGATTCGCCGCCATGATGGCCATCTACATTTCTGGTGGGGTGTCCGGTGCGCACCTCAACCCGACCATCACCATTATGTTGTGGTTCTACCGCGGGTTCCCCAAGCGGAAGATGCCGGCTTATTTCGCGGCGCAGTACCTGGGTGCCTTCATAGCCGCGCTGTCAGTGTACGGGCTGTACTACCACTCCATCCAGCATTATTTATCCACCAACGCACCCACCGATATCATCAACAGCTTCATCACCAGCCAACGGCAAACCTGGATTGGACCCGCGACTGCCTTCTTCAATGAATTCCTCGGAACGCTGTGTCTGACCGTAACTGTCCTTGCACTGGGCGACGATCAGAACGCTCCCCCCGGAGCAGGCATGAACTCGCTCATCATCGGCTTCGTCGTTGCGTGTCTCAGCATGACATTCTCGTATCAGACAGGCGCAGCATTCAACCCCAGCCGGGACTTTGGGCCGCGGCTGGCACTGCTGGCGCTGGGATACGGGGGAGAGCTGTTCACGAATCCGTACTGGTTCTATGGGCCGTGGGCGGGATCCTTGACCGGTTCGTTTATGGGGGCGTTCCTGTACGATTTTATGATCTTCACGGGAGGTGAATCCCCTATCAACTATCCATATGAGAGGACGCGGAGGGCGATGCGAAAGAGTAGGGCGAAGTGGAAGAGGAGGCTGCATTTAGGGAGGGAGAAGCAGTTCATCCAGTAGGTAAGAGTTAGCTCATGCAGAGAAAGGTACATAGACTCTAACACAATATAAATAGGTATGTACATAGTTTCTAACGTAGACTAAAGCGCCATGAATATATCTATCAAGTTTATACTGCGTCATCAGCTCATCAGACCACCTCCACCTCAGACTTCTTGACTTCCATTTTAGGATGTCGTATGGCATCCCAGAGATGCATATCGCCATCATCATTCCTCACGTGACTCTCTATACACCATCCACATAGTACTGAACAATTCCAATCTATTCAGGAATCAAACATCGGAGCCCTTCTCAGCCCCATTCCCATCTCTCTCACTCGTCTCCTCTGGATCCCACGTGGACTCACACATAAACAGACTCCTCCGACGAATCTGCGGCCCCTTGAGCACCAGAACGACAGGCACAAGCGATAGAGCAGCCCCAATAAAGCCCAGCAAGGAACCGGCCCACCCGAAACCAAGATTACTAAACAACTGCGGCGACGCAAGCGGGAGGAACGCTCCGAACGAGTTTCGACCCAACGATGCAGCCGACAATGCCGAAGCAGCGTATTTTTCGTATGCGTCAGTCAGATAGTTCACGACGCCCATGTAAATCGCGTAGATTCCAATGCCAGCAGCTGTGATTCCAATCGTGGGAACGATCCAGTGGACGTCGGGCTGACTGGCCCAGCCGTACCAGAACAGCCCGGCGGTGAACAGGAGACTACCGGGGATGGAAGTGTACAGTCTAGCCTCAGGAATAGGACGGCCGGGCTTTTCGGTATTTCGGTTCGCAGAACGCAGGTAGAGCCAGTCCTGGAAGGGATTGATGGCGGTGGCGATGACGGCCCCGACGGAGATGGCTAGCTGGACCAGACCGGTGGCCAATACGCCCCAGCCATAGTTGGTGCTGTATGTTTGGACCACGCTGGAGAAGAACAGATACAGGATACCCCAGGCGAAACTGATCCACAGGGTGAAAAACTGGACGACTGGCTGGGACAGTAACATCCGGGCGGGACGGCCAAAGGAGATTTTGAGGAGACGCCACGTACTAGGGGCGTTCAGCTCGGAAGCTGCGTAGACGTGTCGTCCGGTCTCCTTGCGGATTCTGCGGGCTCGTCGTTTGAGAATGACGTCTGGACGAGTCTCGCGGAGGATGAGCCAGAAGATGGGGATGAGGGCGGCGTTGTAGATGATCTGGACATAGAAGGTCCTGTTGCCATACATTAGAGGTTGTTCATCCATAGCAGATGTAGCCTCTTACCATCTCCAGGGATCGTCCTTGTGAATCTGCACAATGGCAGAGCAGATAAGTGGGCCCAAGGCAATTCCGATTACACTCGTGAATCCAAACAGAGACATGGGGAGACTGCGAGCTTTGCCGCCCTTCCACACATCACTAATACTCCCTCCGACGATGTTGATCGAGACAGACGACGCACCACCGCCAAAGAAGCGAGTTACTATAATTGTAGCAAAATTTTGGGCGAAGGCTGATCCGAATAGCGTAGCGACCAGAATAATATACGAGACGAAGTACCCAGGCATGCGACCGGAGGATTCGGTGAGAGGCACGAAGATCAACGACCAAAAGGCCGCACCCATGTTCCACGAGGTCGTAGCCCAGTAGAGGTTAGGGAAGGGAGAGTTCTGGACATGCCATTCTTTTTCCATCCAGTTATTCCCGGACCCATACGTTCCGGCAGGCAGACCGGTCAGGATGGAACTATAGAGTCAGCATTTCGCCTGTCCGTATGGAATTGAGCACAATTGCGAACTCACATGAAGCAGACGGTCAAGGTGAGTAGCCATTTGTACTTGGTACTCCAATTGAATCTAAAATCTCTTAGTTGACATTTCTTGACTCGCTTTCTCACTTACGGGTTCTCTGGATCATCTGACCCATCCCAAGTGTGAATCTCGATGTCTGTGCTATCCCGTATCTCCCCACTGAGGTCCTCAATACCAAGACATCCTTTGATTCTGAAGATAGTCAGTATCTCAACACCTTTTCGACTGCATCACACCAACCTATCTGTCAAACTTTTTTTGGCAGTTGAGTGTTCGTCGCAGAGTTTGCGGGCATTGCGTCATCGACTGGTTGGGACGAACCCCCATTGCGGACCTCTGGTTCAGCCATCTCAAAGTCAATTCACATTCAAGACACTGTAAACCCCCATGGTGTAGGGATGAAGAACCATTTATGAACTGAGAAAATGAGAAGAAATGAAAGATGAAAAAAAAAAAAAAAAAAAAAAAAAATTCAAAATCTATGCTCATCGTCCAGTGATCATAACCATTGTATATCCGCTTCGGCATGCCGAGATCTCCGCCCAAGACGGCGGATCAGGCCTACCATTGGCTCTGGCCAGCCCTATGCCGTCATCGACTGGGACAGATCGATGGCAAAGTCTCAGGTTGGCTGATCCAATTCTCGGGCATTTAATCATCTTGGTTCATACGTTCCAGTTAAGCGGGTTAAACTCTCCATGCAATCCGATTGTGGTACTGTACGTAGTTAGCAGGTTCTCTCATTGCCACGGATTATTCATACGGATGGCTTACTCTCTGCCTTAAACTGCATATACCCGCAGCTCTGAGTAAGTACTGGAGGATGGCAGTTGTATCTGTTGGACCTTTTGTTCAATTACTGTACTCTTTATGATGTAATATGAAGAATAACAAATTGATAGTTATGGTTGGGCACCGTTTTGGAAGTTCAGAATGTGCAATGTTCATAGTAATGTGATTTACCCGGCGGCAGTTGTAAGACTAGACAGTCTAAAAGAGTACGTACGATACTAGTTGGTGTAATAGGATATGTCCAAATTCGGTGCTGTTCGGTAGGATTGTACTAGCAAATTTGCTTAAGCTGGAGTCTTCTGGTTTTCTTTGGGATACTAGCGACTGTCAAGCTCTGCCTACATGCCGAGGGGTCATGGTCTACTGCCTTTAATCGGATTAGTGGGAAGAGGAATTCTCTTTTGCATATTAGGCCCTTGTGATCGTTTAGCTATCCTGTTTGCCTTTCCTTAGCATGAAGGCCGCAAGCCACGAACTATAATTCGCTCAAAGATGCCAATTACCAGGACGCTGATCCTTTCAAACTGTGAATGTTCCACTCAGGGACTAGATGGTTAGGTAATTATTCAAGCTTATTTCTGTGCGTGTGGGCCTTTTCACCGCGTTGTCATTGCCCAGTTCTTGATATTTACATTTATCACTCCTGGGCTTGTCGCAATGGAAGCCCTTAGTAGAAACCCTAACCCGTTGTCGTATTTCTCCTTACAGGATGGTAGATTGGATTCATGTCAATGGTGTACATTTCTACCAGAACAGTGAAATGCTTGCGGTATTCTGCAGAGCTCTTAATCGACCTGAAGGGTTGTCAACGTTAACTACAGTATGTGAAGAAACATATACCACAACCATGCAGGTTCCATCACACTGTCTTGAATATTATTGGTCTTGATGCACCTATCACTTGCACTTTCAGAGAGACCGATTAGCTCACTTTTAGTCTCTGTGTGAACACATTGCATTGCATCACTTAATGCTGGGTGGCATTGCAAATCGTAGTGATTCTTGACTAGTGCTGACAGTCCAGAATTCGCAGATCGGACTGTAAGTAGGTAGTTGAAGACTAATAGAACCAATGAGAATCTGTATTTGCTAGAACTGTCGTTCGTGTTCTTATATTAAATCATGCAGTCATGTTTGCTGCGAGCGAATCAGATACACCTGAAACTCTAAATAGAGTACAGACCCTGTTTATCTTCCGAAAGGGAACCGTGGGGCGTTAATACCCCTTCATAACTAAACAACTGATGTGTCTGCCCACTGTTGTGGCTGGCTGACTGTTGCTCCTGTTGGTGCTTGAACAGCCTGAACCTAGGTCCTGCTTGCAGTAGGTGCATAATTGTATCTTGCATTGCCTTCTGTAAGCCAGGCATTGCGATAGATGAGAACAGTAAGTCTCATCATGGGGTCACTGTGGCCTTTGGATCATGGTGCATGGTCTCTTGGGCTCTCACACTGGATCGAAAGGCTTATCCTCCACCTTGGTCGCCATCTGGAATAGTATAAGGATCGCTAACCGCGGAAGGTTACTCTGAGCTAGTGTAAGGGGAAAATAGACCGCGAATATATTATAGGTGTGACTTAAGTAGACTACGGCTGATCTTTAATAAAGATAGTTTTCGAAATCGGTACTATATGACGATTTGATATCCCTCTTATATGAGAATTGATATCGATACTATAGATATTAATACTATATGATGATTCAATATCATTACTATAGATATTGATACCATATGATAATTCGACATCAATATTATAGTAATCAATATCCCTACTATATTGATGTTTAATACCCTCACTATAGTAGTATGCGATATCCTAACATACATGTTATTGATACCTGTGTTGATAGTGGTATTTGGTAATACCAGAGGATAACAGTAGGAAAACTGATGTGGTCCTTTGGTGCAAACAGTCTGCAATAGCAGCCCTAAAATTCACTACAGTGGACGAGGATACCGAATAGTATCAGGATCAATTCCTCTTATTATAAAGGGAAATTGTCGAATAGGAGAGGGCAGGAACTTTTCATTCTGAAACCCATGCTCTTGTAGAGACAGAGATTTATCAGCTATTAAGAACTTGTCTGGACTCTGGACTAGCGGGGTTTCGGGATCCTGCCTCGTCAATTTAACAGTCACAGACTAGGATACCTCGCTTATGGAGTATAATCACAGTTAGCCTGGATGTTGCCAGTTCTTCAGAGTTTAACCTCCCACAGCTGATTGGCCCATAGGGGGGTGAGGCGTATGCACGAGGAAGCTCAGCCACCAGTTGGCAGGGCCAGCTGTACGCATTCATAGTGGTCTATTATACTTACCTCCCATGACCGACCTATGGCAATATGAGATTTACCTAGTCATCACTATGTGGCTGAGATGGGTTGGGCGAAGCTGCACGCACAACCTGCGGTCATAAACCTGTACTGTCCCTTTTCCTGTTTTATTTTTTTTTCCCTCGTGTGATTATCGCGTGGTGTTTATAGGATGTTCTTAATTCTGGTGCTCTTTCCATCCGCAGCGCTCTCTCTGACTAACGATTCGCATACGAACACTACGATGGCTGACCATAAGCTGGTCGGGTGGATATCTCCCGACAACCATCGTAGCACGTCCGAAATCATCTGGAGCTGTCTTGCAATTTTCCTGGTCTGCACCTGGAAATGCATGCATCTCAACATTCCCAGCGTGAAGGAGCGTGGTACAACGGAATGGGTCAAACTACTTGGGATCCCTCTCCCAAAGCCGTCCCCAGAGCTGCGACGGAGGTGGCTGAAGAGAGTGGGGTGGATGTTTGTTTTGGCCATAGCACCGGAATTAGGGGTCATGATTTCTGTAAATCAGAAGCACGTGGCGGAAGAGCTCTACGATAGGCATAAACACATGGACTGGTCGGTAGTTCATGCCCACTATGCGAACATGGGTGGGTTTTCCATAGCGATTCCGGAAGAGGAGGGTGAGATTAAAGCAGAAGGCACCTCTGTTGCAACCAATGCCGCAGAATCAGAAACAGCAGCAGCAGAAGCTGAGCATATGATGGCGTCGCGAGAGATTAACGCTGAAAGCCATGTTGAGGATGCTGTTGACAAGAGAGAGCCTTCAGTGGAGGAGCGGTTGATTGGACTGGACAATGTGGAGAAGGAGACGCGATTCCGAATCAGCCGGTTGCAGGCAAGCGATCTCGGTGAGTGAAATGTTGCACCAAGGCCAACTGTGTAAATATGATCTGATTGGGCTGTGACAGCGCGTCTCGATGAACTTGGTTTATTTCCTGCCACTAAAGCGTCCCACGGCAAGAACAGGGCTCTCCCCATGACCACCATCGATGATATCCAGGACCGGTCCAAATCGGACGCCTTCACAAAGTTCTTCGCACTCGTCCAATGTGCCTGGTTAGTGATCCAAAGTATTGCGCGTGCTTGTGCGGGTCTCCCATTAACTGAACTTGAATTGACCACCCTCGCCTTTATCTTCTGTGCTTTCATCATGTACTGGTTTTGGTGGGATAAACCGTTTGATATTCAGACACAAACCATCCTCCTCTGTCCGCCGGAAAAGGCAGAACAGATGCGAGATTTTATCAAAAGAAAGGACCGATTTCTAGGAAGCGATAGAGAGCCACGCTTCCATCAACTCAATACTTTGGCGATTGACGGGTTCTTGGATATGTTTAGCAGATCGGTTAACCACCCCCCCTTGACTCAGAAACTGTCCCCAGCGTCAGTTGCGGTGTCATTCTATTTAACGGCATTCGTTTTTGCCGGATTTCATCTGATTGCCTGGAATTGGGAATTCCCTACTCCGATGTCACGGATAATGTGGAGAGCATTCTCGTTAATGATGCTGGTATCTTCTTTACTCCCGATGCTTGCATTTTGGGCGAAAAAGAAATTGGGGGATGAAGACGATGAGGATTATAGTGAGGGTTGTGCTCTAGCCTGTACGCTATGTTGTTGTTCAGAGAGGGGGACCTGTTGTTTATGGATGTTTGGGGTCATCCTCTTCCTGAGCTACGTTGTTGCCCGGCTTGGGATTCTGTTCCTGGTCTTTTATTGTTTCCGAGCGATGCCTGCCGATGTCTATTCAAGTCTAACGTGGACGGCGATCTTTCCTCACTTTAGATAAACAGATACAGGTCCTTGTTTTTGGTTGTATGTAGCTTCATTATTTTATTTGAACCAGAAGATCAGGTTCCTCCTTTCTATATATTGATCACTTGGTTCATTTCGAGACGGCATCCATCTATATGCCATCAGCAACTAGGCGTAAGGTAGTAAAGGAGTATTTATTATATAATTTCACCATTTGACGGAACAGTTATATCTGTTATTGGCAGCTAGAGCCTTTTTTTTATGGCCGAGTTCATCCTGTCTCTTTGTTCTTCCTCATACTCTATTGTAAATCCTCATAGGTTAGCAAACTTGCAGAGCTCCTCCACATTTTTCTACTGTTAAAACTACCTGGAATATCATTATGTGATATGTTGTCAAAGGATAATAGTGAGAATAGATCATGAGAAACATTTATAAAGACGCCTCCTATAAATGCTGATGACACGCTGTTTCACTTTGGATGTATGGACGCAGCACCTTATATTATTTTGTTTACATTATACAGATAACAGAGAAAGAGCGCCTTGAATACTGGGGCGTGATATTAGATGATTATCACATCCAAACAAGATGTTGTCCTATCTTCTCAAGCTTCTTGTGACCTTGTTCTAAGGAGCCCCGACTGTCCGTGTGCTCACAGAGAACCCATCTGAAACTCATAGCAGTCACAAATTATATGCTTATACAGTTAGTAATTGATTATATGTATGCACTACTATCGAGTAATACTAAATGTTTGTAGACTATGTAAATACTAATGGGATGGCAGGGATTAGCAAGTTATGCGACAAATGACATCATCACTCTCACCAGCCAAACAGGAGATGTGCAGCCTATATCTTTGACCCATACAACCCGCCTATCTATATTATCAATTATCCAAACTAGAGGCAGAGAATATGCAACCCCTAGTTAATGAACACGTGCTCATCGGCGGCACGCGAATCGCCTATGGCGTCTATGGAGCACAAACCGGAGAACCCGTCGTCTTACTACACGGGACACCATCCAGCTCTCTCATCTGGCGAAACGTCCTGCCTCATCTAACAAACGCCCACTACAGAGTCCACGTGTTCGACTGGCTTGGCTACGGGCTCTCTGAACGCCCCTGGGATCCATCGGTTGACACCTCGATTTCGGGCCAGGTACCGATCCTGGAGGGTCTACTGGCGCACTGGGGTCTGGAATCAACCCATCTAGTGGCTCACGACATTGGCGGGGGGATCGCACAGCGCTTTGCCATTTTCTCGCCGCAGAGGATTCGTTCCCTTACGCTTGTTGATGTGGTCAGTTTTGACAGTTATCCGTCTGCGAGAACGAAGAAGCAGATGGAGGACGGGCTGGAGGCCCTGATTCGGGCGCCTGATGCGGAACATCGCGAGCATTACCGGGATTGGTTGCTGTCTGCTGTGCAGAAATGCGAGCAGTTCGAGAGTTCGAGTCTCGAAACCTTTCTGGGATATATATCTGGCCCCGTCGGGCAGGCGAGTCTTTACCAGCATCAGGTTCGGTTTTATGATCCCAAGCACACGCTGGAAATTGCCGATCGGTTGGGCGAGCTGGGGAAATTGCCTGTCAAGCTGATCTGGGGTGCGAATGACGGGTGGCAGGTTCCTGATTGGGCGCATAAATTGCATGAATCTATTCCTGGCTCACAGGTGGAAATTATCGAGGATAGTGGGCACTTTTCTCAGGAGGATCAGCCAGAAACGCTCGCGCAGTTACTGGTCACGTTTCTGAAGCAGCATTGATAGTTGCCTTGGTTGAGGGCAATTGCTTCTGTCATTTACTGATGTAATCCAGTATCTGCTCCGATCACCAAATAGTCATCACATCCCAACCCTTGACCCGCACGCGGACCCAGAGAAAGCACGCAAAAGACGCTACATAACTCAGCCCAGTGAACAAGATGACACCCCAGAAACCCCTCCTTCCCCCCTCAGTAGCCGTGATCAAGCTGCCCGCAATCGGAATGCCTGTCAAACATCCAATACTGGCAACTGTATACGCACTCGCATAGTATCTCCCGTAGTCTTGAGTGTCGCACAGCTGCCCCAGACACACAGGCATCAGACTGATATTCGAACCGCTCGCAAACCCGAACACAATCACAAACATGATCATCAGCGCCTTACTCGGCGGAGTTCCCGCTAATGCGTCCGGTAGCCATAGCCCAATCACGGCAGCCAGGCAGACGAGATTCGATACGATCATGGTGTTATACCGGCCGCTTTTATCCGCTACGTAGCCGATAAAGTATCGTCCAAAACAGGATACTGCGTTTAAAATGGCGAGGAGCTGGTATGCAAACGCTGCAGCGCCACTTACGGCCTCGGCGTTTGAGAGGCCCTGCCGCGTAAGATAGTAGCTGGGAACATAGGTGACGGGGACGAAATACGCCCATTCGATGAGAAACACTCCGGCGGTGGTGACTGCCATCGCGCCCGTGCCGTCCCAGAATATACGTGGGTCAGGCAGCATATCACGCCATGAAGTTGCGGTGCCTTTCTTGGGCGGGAGTCGACTTCTGCAGAGGAGGACACTGATTACGCAGAGGAAGAGGAGCACGAAGCCTACGATGCGGGTTGCCCAGGCCCAGCCCACTTTTGGGAGCAGCGATTGCATCATGAGGGGGAAGAGGACGCCGCCGAATCCGCTGCCGGTGAATGCGAAGCCGGATGCTTCGCCGCGGCGTTTATCGAACCAGTGGGAGATGGCGCCCATTGCTGGGGTGAAGAGAAACGAGTTGCCAATACCGCTCAGGATGGAGAATGCGAGGACAAATTGGTAGTACTCTGGATTCTAGCATGTTAGCAACTTCATTTGAGGAATCGATGCTGAGAAGACAACCTATACATAAACCCAGTGTAAATGTTCCCGCCAGCAGAAAGACGCTCCCTATCATGATGAGCTCCCTAGGGCCCCTGGCGTCAAATATCGGTCCAACTTGTAAGCCGCAGAAGTAGGAAACAAAGACATAGATGCCGAATATCCACCCTGTAGAGTCCGTAGAGGTGTTTGTCAAGAGGGTCGTCGAAACATATGCCTCCAGTACACCCACCGAGTTCACAAGACCGAGGCCCGCGGTCATGCAGCACCAAGATCCCAGCGCGACTGTCCAGGCTGCGATACCTCCTTCCGGGTAGCTGATTATTTCATCCTGAGATGCATGGACCGGTTGTGTCAAAGACTTCTCAGAGCACTGAGACGGCTTCTCAGATGAGATCTGCGGGCCGTCCATTTCGAGAATGGTTGATATGAATATACCGGAGGATGGAATTAACAAGAGATAATTGAGAAAAATAATATAAAAACGAACAACGAGTCTACGACAGTGCAAGGAGGGGCAACGCCAATTGTCGCAAGATCATGAGTAGCTTAAGAAAAGAGCCGGGGATATTGCACCAGAGTGATTGGTGGGAAAGGCTTCCATTAAAGGACCGGACTCTATTGTTATAGTGGTCAGCCTAATCTACGTCAGAGCAAAAATACCTGAGTGATTCCTGATAATCCCTGTACGGATCTAACGGATCTAACTGGTGAAGGTAGTCTACCACTGTCGATCCTTATTGGATCTTACTCATCTTACTCTCCATGCAACCAGATGACGCTAAACAGTCCTTATATAATTCCGTCGACAAGAGGTGGCTGACCTGCCCCGCACACCTATTGAACGTACGATTCTCGCAGTAATCTTCCTTAGGTTACAAGTTACCATCCTTGCTATGTCGTCATGGAGAAACACGCGTTGCCTTATTTGGCCGTCACCTAACGTCGTTGAGACACCTGGAAAACCACAGACTTGTCCCCAGTCTCCTGCCACAATTTCACCACGAAGTCGCCCGAGTATTCCCTGGCCTGCTGGAACTGCTCCCGAGTGTACTTGAGGCAACTGTTGGTTAACACGTACTTCTTGTGCCCATTGACGCGGACCGGAGCAAGCGTGGTGGCGACATTCACGCTTCCAATCTCGGTCTGCAGGGGCAACAGGTAAAAGACATGCTTTCTGGTTGCGGCTGCTGCAGATCCCGATGCCGCGGCAGAGCCATCCGATCCTGACTCGAAGCATTCGCCGACTAGGCCTGAGAAACGATTCATTTCCGGATGCTGATAGAATTGCTCAATGAGGCCCGGATCAGCACCCCCGCCGAAAACCTGCATTTCTGAAAGCAGAATGTCGCCCGGCCGGGTGATGCTCTTCAGCATCGGTCCAATTCGAGCAGGCAGGTCATTGCCCTCCTGGAAACCAAGGTTGGTCACAACGGTGACTAGGCTCTCAGAAGATGTAGTTTCATCTTTAGGCTTTGGGAAACCGGCTACGGAGCATTTATAAAAATCCTCGACCCAATAGCTGAATCTTTCTTCTCCGATTACAGGGACCAAAGCGTTACGCATGGTCTGCTCGGACTCGGGATTGATATCGATGCCCACGTACTGGCGAAGCCTGACGCCCGCAGCTAGGAGTCGCTCGAGGATGGCCCGTGATTTCCAAGGCTCGGGGCCCAGCTCAACATAGCGGATTGGACGGTTGTCGGCGAGCATGGCAATTTCATCCGCAGCCTGAAGCAGAGCATCGCGGAAGCATGGCCCTAGCTTTCCAGCGCAGGTGCGCGGATCTTCCAGCGCCAGACGGTTAAGGGTGGCCATGGTGTTGAATATGGCAGCCAGATTCTGCTCCTGGTTGGTGTTCTGTTTGAATCCATGGGGCTGGTATTTGGACGAGTTATCAAGGACAATCAGCTGCTCTGGCTGGATGCTGCTCTGAGAAATGAGAGCATGCGCAACGAGGTCGTTGAAGGCTGGAAGTGTGGTGACAGTCATCTTCATAGCTCAATTGTTCAAAAGGGTAGATAATGATACTGATTAATGGGTCATGTCATTCGAGAGCCTGCGGTCTGGGCTGACACCATCCCCATATTTATAGTTCGTGACCAAGGACATTACTCAATCTCACTTTCTTAAGATGACACGTCCGTCCTTCTCGATCCTGAGCGGTTTGTATCTTCGAACATCATTCTTTCGTCAGTCGCGGTTGTGTTCGCTGCAGGCATCAAGAGTAGTTGCGAGAAAAGCACCAATCTAGCTGTATCAGGACATCCCGAGCCTGGTATTTCATCGACGGATCCCACAACAGACGACCGGGACGGCTCGATCTAAGACACAAGTATTAGTTGAGTCCTCGCATTGCTCACTCAGATTGTATGAGATCGTCCTTTGAGCATATGCTGGACGACCAATCATGCTTTCGCTGACTGCAGCGAGGGAAGTCTCCATCATGGGGTCTGGAGGCACATTGCTAGGATTCGAATCCTCCAAGGCTCGCTCAGGACACCTATTGGGAGATTGTGAACACATTGGCGCATGATGCAGGGTTAATATACGTATGTGCAGCGAGCTGCTGAAACAGATTGACATGAAGGTGGGTAGCCCTGGTAGCATCCAGCCTATGAAAGGTGATGAATAATATGTACGTGAACATTGCGACACATGCTGTTGCATTATACGCGCCAGTTATCTCTAGCCTCGAGACTTCGGCTACACGTATGCATAAGTTGATCTTCCTGCAGTCATGTTATGCAGCAGTAACCTGTTTGGAGTACAAGGATATATAAGCCACAGCGGATGTACTTTTGCATATTCGGTATGGTGAACCAGGGGCAGCATCTGCAAGCTGGAGGCTGAGAAATTTAATGAGCGTCGAGAAGGTTTATAAATGGTTGATATTACCCGACTGAAGCCACATCGTCATGTCGCCGAGATTCGTTCTATGCCTAGCCTCGCGAGACCCAGTTTGAAGCAGGCCATCAGCACGGGAGAACGGCCCGCCAATAGATGGCCCGTCGATCCTGTCGATCAGCCGGGATCATGGGCGGTTTATTTTGGAGATCGCTTCCAGTGCCGCGGGGGGGGGGTTGTAATCAGTCCTCGTATTCAATTTGGAGCAATTAGATATGCTGCAATTCACCATCGTTGTCCTGTCACCTGTAATGGAGACGCCGCAATTCAACGAAATGATCAGCTGTTCAAAATACCTATATGGGCTTTTGGGGCTCCTACAAACTGGCATTTGGGAAACAAGTTACCAGCGCGCCAAGTAGGAATCAGGATAATCGTCTCGGATTGTTCGAGTAGAGCATTGCTCGGTAGGAACTGCGAGTCTGCGACAGACGGAATACTAGTCATGTTCAGCGACATCTTCTAGTGTGTGCGGCATACAACTAAAGGATAATTTCAATATGCAAATCTGCCCAACAGCTTTAATGCAAGCGTTTTGTAACAATCACGGCCCTCAGTGGGCAGGCGTGCCTTAGTCCTTCTGATATTGTCCGCTGCGGTCCTCTGATTGAGAGCCACGGAGCCTCGTCGAACAGAATGTGCTCCAAGGTAAGCCATGTGTCAGACATGCACCGAGATCCAAACTGCACTTCAGCTGGAGAGACCAGCTAGCTAATCGTCAAGGGAACCCCATAGCTATGGTATGTTTCATGGTACTACTGCTCTTCAAAATTTTTGGACATGTTATGGGCCGCACGTTTCTTCTATCAACGATCCTCTTACTAGGAAGTGTATTGAACAAACGACGCTTGCAGATGAATATACTATAGCAGTCGCTTTGATGACCCTAAAAATCATTGTGACTCTCCTTTCTCCGTCAAAGGGTGCTGCTGTCCATAAGAAGATTGCATGGCATCATTACACCTTGAAGAAAGTGAATGGATAACGGTCTTGTTCGGCTACCCTCCTTGACAATCGAGCATCTTGTCGAGTCAACGTATCAAGACTCCTGTAATCGCTTTTACAGTGACATTGCACCCAGGGCTGTCGTATATCAGCCATACATATTCTCACTATCGAGGGCCCCATATGGCACAGAAGAAAGATGTTAGAGAACCATAATGAGGATCAGGTCCCTCCTAGAGAAGACCAGAAGTCTATTGTCTGGGCTTCCGGCTAAATATCATAATTCCACACTTTCTGTCAAAATCTCTCGAAAACCAGTCCCTCTGATGCAACAATGATTCAGATGACAGACTCTTAGCAATGCAATTATCCACCCTTAGACCCCGGCCTCTTATATTTTGAATTAACGTCAGATCTCAGAATAAATAAAGGGTTGTTAAAGAGCACTGAGGGCTGATATATTGGTTTCCTAACAACGATAAGTATGCTCATATATTCCCGGATATTGGTGATCAAGCAACTGTCACCCAGTCGGATGTGTGTTCGAGGTAGGTTGTGCCAGTCCCAATGAACGGATAAATGCATCATTCCTGCAACCGCCAGAACATGCCAGACAGCAGAACTCTTTTCATCTCAGCTATTGGGACATTTTATGCAACATGTCAGAGTGATGTAGCATTCTAGTAAGCACTAGCTTCGCATTATTAATGCTCATAGGGTAGATGTTTCCGTCGTCTGTGTGCGTGCATTAGTGGCAGAACATCCGCGTGTCAAGCTCATATTCGACAAGGGAATTGGACCATTTATGTCCGCGTCAGGGACAAATATTTTTCTTTTGCTCCTCAACCCCCTCCCTCGTTGTCTCAGGTTTGTGGTGCAGCATGTTGCGATTTTCTATTCTCTTAAGCGCCATCTGCGCCATTGCTCTCGCACAAACAGACAAGACTTTACCCAGTGTCTTTGAACCAGACAATTACGATGTCAACGCCGCGCTTTATAATCTTGGGGTGGATGTTTCTGCGATCCCTGCCCTGAGTTCGCTGCAGTCGCGGTCAACCGAATCCGCCTGTGGTGCAGCCGTCAGTACCTCGATTCATGAACCCAGGAAATGCATATGAAACCTGACATTCTACAGTGCAGCGCCCTGGGCTTTCTCTATGGCCCAAGTAGAGCATTCGCTCAGAATACGACCGCGTACACCAATGCCACAGGATCGTATTGGTCGGTCCAGCAGGAAGAAGTTCGTCCATACTGCATCTTCAAGCCATCGGTAAACACTGATGTTTCAATTGTTGTACTTTTGTCAAGGTACACTGGCTGTCCCTTTGCCATCAAGAGTGGTGGCCATGCTGCCTTTGCGGGAGCATCGAGTATTCAGGGCGGTATTACGGTCTTGCTGAAGGATATGAACGCCATCACACTGAATGAGGATAGATCTGTTGTTTCAGTTGGCCCTGGTAATGTTTGGGTGCAGGTATACGCGGCATTAGAGCCCTATGGGCTCGCTGCCATCGGCGGCCGGGTTTCCACAATTGGCGTGGGAGGTCTTACGACCGGAGGCGGGATTTCATACTACTCCAATATATATGGTTGGGCTTGCGATAATGTCCAGAGCTTCGAGGTACGAGCCATGCATTGTACCTTTTGTTTGGAAGCTCACCGAGACGAAGGTGGTTACTGCGAGTGGTGCCATCGTCACAGCCAGTGCAGAGTCCTATCCCGACCTCTACTGGGCTCTCCGAGGCGGCGGGAATAACTTCGGCATAGTCACCAAGTTCAACCTCTATACTATTCCCAGCCAGGAAATGCGAGGTGGAACCCGAGTCTTTGCCGAGGATCAATTCAGCGAGGTGATCAGCGCCTTCGTCAGCGTCGTCAACGGCGCCTCCAATGACGGTAATGCACAGCACTGGGTCGCGTTTGTGCATACTCAGGGACAGAACATCGCTGCTGCTGAGATGACCTATGTCAAGAACGTGAGCGAGCCGGCCATCTTCGCTCCCTACCGCGCAATCCCCGCAATTCAGGACACCACGGCTTCCAGGACCTTGGTGGAGTACTGTGACACCGTTCAGGAGGTCAATCCCGACGGACTGCGGGAAATGTACTGGACGTTAACTGTCCGCTTGGACGAAGGCTTTATCAACTGGGTTACTGAGTACTTTTACTCTGTTCTTCCGCAGGTTTGGAGCATCCCGGGTATTAACCCATCCCTCGTCAACCAGGGCATTACCGTCCCCATGCTCAAGAACATGACTCGCAACGGGGGTAATGCACTGGGTTTAGATGCCTCGGATGGTCCACTCCACCTACTGCTAATGTCGACCTGGTGGGACAATGCGGACGACGACGAAACGATAGTTGCGTGGGCTAAAAGTTTCTGGGATACAGTCAGCGCCAAAGCGAAGAACGATGGCTTGCTTCATGACTATGTCTACATGAACTACGCCAGTCAGTATCAGGATGTCATTGCGGGCTATGGGGCTGCCAATAAAGCCAAACTGCAGAGCATTGCTGTCAAGTACGATCCCAAGGGAGTCTATCAGACGCTTCAGCCGGGTTATTTCAAGCTGGATGGCGCACCTGCCTCTGCTTCACTTTAATTGGCGAAAGCTGACTGAGCACACTGCTGATCAGCAAAATGGTTGGGAGTCTTGGTCACTTCAAGCAGTATATAGTAGTCATTGGGAGGTAACATATGTCCAATATCCACGTACTTCTTGGCGACGAACATATTTATAGTTTGTCTGATGCTAATGTTGATGCCATCCTTCACGGCGCCACTCTGAAAGTATATAGCACTTATACTGATAATGACTACAATACATAGCCTCAATGCGTTGCATATCAATCGGTTCCTAGTGCGTGGATGAGTATATATCTACGAAGCATATGAACTAAGCTATCCTAAGTTATTCCAATAGATTACGTAGGTTTAGACCTCATGTGATGTGGATCACAGTTAACAGTCAGCCATCAGAGGAAAACCTGCTGGTAAGTTATGGTATTTGAGAAATACCAAAATTGTAAAAAGCGCTGGGGACTCTACCTAGTGAGATGAGGGAGGAGAAACATAGCGTTAGTTCTAGCTGATTACTCATGCCTATTTCGGGGCTTAACCCTTGAAGTAGGTGACTGGGATGATAATAACATCATCACCGAAGGTGGAGGGATCTTCTTCCAACTATGTTGTTCTTTAGTGAAGATTGTGACTGCTTAATTAGGAATGAATGAATTGCTTTCCGTTATAATATCTCTTCTATCCAGTTGAACTTATGTCCAACCTGGACACGACCTGGCTCATGACTCCCAATTGCGACGAAGCTTGACCTACTCTTCGGAGTGCTATGCGATATCCCTCGTACATTTTATCTTGAAAACATTGCCCGAAGCCCTGTAGGAATGTTAGTTTCTTAAGTCTTCCGCCACCAATTCTCGAAAAGTTTCATGTGGTCCAATTTTTGGTTCAAGCGTGGGCGGACGGCAGACAGCAACTTGAACCCGGCCCTCCCGCCGCTAGATATGGCTACGAGTCTACGACGACTTTATCAAGAACTATGAAATATGCGTTTTTGCCGGGTTCAGGTGGCATAACCAAATTAAATCAATTGTCCGAAGCATTTCCAAGCAGAAAGTAAGTCCTCAATCGGGAGACGATTCAGTTGTTTATGATCAACGAACAATTGGAGGAGCGCAGCTACCACTCCAGTACTTTGGTGCGTGAGGAAGGATCCGGTGTTGTTCAAGTGAGCTAAACGCTTGTCATGGACTCATGGGCTAATTTTGCGATGGGAGTTGAGGTGCTCGAAACCTAAGCTCCATTAGACTCACCGCTTATGGAACGAGCTTAGCGTAGTTGCATGGCGTCTACATTCAGAACACTAAAATTGCCCAAGCCTACATATTGGGGTGCAAAACTCCCTGAAAGTTGCTAAGAAGCTATTTGCGATATGTCCACTAACTAGATAAATACTCTGGAAACCTTGACCCATGGATGGGTTGCCGTGTGATACCCACTCGTTAACCGTGGATGCCCCTCATTACTCCATAGTGGGGCCCAGGCACCCGGAAGCAAATGTACCCCCTACAAAGAAGCTAAGCCCGATGGGTAGATGGCCAGCCCTTAAAAAGATTGCATAGCCGCCACACATTTTCATTTTTTTATCTGCTTCAATTCATCTCCTCTTTAATTCGTTAATATGTATGAACGTGATGTCTTCGGAAACCCCCGATATTATGGCCCGCGCAGTCCCCTTTAAAGAAGCCAAGAACGCTGCCACATCCCTCGCAGAGTGCTTTTCAGATGATCGAGTAGCGCGCTACTACCTCCGAGTTTCTGATTGCAATCGGCCACTTACATCAAAAGAGGAGAAACTGAATCTTCGCATATACGAATGCCTCACCGCTGCCCACTGCCATGATGGCCTTGTCGTTACTGCCGGACCGTGCTATGACTCTGTTGGTCTTTGGCTGCCGCCTGGTTCCGACTGGACCTGGAAAACATACTGGAGGAGTGGGTTATGGCTGCTCTGGCCGCGACTTGGAAGAGAAGGCAGAGCGAGATTCTTTGGTTCATGGGACACACTGGAGGAGAGCATGACCAGTACAATGGGGACGCGAGCTTCGGTCACTTGGGTATTGACCGACTTGGGTACGAGAAAACGTTCCCGAGGCAAGGGGCATGCTACTAAAGTGATGGAGTACGGGCTTGCCTTGGTGCGTGTCTACCCATCCTCGTTGTAGTGCTATCGACCAGATCCAGTCACCTCCCGGGAGTATGCGCTGTTCGTCTCAAACATATCTAATGACCGCTTAGGCTGACGCTCAACGTCAACCCACATACTTGGAATGCTTTGATTATAACCTGCCGTTTTATGAGAAGTTCGGCTTCCGGAAGAGGGGTACGCTCTCATTGGATCATACTCAGGGACCGATCGTCCTACAGACAATGGTTAGGGAGCCAGGGTTGTTCACCTTGTGCTGAAGTGTCTAGAATGCCGTAGTGATCCCAAACAGCATTGAAGAATTAGGACGACAGACGATAAACTTTATACCCGCTCCTTGCTCCGAAAAAGTGCCCTCAATTCTGACCCAAGTCGCATCTTCCATTCGTGAGGCATCTCTGGGCCCGAAGACCAGACGACAACTTCCTTCAACGCATGAAGATATACGTGCTTCCACAAAGCAATTTCCCTGAGCCATCTAAGTAGCATGTCATAGTGCTCGACCACATTTTCAGTGCGCGATATGTGCTCGAATGGGACCTGGTTCCGACAATGGAGGCGGACCTCTTCGAGTTGAATTTGTAAAACTTCCAGATTTGGCGGAAGCATCTCAACAATCTTCGCCGAAGACGAAGCATCGGCGTCCTGCTCTTCTCGGTACTCAAGGCTGGGATGGACCATCCACCACGCAGGAAGGCCTAAACGTTTGAGAGCGACGAAGCCGCGCATTGATTTCATGACATGCCCAGCGGGGTGTTGCAGGGAGATGTGTTGATGAGGCTGAGCATAGACAGCAAGCTCTTCCAAAGACGACTGCTGGGCGAGCAGAGGGGCTGGGAAATTAGATGGCGTGATGGCGTTACGAATCTGCATCTGCTTTCCGTGGTAGTGGTAGTGAAGAGAAATTAGTGCTGTAGGGGCACGCAATATCGTTTTCATCCCAGTTGCGGAGCAAATACTGCTTGAGATAACTAAATGTGTAATGGAGGATCTCGAGTTTAAGCTTTGTGGAATCGTTTCTTCAATAGCTTCCGTCTGCCTTGCCCAGCTTTGATTCGTGGTCATGCTTAGAATCCGCAGAAATTTGTTGCTCAATAATTTCTCGAGCATTTGCATGTCAACTGCTTTGCCCTGTGAGATGCAGATATGAAGAGAGCAGATAGTGCTCCAGTATTTGTTCCCACGGCGGAGTCTGCTGACAACTTTGAAGAAAGCATGTCATTAACGATTTAGAACCCTACGTATGCTTGTTTGAGCATTGCAACGTGGACAACCAATCATTTCGCAGCGTCGAGGTCTGGATAAAGCACATGAGATGGACACATACTCTACGATGGTACTGCGGTGTACCAAATTGTCAAAGTCAAGAATTTGACGAACGGACAATGTTTGAGAATCACATGGAGCTTCTACATCCAGGATCTTATAGTTCTTCTCAACTAGCAATACTCAGCGAAAGCATGAGGCGCCCTGCAACAGTGGTTTTCCAATATTGCCCGCTTTGTAACTACGTACCCGAAATCCATCCGACCACAGTTGCCAACCGAAAGACGCGGGCACATGTTGCGAACACCGACAACTTGCACAAACACGTAGCAGCTCATCTCGAGGAGCTTGCATTGTTGTCACTTCCATGGCAGGATGATATGGGCGAGGGTTCTTCGAGTAGGGACTCGCCGTTGGAGGAGAAGCGATCTACACTCAAGGATGCGGGCGTTAACGGTCTTGATGATGTATCACTGATGTTTGACGATCCTCCCAAGCTTGAGCCTTTGGCAGACGAACCGAACGAGTTTAACAACCTCTTTCAGCCCGAAGCGCCTACGGTAGACTCAAGGGAAGCGGAATGGGGATTTGTGCCGTCAATACCATACGATGGCCACTCGGAAGACCGAGTTCTGCAGAACTTGATGCGGAAGCATTTGGCGAGTCAGGTTGAGGAGCTGGGTACGAAACACAGAATAGAGCGTGAAATTGGAATTCCCACTCAAGGTAAATATTTTAGAGGCAGCCTCAATGCTGTGTACGACGCTAATATGCTACCCAGTCGAGCTGCAAACGATCTGCGACTGGATTTCGCCAATGGATTTCTCTGCCGCGCATGAGCGCATTTCGGCCACGAGACAGGAAGGAACATGCGATTGGTTCATCCAAAGTCGTACCGTTACGGATTTCATTGCACATAGAGGGTCGGTTATATGGGCTGTTGGGATACGTACGTGGCTCTGGTACACATAAATTTCCTCCACCTTGGTCTTCGCTAATGAGCAGCAGCTGGGTCAGGTAAAACCGTTCTGTCGTAGGTTCAGTACTGACGCGGGCAGATGGTTTCTCAAGGCTGACCATGGCAATAGATCCGCTATTATTGACTACCTCACGCGTTTCGCTCCCTCGTCACCACAGCGAGCTGCCGTAGCGTACGCTTACTGCGACTCTCGGATGCAAGAGTCACAAACAACCTTAGACCTAGTTGCTTGCTTCCTCCGACAACTCCTTGAAGTTTATTGGGAAGTTAATGTATCGGTATGTTCTCATGTCGTACTACTAGTCGCAGAAGATATGCTTCTCTTCATTTCATGTGCTTTACCATAATCAAACCATACACTTCGTGAGCCCCTTAGCTAACTATCTTCAATTAAGATACCTGATGATGTCCACGCTATTTACTATCTGCACAAAGAAACAAAGACGGGCCCATCTGTGGCAGAGTGCTTGAAGATGTTGACAGCTCTAATTGCAGGCTGTGAGAGCGTTTTCGTAGTCATCGATGCGCTTGATGAATGCGGCCCCGCCACACGGCAGGAGCTCGTTAGGACGATCAGGTCAGTAGCGCCTGTTATACATTTACTAATAACGTCGCGGTATCTTGGTGATATCGAGGCGATACTCGGTGATGTATCCATCGTGGACGTCTCTGCGCCGGGAGAAGATTTGAAGTGTTACGCTCAAGGGTGTATTGAGAAATACCCATCGTTGCAAACGGTGCTGCAAACACTACCTAGTGAGATGAGGGAAGTATATGTTAAACATATTGTCCAAAGCGCTGCAGGAATGTTAGTTGTCTCAGTCCCAATCGAAACAGTCCACTTACTAATTCTCGAAAGGTTTCCCGTGGTTCGATTTTTAGTTCAAGCGTGGGCGAACGACAGTCAACGACTTGAAAGCGGGCCTCCCTCCCTGTCGCTGGTCTCCCGAGAACTCGATGCATACTATAATGAGATAACGATGAGGATATTTAATCAACCAAGTCCGGACTCTACCCTAGCTCGACAAATCTTGATATGGGTAGCTTTTTCCAGACGACCTGTTACCACTAGCGAAATCACCGACATTGTTGGCGTGGAAGTCACTTCTCAAGTCATTGCGTCTTCTCGTGGAGTCCTGGCGGGGGCAGAGCTGCTCACCTCCGTATGTGCTGGCATTCTTACCATTGACTCCAAAGCCGGCACCCTACGTCCGGCACATGTCACGCTGGAGACATACCTTCAACGGAACCGGGAGGGCATATTTGCGCAAGCGCAGGAATATATTACGGCATCCTGTATGAGATATCTTTCGTTTGAGGAATTCAAAGCGGGACCATGTGAGTTGCAATCCCAGTGCCAGATTCATAAGCTGTCTGCCAGGCGTCTAAACAACGGATGCCACTGCCACTGTACCTACCATTGGATGGTAACTGATTTCTCCCTCCCTTTTCTTTCTGGGTGCAAATAACCAAGATATGCTAGCTCGCCTGCAGAAACATCCATTCTTTCATTATGCCGCAAATGAATGGGGCCATCACGCACTCGGAGCAGCTGAAACTGCCTGCAAAGAGGCTATCATTGCCTTCCTCAGCAACCGACAAGCCGTCGAATCTGCGATGCAAGCTAAGAGTATTAATCGTGACTGGCAATTTTACCCTCAACACGTCGATAGCGAATCGTATCCTCGCGGGGTGACGGGGATCGCGTTGGCAGCCTTTTTTGGGCTCGCCACAATAGTTGAAGCACTGATGGACAAGAGTGTCAACGAACGAAGTTGCAGTGACCCCGAAGAAGCACTTTTCTGGGCGGCTACAGGAGGTTCCGCTGAAGTTATAAAGCTTTTGTTGACGAGGGGTGTAAGCCCTAACGTGCGTGGCGTCATGAGGGCAGCAGCAGAGAACGGCTACGAGGACGTTATTCGTATATTGGCCGCAAATGGTGGCGATGTCAATGCAGGGTGCTATGAAGACGAAGGTAGCGCTCTTCAAGCCGCTGCGATAAAGGGCAATGAGACCCTAATACGACGTCTTCTTGAGCTCGGGGCCGATCCCAACAGAGTTGGCGGCGAATTGGGAAGCGTTCTTCACATCGCAGCCGTCAATGGTGACGAAAGTATCACCGGCTTACTGCTAGAAAATGGAGCAGACCCCAATATGAAAGGTGGTATGTACGGCTTCGCACTTCAGGCAGCTGTCGAAGAGGGCCATGAGAATATCATACAGATGTTGCTCGATAACGGTGCAGACGTCAATCTCGAAGGTGGGCCTTACGGGAACGCATTTCAAGCCGCGGTGGAGAACGGGGATCAAGATATTGTTGAGCTCTTGCTGGCTCATGGGGCAAATATAAATACGATGATTGGGGGTGAAAAATATACAGCGTTGCAAGAAGTGGCAAGACGAGGCTTGGAAGCTATGGTGGAATTTCTGATTGACAGAGGAGCCAATATGGATAGTCGACAGAGGAATGGCCAAACAGCACTCCACCAGGCCGCTAAAGAAGGCCAGGCTGGAGTTGTTGCGCTGCTCGTGCAGAAAGGGGCGAACCCTAATATTCGTGATCAGCGTGGCTTTACAGCGTTGGACTGGGCGAAGAAGAAGAACTTCACCGAGGTGGTCCGGGTCTTAGAGGCGGCGCGACAGCTTTGAACCCAAAGTTTGCACTGTGGTGGAATATAGATCCATTTTTTTTGATCCGCCTTAAACATCCTCTGATGATACCTGCTTACCCGGGAGAATGTAAGTCCAGGACAACAAATCGGCAGTGGACCAATAGAGTGCACGTAATAATTTGAGAGATGAACTCGTTCTGCGTTGTGTAGCAACACTTGATAGCCCAGACGTCATATCGCTCTTATTAAAATATTAGTCGCTGATTCAGGAAGATGTAGACACCTCCTCTCATGCTCAACCGTAGTACACCCGTGATGCAAACTGTCTCCGATATAATGCCCATTAAGCTCATTGCCTGCCAATTAGATCGCTCGATTTGGCATATTCAGAGTTTGGAATGTTGGAAATAAAGCGCAAATAAAGGGTGGCTCCCTGGATCCGATGTGTGTGGAAGAGACTCGAGCGCAGCAATGTCTATTTTTAAGTAGCCTCGACAATCCGCGTCAAATGGCTCTAGTAATGTCCACCTCAACTTACAAAAGTCGACTAACGAAGCGGTCGCCTTTTGTTCCTCTTGAATCGAAGAACATTGCACCATCTGACTGAATGTGGTTCGCATGGAGGTCTGCAGCGCATTTGCCGTGCTTCTGGGGGAATCAGCAGGTACCTGCCTCAGCTCCACCGAGGACTTCCTCCCAGTCCGCATTGCCACTTCTCAACCCCGTCCCACCTGTTTGTCCCACAATTTCGCCTTTGGGTTATTCTGAAAAATTTAGGGCTATGACGGCGGAAGACTACGGCAAACTATAGCGAGCGGTTCATCAAAACGCTTTTCTTTATTGAAGTAGGCAGTGCGTGGGAAAGGGGGGCATTGCAGTATGCAGGAGAGGTTACCGGAGAAGGGGTATCCGAACGTGTTTCTGCCGATTCTCAATTTGCCGAATCAGCGTTTTGATAAACCGCTCGCTAACTAACTTATAGGTTAGTTTGCCGTAGAACACTAATCAACCCTATTGAGTGGGGGCCGGGGCAGGTATTACGGCGGGAGGCTTGGGATTTAGGAGATGTTAAGCGATGGTGGCATCTTGCACCTGACACAGGAACGGAGAGGCCGATATTTGGAATTTAGGAGATGTTAAGCGATGGGGGCATCCTGCACCTGACACGGGGCAGAATATGCAGAATACGGACAATCCAGGCTATGGAGTCGTCGGTGAATTTTGAGTTTTAGCTGAGACCTACCTGTTCTCCAATATCGAGAAGGGGTTCGCCTAGACTCCGTAGCGCAGCCCTGGTTTGAAGCCCCTCCTCCTGTCGGATTCTGAGGAGCGAAGCTTTAGTGGAGAGGCTCCCGGCGAGCTGAATTGACTATCTGGTTTGCGATGCTGAGATATCTCCAGGTAATTTGTACCGAGTTCAAAGTCTAAAAGTTGGAGGTGACGAGGTGAAACAGTCGTGTTGAGGTATATTGTGGCGAGCTGGGATACCATTACAGACAAAGTACTAAGGGGCTATAGACCGAAGCGAATATAGGTGTCAATAGCGTGTGTACTAGGTGTATGTGAAGACTTAGGATAACGAGCGACGCAAATGTATAAAATGGACCATATCGCCGTGTTGGATGAAAGTCAATCATTCCCCATTCTACTATTATTCGAGCTGGTCCCTAGCATTATACTCTATATTTCTATCACGATTTTCCTTGTGAACATTGCCTCACAAGATGCCTGACTCGGGAGACAAAAGTGTCAAGATGCTTGAGCGCATCAACAAGCAGCTCAGAGGTGCTGTGCTTGCGAGTTTTCCCTGTGCGTTTGAGCAATATGTCTGCATCTCTATGCCAGGCACTATAATCGATACGCGTCAGGGAGGAAGGTCAGTATTGAGAAGCGCCAGAGTGCAGATTGCAGGTCAATCGATCATCAGCTAAAGCATAACAGCTATCTTCCCGAGGGCGAAAAGGCGACTGCCGATGTGCGCAACATGATCCAGATCAACGAATCGACGCTCGTTGACTCCATGGTCCCTCTTGACAAAGTCATGGTATGTTGTATAAGGGTGATAGTGTATAAATAGCGAATGAGATAAAACTCACTATGGATGCAGCTTGGCCCGACCGGAAAGAGTGTCACTCGAAGTTACTACACGGCCCTGGACATGCTCGTTCCTCGTAAAACAGATATCGGCTCTGTGGACGTGGAGAGTGATTTCAGCTCTGAAAGCAAAAGCAAATACAGCCAGGCCATGCGTTTCCTTCGCTCCAAAGAATCTATACTCACACCGGCTTCCGAGGTCAAGGGTTCTAAAGTTGCCCTGGTCAAGGATAAAGCTGCTCAGATTGGAATTCAAGGTACAGTAGTTGACCGCTACGTTGAGAAACAACTTGCCTGGTCCGAGGCTCGGGGAAAATGGGATGCAGTTCGAAGTGAAGCTCTTGGTAAGTCCGGAAGATGCACGAATCTGTGCGAGTATGACTGTTCTTCATATTGACCTGTCCTACAGAGGCTCGGGAGGCGCATCCAGAGATGCAAAGCGCTGCCGCATTTAGTGCCAGACAGAAAGATATCAAGCGAGCACAAGGTGAACTGCATGCGCGTTGGATGGACTGGGTGGTCAATGGCGACAAGTTTCGTGTGGACTACTGTTTTGGTGAGCATCAATTTGACTATCATCATACCCGGGTGCAGTACGATACTGACCGGTCTAAGCTTTGGTCGACCGAGATTCCATTATGGCGAGAATCGAAAGAGCAAAAGTAGGTTCCCAATGCGCATGCACAAGATTTAGATCTGGAGTCTAACCACTAACCATGGAACAGGAAGCTACCCGCGACGCTATGTTAACCAGCATCGACGGAACAGAATGGGCACAGGTCTCTCTTGAACCAAAGAACTGGTAAGTAGGCGTGAAGTTCAGCGTAAGGCAATTAGCTGACATGTGAGTCAGGGCTGCTCTTTGCCGTGACAAGGCCCTTGCGTGGGCGGAAAGAAATCCAGTTGACACCGAGTTCCTGGAAATGCGCGCTGACAATCTGAGGAAAATGCTCGCCTCCTACAAGGTTTACCAAGAGGTATGATACTGCAATATATCTTTTCATATTCATGAGATCCTTACCGATATCGCATCGTATAGACCTTCTTAGACGAGAAGAAGGCAGGTACGTCAGGAACGGCGACAGTTTCTCCGGCCACCAGTGGCACAGCTCCCTCCGGCGAGAGTCAAGCCCCTGCAACCAGCGGTAGTCAAGCTCCTGCGGCCAGTTCGCACAAGGAAGCGACAATCGAATCTACTGAAACTGAGCTGCAACAAGCCCTCCGCGATATTTACACCGCCGAGGTAGCCATAAACGACGCCAAGAAGAAAGACGGCCAGGTTAAAGATCCTAAACTTAATAAAGATCTTGAAGATGCTACGAAGAGATGGCTTAATGCCAGCAAGACTCTTGCCGGACTGCGGACGCAATTCGATGTGAATCAGCTAGGGGCTGCAGGTAGACACAACCTGTCCCGCTCTATTAGCAGCCATATCGATGGGTTGGAAGCTCAAATTGCAGCTCTCGACTCCAGAATCGCGAAGGCTGCGGGTGGTCCCAATAATATCATTTTAGGGGTAAGAAAGGATGATAGCATCATCCGCAGTGGTGATGCTGACGCTGAACACCCCTCTTCGTTCGTACCCAAGGGTGATGGGAAGAGTGCCGACGTGTGGACAAAGATCAAATTTGATATCAGCACCAAAGAAGATGAGACGAAGAGCGCGGAGAACAACCTTTCCGGCTCCTTCAATGTTGAAGTCGGCAGTTGGTGGGCCTCTGTTAAGGCACAGACGACAGTCTCATCCTCTAGCAAGTAAGAAACTCTATTCATGAACCCGATGGGACTATTACTGACCTGCAACTAATTTCTCAGGACTTTCGAGAAGAAAATGTCCGAGTGTTCCGTTTCTGGATCCTTGTAAGTTGAATCCACTCATAATACCTGCTGAGGCTGCCCGGTGAACCTTGATTGACAAATTCTGGTACTTCAAGCTCTGCCATGGTTGTCACCATTCGCCGTCCTTGGCTACATGCCGACTTATTCCAAGACTTTGATATCGATATCCCGGAAGGTACCAAGTGAGTTTGATCTCACCAGCCCTCATATGCGTCTGTAAATCTTTCTAAACAATAATCTTTCTGGGAATAGGCTCAGTCCGGGTGCTCGAACTATGCGCGACTGGATTGAGAACGGTGACGAGGTGACCAACGACAAGCGCACTAATTACGGAAAGTTTCCTGCGTATCCCACATCATTCATCGTAGCAGCCGATACTGTGCTTGAGGTAAATGCTGCCACCAACAGAGTAAATGTTCATCGTCGTTGTCTAACAATATCTGTAGTTCAAATCAAACGAATCTGACAGCAAAGAGATGGCAAGCTCGCTCTCAACAGACAGCTCAATCCAGGCCAGCTATGGCCCATGGGGTCTCAAGGCTGGGTGAGTCTAGCACGTGTATAAATTCATAGTTTCCTGTTACTAACTTTTTCTTTTAGTGCATCTGTCAAAACAGACAACAAGGAATCATCACAGAAAATGACGGTCAATGGCGGAACTCTACGCATTGAGTTCCAGGCACCTCAGATTGTTGGCTGGGTCTCTGAGATTCTACCCCAGCTACCGCGTAGTGCTGATGCTTACAAAATGGGTGGCCTAAATGCGCCACCTAACATGGCTTTCCGTGCTAACCTGTGATTGTGATCATTTGTCTTGATTGTTCAACATACGAAAACACCAGTTTTGATTCAACCTTGATAGTTGTTTAATATTTATATGAATGGAATCCAGCCCTCTGTCCTGTCTCGAGTGGAATAATCTAATTTGGTCGGACTAGTACAAGATTTTTACTGATACAGTATATGGTATTTTGCATTTCTCTATCTGAAATTTGGTTCCGTCTCCTGGGGAAAGGAAGCCAATCGGTCGCCTCTATGACGGGCGGCACGGCCCTCGCCGCGCCCCCGCCTCAAGGTCGCCTCGGGATCGTAGACCCTGGTGTGCCCGTCGGGATTAGGCTTGCGGCAAAACTGCTATTGCAGTTTTCGGTTACCACGTTGAAAACCAATACCAAACCCGAACCTTTACGGTTAACTACGGCGGACTGAATGTACAAAACCGGCCAAAATGTTTTTTTACTATGATTACCTCCCACCACACTGATGCCGCTGCTACCACATATACCACCTGCCATCCAGTATGCTTATAGAAAATGAATATTATATTAAATATATAGTAATTATAGTTATTTTAATTTATATCTAAAATATTAATTTAATATCTAGGATTCTAGGGGGTTGAATAGGTAGTAGTTTAGAATTATTCCTAAATTATAGTAGTTATTAAAAGGTTAATATGCATATATATATATATATATCACTATTACTTTTATACTAACTACTAACAGACCAAAGATGTTATTCCCTTATATCTTAGCAACCATAAGATATTGAATATCATCTAGTATTGATATCGGATGTCATCTAGTATCAATATCGAATCAATATCGAATGTCATCTAGTAGGGATATCAAATCATCGAATGCCATCTAGTAGGGATGTCGAATGTCATCTATTCGGGGTATCAAATCAATATTGAATCAATATCGAATGTTATCTAGTAAGGATATCGAATCATCGAATGCCATCTAGTAGGGATATTGAATGTCATCTATTAGGGATATTGAATGTCATCTAGTATCAATATCGAATATCATCTAGTAGGGTCAGGGATATTGATTCGATACCCCTAATAGATGACATTCGATATTGATTCGATATTGATTTGATACCCCTAATAGATGACATTCGATATCCCTACTAGATGACATTCGATATCAGTTTGATATCAATACTAGATGGCATTCAATATCCCTACTATATGGTATACATACTGTTCAGGGTTATTGTGGAAATAGTGGCTATAGGTAATACAAACAGATAACAGTAAAAAAAAGTTTTGGCCGGTTTTGTACATTTCCGCCGTAGTTAACCGCAGTATAACCATGGTTTTACTACTCAAAAACTGCACTAGCATAATTCTCGCTTCTTTACCCTTTTATGGCCTACCACCTGTTTATGTCGCTGACTCAACTAGGCAGATACCCTGCGAAGAGGGTCTAACAGCTGAAGAGGGCATACAGCTAATTCAGCAGCTGAATTTGCCAGTTGAAGCTACTGCGGTAGAATCGCATGCGCAGGGCGAATTGTCTATTCAGCCAGATCAGCCGGCTACTATCCGCCGAGGTGTAGTGGGTGTAGGGAGATTGGCCACAGGATCAATTCATGTAAAAATTGCTATATTTAGCTGAATTAATGGGTGTTGATTGAGAAAATCGATTTTGAAAATCTCTAATGAGCTTGTGGCCAGGAAATATGTTAACTAAATCTGACTGTAATGACTAACTAGATGAGATGGTTGAAAGCGACTAGCAAGTACCTTTCCACTGCTTTTGAGATTGCCATTTAATCCACCATTTCATTTACTCAAACCCTTCGTCTCAAGTGTCTCCAGAAGCCAGGTGTTCTCACTCAACTCATCGTCGCCATGCTTCCCAACAGAGGCCTGGACCTCAGCAGCTGAGGTCATAATACTCTTCCTAGAATCACTATCCACAGTTGCGCTCACGATGAGTTCCCGATTTGCCCGTTCGGTCATTTTAATGCAACTCTCGCTGAGTGATATTTTTCCAGCCGTCGTTTTAGCACAATACTGGTAGATAACATCATGGACAAGACTCCGATAGAGACGGGCGCTTTGCGGCGGATTGACGTTACTGTAAGCCCAGATCGCTTCTGTCAGGCGCAGGAGGAAGTTTTCGTTGGATTTGTCTGATTCCTCTTGGGCCAGAAATCCACCAAGAGCCTTAAGTTGTCCGCTGGGCTCAGGCCGGATGCGCGTATAACACCCAAAAAAGGCCGCAACGTCGTCGGCCTTGACCGAGATATCGTTGATTGCAGCTTTGTACAACTTGATAGCAAGTTCAAGTGTAACAGAAACACGATCAACCTGGATTTGGTTCATGTTTGGAAGAGAATATGCGAAATATGGTGTTTGAGAAAGAGTTGATCAGGAAAAAGCGGCTTCAGCTAACTTGTATAGTGGATCGATTCTTCTAGGTTTGCCTTATAGAATGTGTGTGTGTTGAGTAAAGATATCCCCGGGACAAGAACCCAGAGTATATAGGATCCGACCTATACAGAGTCGAAAACAAGGATTGTAGTATACGGGTAATGCCGTGATGGGCGACGCGTTTCGAGCATCTGTGGTCCAAACGAAGGAAGTAGAGCACAGCGCTGGCTGTTGACTTTTCAGCTCCGCCAAATCAATTGCACATGTAAGTCACCAGACATCCACATAATGATTCAAAGCTGAAGTGGGCATGGGCCATGGAACTCACGGTCACTCCAAAGCTTGGTCAGGCGGACCGACGAGGATCGCAAATAAGGCGACGCTGAACAAGGTCTGACTAGATTGGATCTACCTTAGGGCTATTGCTGTTCTCCAAGCGTTCACGTTTTACAAGGCCGGCTGGTCATGTTTGCTAATTGTGGACAAGACAGCTTTCAGCCTGAAGGTGGAGCGACGGTCTCGAGATTTGAAGGAAATCCTTGCCGACGAACGGCAGTCTTGATTTAGCCATATGCAACCTGCAACCATAAGCTATGTTAAAAGGTTTAGCGTTAATTACATACTTTTCAGCTGCGCCCGTCCCGGGATGAACGCCGCGGCAACCCCGTCACGTCTACACCTCGCTAACGGCGTGACGACAGCTCAGCAGGCATCTAGTCTAACCATACTACAGATCTAAGTTCAGCAAATCCGCCTGTACATTCCACTCATGTTCCAGGCAATATTACCTAGCTTTACTGGGAAGTGGGCGCATTTTGGGGATGTACGGGGTAGAATTCTCATAATTGGTGCTCTGAGGGCCTGGATGTAGCTGTTCTTGGTTGAATTGATTACAGATGAGGAATTAACAGTGGAAAGGAAGTGAAAGATGCGATGAATGGTACTGTTGGTCAGGGATATCAGTATGCGAATGTTCAATATTCATCGGGGTCTTGGGTACATATGTATAGCCAACGCTTAAGCAGGTTCCAATTTGGAGCTTTTCATTGAGCGCAAGCCCATTGAACAGAAAAATCGAAGGGATTCGTAAGACGATCAGATGTGGGCTGAATCTAGAGTCTAGAATGGGGACGTTGTAAAATGGGGTTATTTGGAGCGAGGAGCCATTTCTGCTTATTTTCTCCCATTTGTATGTGATCACAACAGGCACTCTGCAGCTACCCTACTAGCTCTGACGCCGATTTAATGTCTGCTATCAACAATGTTGATCACATTCCATTCACTATAACAAACTGACAATACATATGTAGGTCAAAAATTCAATACCATGCTGTTCTAGCCAGCAGTAGATCTCCCCTTTCTTCCACTTGTTATTTTAAAATTACTATAATAGTAACTAAGTATATTCTTTATTTAATATATAAGAATTATAATTAGATTATCTTATTTAGTAATATTAATAAGCAAGTTATCTAAGTAATTAGGGATCTTTAAGTAATATATAAAGAATTATAGTAAATATTATTATTTATATATATAYATATATATATATATAAATAATTAAATTAATAAAGATAGAATTAACTAATAAGTATAGATAAATAAGTAAGTATTTACTACTAGTATATATAGTTTAGGTATAAATACTTCTAATTTTCTATATTTTATTATATTTAAAGTTTATAAATATTCTTTAATAAAAATGTGATTCCATTAGCAGTTATAAGAACTATTTATTACTAATAGGTATATTTCATACCCCTTCATTTACTCCCTTACCCCTTAACCTCTTATTTATATTCTATATTCCTCCCTCACTACCTAGAATGTATAATAGCTCCTAGTATAGATATATAGTAGTAAACATGGCCCCTAGCTTAAGGAGAAGATAGATTATAATATATAACTACTCTCTACCTCTCTTAGCTTATAAAGGCCCTCACTACTGCCCTAAATATAGTAAATAATATCTAGTAGTATATTAGGTTTAAGAGTTCTCCTATAGACTCTTATCTAGAGATATTATCTTATATATACTATAAGAGGGCTATATAGCTCTTTCTTAAGTTAATAGTACCCCCTTGTAGATCCCTTATACTATTAAGAAGTAAGGGAGTAATAAGTAGTCTAGTACTATAGTAAGAATCTATTATAAGTATTAAGCTAAAGTAAGATAGTAAGTATAAATATTATTATATTTCTTATAACTATCTTTTCTTTCTTAATACTCTTAAAAACCTTATAAGCCTTATTTTTAGTTAATTCTAATACCCCCTATATCTATTTACTCTTTCTCTAAAAGTAGTATGAATCCCTAATCTATATCTAGTAGTAATATATTAATAGATAAACCTTCTACTCTAACTTCTACTTTACCTTAGAAGCTTAAATTGTCACGGGCTAGACGCCATATGAATCTATAACCTAGATTTAGATAGTAAGAAATTACTAAAGAGTCTCTAACTAGGGCTGCAGTAGCTGAATATAAAAAGGAGAGTATAAATAATAAGTAAGATTATATAACTACTGCTATCTAGGTTAGATAAGAGTTTATCAATACCTAAGGCAGTTCATAAGGGCTTAGTAAGCATAAGTATCTAGCAGGCCCTGCCCACTACATAAATAATAAGCTATATTCTAATAGCTACATAATACTATAATAGGCTAAGCTCCTACTACTAAGGTAGATACCCTCTATTAGTAGATTTAGGTATAGTTTTACCTAAGTAAGGACTAATTAGAAAATACCTAAGTATCTCTAGTAGTAGCTAAGAATATATTATTAGGCTGGCTGTAGGGAAGGGAAATCCCATGGGAAATCCCTTCCCATTGGGAAATGGGTATCCCATATTAATTAGGGAATCCCATATATCTAAGGGATAGGGAAATGGGAATCCTAATTATCTAAGGGATTAGGATGGGATTCCCATAGGGTAATATTAGAATGGGAAGGGAAATCCCATGGGAATCCCAAACCTTAATATACATGGTAAAAGTGGGGTAAAATAGATAATATACCCCTAATATAGCCTATTTTTAGGGCTATATTATCTATTCTACCCTATTTTTACCCCATAATTTAAGGTTTAGGATAGTTTAGGATTCCCATGGGATTTCCCATTCTTATCTAGATGGGATGGGATCCCTAATCCTTTAGTAGGAATGGGATGGGAAATTAATATGGGATTCCCATATTAATTAGGGAATCCCATATATCTAAGGGATAGGGAAATGGGAATCCCATTTATCTAAGGGGTGAGGATGGGATTCCCACTACTAAGGGTAAAAAGGGAAGGGAACTAGCCATGGGACTCCTATAGGAATTCCCTTCCCTTCCCAACAGCCAGCCTATATACTTACTATCTTCTATAGATCCTAAACTAGAATCTTAACCACCTGCTGAGCTAGATGTATTTCAGCTAATATTTAAGGTTTTAGATATTATACTAATTTCTAAATATAATAGTATATATACTAGGGATGCTACCTATAAGTAGCTTAAGAAAATTAATAAATATTTTTAGAATATCACCCTTATTATATAGTAAGAATCTTTAGAAGCTAAGAAACTTATAATTATATTATAGAAGTTAACTAGCTAAGCTTATAGGTATTAGGAGACTAACTAGATATAGATATAATATAATCCTATACTAGTTATTAGTAATCTTATATTATTTAGTATATAGATTATTAAGAATTTTAGAGAATATAATATAAATAATAAATATTAGGAGGAATATAAATAGATTATATAAGGAAGATAGATAGTATAAGTCTATACTTCTATATTATAAGATATAACTACTTAGATTAATCTACTAGTTACTAAACCCTCCTTAATATAGAGGTTCATTATGGGCAGCTAGCTAGAACTATAGAAATATTAGGATAATAATTATAATTAATCTATATTATTCTAGGAAGTTATTAAATAATTTATATAATATAAAATTAGTTTATTAGTAGTAAAGTACCTAGGAGGTAATTCTTATACTCTAGAATATTAAGATAATAATTATAAAGACCTTATAGACCTTAGCACTATTACTATAATACTAGATTAACTAAAGAAGAACATACTAGTATAGAAAGCCTGGTATTATTAATATAAAGCTTATTTTAAATATAGTAATACTATATATATATATCTATACCTAAAAAGTAAGAAGAATAACAAGGGCAGGAAGAACTCTAAGGGAAAAGAAAGTAATTACTAAATATAGAAGTACTAATTAGTTAGCTATTAGAGGCTTTTAAAGTAGAAAAATAGGACCTCCTAGATCTATTAGATTCTATAAGTAAAGAAAAGGAAGAGATACCTAAGTTATAAGAAGAACCTAGGAGTAGTAGTAAAGGGTTAGTTAATAAAGAGATTATACTAGCCTAGCTTAATACCCTTAGTATAGATACTATATATTATTCTATAAGGATTAAAGTACTAAAGATATTATAGTAGATTAAAGCTCTAGCTCACTATAGAGCTAGCTATATCTTTATCTTAGAATAAATAGTTAAGATACTGCTAGTAGAATAGTCTTAGAAATAATATATAAGTAAGGCCCTAAAGGTAAAGCTCCTAAATAATAAGTTTATAAATATCTAATACTAAATATAAATTCTCTTATAAATTAGTAATTAGACCTGCATTATCTATCTATAGATTCTAGATATCTATAAATATAATATTATCCTTAGAAGAGACTAGCTATAATAATTTAACCTATTAATTAACTAGTACTTAGGTTAGATAATACTAAAGAATAGAATCTAATAGTATAAAATCTTCCCTGTTAATCTCTAGCCTAAGATTAAGACTAATAAGGAAGTATTAGTATTTTTTATATTTATAAAGTAAGCTATTTATAAACTCTATAGAAAGAGATAACTAGTCTAGCTTTTCTTCCTATAAGAAGTTAAAGTGGAGAAGAAGGAATATTCTTATATAATAA